ATCATCATGGCTTCTACCTCTGAGGGAGACTGTAAGGATCAAATGAGATGCTCTATCCAACGCAGCTGCATTTAATTCTTACTTCTTTATAAGCACTTAATGAATGTTGGTTATAATTACATCCTCAAATTTTTACTTTTTTTGGTACCAGGGACTGAACCCCTAGCCATTCAACCACATCCCCAGCCCTTTTTGAGACAAGGTCTCACTAGATTGCTTACAGCCTTGCTAAACTGCTGAGGCTGGCTTTGAACCCCCAATCCTCCTGCCTCAGCCTCCTGAGCCGCTGGGATTACAGGTGTGTGCCACTACACCCAGAAAACTTTTACTTTTCTTAATTTCTAAAACTATCATATGGTAATAATTGACTTTTTGTTTTTTGATTATATCAATTCTCATACCTGTGTAGATTTATGTGCTCCCCCTCGCCCCATCAAAAGGCAGACACACAGCAAGTTCTCTCTCGCCAGATACTTTTTGGTGATATTCCTTTATAGCTAAATTCTCCTCTTACCCCAAACCCTGGTGAGTGTTGTTCTGTTCTTTTTTCACTAGACTCTTAGAACCACTGTGTGTCACCTTCTGTGATGACTTCTTTCACTCAGCCTACTAATACTGCTTAGATACATCCAAATTACTGCATTTATCAACAATGTGCTCCTTTTTAATTGCTGGATAGTATTTTGCCACATGGCTATACTGTGGTTGACTTGCTGAATTGTCACTTTTTAAATAATTATTTCCACAAGCCAAGGAAGGATTCAGCTGTGCTTCACTCCTAGGTTCTAAGACTCCCTGGGGAAATTTTGATGATTGCTGAATAGTGTCCTGACTCAAAGCATGCAAAGGACCCAGAAGTCCACGCATTCCTCATACTCGAAAGACATGGGAACCGAAGCCCAGGGATAAATTGCCTAACCTCACACAAAACTGAATCTGAAAGCTGGTCTCTTTTTCTCCTGCCCATGGGAAACCAGGTCCTGGGAGGAGTTCTTGCTAGACATATGCACCTTTTGCAGATGACGCTTGGACAGGCAAGAGCTAATCCTGCCTGCCTGCCTCCTGGTGATTGCCCTTTCTGCCACCTGTCACTGGGAACACTGGGAGCCCACCAGACCAGAGGCCAGTTTCCCTTCCTGGGGCTGCGCACGTCATCACATCATGCAGAACAGGAAGTGATAATGTGCACGGAGTTCAGCTGGAGCAGCCCTGCCCTTAATGGATGACAGCACTTCAGCAATCATTAACAGCCACCGCTGCAGGCTGAGCCAAAGCCAGACTGGCCTCCCAGCTGCTCATTTACTACTTTGAACCAGCTTTGCTCCAGCAAGATGAAACTGTGAATCACCCTCCCTGGGGCTTCAGGGTTCCTGTCCTCAACTGGCCCCAGACACAACCCTAGTTCCACATTAATTTCTCAGAGAAAGAGAAGCCTGGGGCCAAGGGGAGCTCACAGAGTCAACTCCAGGCTGAAAGAAATTTTTCTACGAGGCACTCTGTCAGAACGGGGCCCCCAGAAGTCACAGTGGGGGCAGAGCCACGCCCTCCCATCCTGGCCGGGGGCCTGCGGACCACCACCCCAGGCCCCCCACTCCTGAGCACCGGTTCCCTAGAGAGACGGCAGCTCCACTTTCCAAGAGGCTCAACTCCTGCCGCTCCATTGCGGGGTTTCATCTGGATCCCAAGCAAGTGAGTCATGAATGTGTGAAAACATGAACTAATATTCATAATCACTGTACAAGATAAAGAACTCGAAGGAAAACCAGCTTCTGTGTGCCTTGCCATTGCCGTCAGGGGTGCACTGTGGAAAACACAGCTTCTCACCGGAATCCCAGACTTCATCTCCCCAGCCAGCCCCAGCCCTGGCAGCCCCTCAGCCCCATGAATCCTTCATCCATGGCGTCTCAGGCACCTACCCATCCCCAGGATGGGCAGCCTCCAGAGACCCTGGGACCTCTGACTCCACTGCCTGCCTCCCATCAGGTGCCACTTCAGTCAACATCCACTGGTGCCCAGGCTGGACCTCAGGAGGAAATATCATAGTGTCCCTGTCCCTCCTCCCTCCCCCATTGGTCCCAAGAAGGCCCAGGTTCTCTATTCCTCCACCACAGTTTTCTGAAGTATCACTAGGTGCAGCGAAGCACGCCAACTTCAAATGTACACGCCATACGTCAACCCAGGTGCGCTGGTGCAACCGCCACTCAAACACATAGGTTGTGTTTCCAGCACCCGAGGAGCTCCCTCATGTCCCTCCTAGAGAATGCCCTCTCCTGAGCTGTGGCCTGAGATTCATCTGGAGTTCAGGCTCTTATTACCTCTCCCCTAACTTACTAAGTAATTTCAATAGATAAATTTTATTGTGTATACTTAAGATCTACAACATGCTATTATGAAATGCACGCAGACAGTAAGAGGTTGCTATAGGGAAGCAAATTAACCATTCATCGCAGCTGTGTGTGTGTGTGTGTGTGTGTGTGTGTGTGACAACAGCAGTTAAAGTCTTCTCATTCAGAACGAAGTCCACACCCGGTGTGACTTCATTACCCAGAGTCCTCACAGTGCTCATCAGATCTCTACACCTGTTGATCCCACACACCTGCCACTTGGCAAATTAAGTTTGCAATTACTGTCTGTCTCTTTCTCGACCCTGGGTCCCTGAGCTGACCTGTGCTGTGCTGCTGGATTCCTGAGGTACAGCTCCGAGGCCCATGGAGGCTTCAGGGTAGGGCACACACCTCCAGCCTCCATCCCTCAGCCCTTCCCCTCTCCTGCACATCGTCCCCTGGTTTCTCTGGGCCTTGTCTTTCACGGAGTGTGACCAAATCTCCCTGGGCTGCAAGCTCCAATCCCACTTTCTGTCTTGAAGACCCACGGATTCCTCACCCGGGTGTTGCTGGTACCTCTTAGATGCACACTATCGATCCTACTCTGTGGCTCACGCTGCATAATGTGCCAGCCACAGTCTCCTGTGTCTATATGCACTCTCACATCCTTACTGTTCCAGTTCTTGAGATAGCTTCTGGAACTCTGGAATTTCTCAAATTAGCATTTTTAGAAAGTGGGGAAGGGAGGAAATGACCTAGGATTTCTTATTTAGCCCAATATGGGGGGAAAAATCATCACCCACTATCAATAGTATTTCATCCATGTAAAGATCCCGGAGTGAAAAATGAACATTGCAGAGAGGTAACTTCAGAATAAAATGATCTGGCATTCCGTCAACAAGCTGGCCTATGAAAAACCCACATTGCCCTCATTTTTTTACACTTGCTCTAAAGAAAATTCTCATAGACCAACTGGCTCCAGGGCCTAGAAACCCCACTGCCCTGCACCCCCCAGTAGAGAGACACCGACACAGGAAACACTCAATGGATGCTCAGTGCAGCTGCTCTGGGCACAGAAAACCATGGAGTTCACAGACAAGCTACTTTTCAGCACTCCAACACGTGAACCAACACCACGAGGTTTAGGGGGGGTGACACCTCAAAGACCAGGAGGACAGAGGAACTGGCCATTCTTAGTGGCAGAATCGAGCGGCAATCCCAATGTGTTATGTGTCCACAGGACAACTCAAGACAAGCTTCAGGCTCTGTTGTTGGCACAGGTGACTGTCATTATCACTAATCTCAAGCCTGCATGGTGCATAATAACCGATCCTGAAGTGCTTATGGGGGCAAGTGGAGGCCAGAGGGCCAGGAGGTAGGGCCACCACAGCCAGCTATGCACGGCTAAAGAGTGAGCCAGGCTGAAAGCTCACCTGTGCCGCACCCGCCGTGCCAGTGCCCTGGCCTGGGGTCCTTCTATCCCCTGGAGGAAACGCCCTTTTCTGATTTGCACAAAGAACCAAGATTCTAGTGACCCAGACCCTGGATTTCAATTCAAGGCTCACAATACCTCTGGTCAAATATACACATACACGTACACGTACACACACACACACACATCCAGTGAATCCAGTGAACCCTTGTTCAGAGAGCCAACAAAGGATGCATGCAGAAGAGGATATTAAAAGTATTTAAGGGAACCATCTTAAATGACATTTCTAGCTCAGCATGGAGGTGGGGCACACATAGCCACTCTGGAGGCTGAGGCAGGAGGATCACTGGAGCCCAGGAGTTCAGGGCCAGCCTGGGCAACACAAGGGACTCCCATTTCTCAAAAAAAAAAAAAAAAAAAAGCCATATTTTTCTTAAAAGTTGTATTATTTACATGTTATTAAAATTCATTAAATTGTCTCTTGAATGACTTCTACCAAGGTTCTAGCTTTAAACATTAATTTTTAATAAATATCACACCCCGTTAATAAAAACTCATCTACTCATATTTGACTATTCTGGTTCTTCCCTATTTGTTCCTATTAGTTTAAAATAGTTTTATTTAACTTTAGTGAAAAGGTAGAGAAATCTATACTAAGCAGCAACTGCAGTGTCTACAGATATTAAAAAAAAAAAAAAGAAAGAAAGAAAAAGAAGATTTAGTTAACTAGGGATTGAACCAGTGCAGTGTTTAACCACTGAGTCACAGTCCAGCCCTTTTTGTTTTATTTTGAGATAGGGTCTCACTAAGTTGCTTATGGCCTTGCTAACTTGCAGATGCTGACTTCCAACTTGCAATTCTCCTGCCTCAGCCTCCTGATCTGCTGGGATTACAGGCACTTGGCTAAAATTTAAATCTTCTATATAGTACACAGAGCCCAAACACTCTTAGGGTCATCTGGTGATGAACTCATCCCCATTGTTGGATGAAAACTATAAATAAAATTCATTTAACGGTTCATTCAACAAACCTGGGTCAGATTTGTTTGTATACCCTCAGTGTTTTCTCAGTTCTCAAATGAAACTCATGTTTTAGAACGATAAGTGAAATGACGAAACATTCGCAGCGAGGTATCAATGTGGATGTGGGCGGTCCCTCATACAAGGCCTGGCCCCTCCCAGGCATGAGGCCCCAGAAGATGCTCCTCCCGCTCGGCAGACATGTCCCAGCAGCTGCCTTCTTACCTGGATGGTGGTGTTGCCTCCTTCCAGAAGGGCGATGGCCAGGAGGATGCTTTCATGGAACACCCGGTCACTGGACGCGTTCATAATGAGGTCGATGACCAGATTGGAGGCTCCCTCCTTGTCAAGGTGACACTGAACCTCGGCCAGGCTCATCTCACCCCTGCTCATGGAGCTGGATCCCGAACCTCCCCCTGAGAAGACAGAACATTGCTCTCACCAAACGAGACAGGGTAGTGAATGAACACTTCTGCATGCTCACGCTGACGGACACATCAGACACTCATATTTTCCCTGAACGAGCTCTCCTTACCCTCTCAACACCCCCCGAAGGAAGTGCTGCTTACTAACACAGAGAGAAGAAGTGGGGTGCTCAAGGATGCCCAGCTTCCAGTAAGTGGCAGAGATGGTGCTGAACTCAGGTAAATAAGATAAAGGAAAAATGACATTTCCTTCAAAGTCCTCTAGCCAGGACTAGTACATTAAAATACAATCACTTGGGGCAGAATTATCAAGAACTGGTTTGAGAGATGAACCATACTGACTGTGAAACACTCCTAAGGAAGCATGACTGTAATGATCACTACAGCCTTCTTTCTCCAAACCCACCATAGCCCCAGACTCATCTGGTCCATTCATTCAACATTGATGCAGGGCTTGGCATGGAGCCAAGCACTGGGGACAGGGAGAGTGGGAGAAAGACCGTCCCTGTCACATAATGGGCAACTTGGAAGCTCTGTTTTCATATAGCTTCAGACCAAATGGATACATCTAAGAAAATGAACCTGTGCCGTTCATTGGAAAGGATTCTGCATGGTTGCGAAGTATTTAAGAACATGCCTTGTATGACCATGGGCAATGCCACAAATGATAGTGCACATGGATAAAGGGGCTGATCGGAATCAGGAAACAGAAAACTGTCCATCAGCCCTTCCCTGCCAAGGTCAAGTAAAATGCCCTTCCTTTGCACTGCTTGCCCTTGGCTGTGACCTCAAGTCCACAGTGAGTACAAGGTGGAAACGGCTTGCACTGTCTTCTCTGCTACAGCTTCTTACAGCTGAATATGTCTCCTGGCATTCCCCCATGATGCCTCCCAATGGCCTCACCTATTGTCAAAGGACCCTACTATGAAAGGTAAAGGGAAAACACTTTCAGATGTTGCCCAAGGAACTTGTGCATGAGAACGACATGGGATTTTAAGGTTTGAAGAGCTGAGCTAAGGGATGTGCCAAGAGAACCCCACTGTTCCCAAAGTGCACACAGCTCCAGGAACTGAGCAGATACACTTGAGGTTCCAGCTGGTAAGGAATCCCCACTCCCTCCCTAGGAGCTGCTAGGATAAATATATTCAACCGGAAGCACTAAGTATCTCTGTGCTTTGCTTGGGACCCACCAAGCATCTGAAGCTGACTTAAAATCACCAGGCAATCAGATAATTCTCATTGGTGCTCTGGGCACTGAGCTCCCAGATCACCCCAATCTCAAAACTATGTAGGACCCAGCATGGAGTCAATGTTTTTAAAAATTTTCACTTTGATTGTGCTTACGCTGATTTGGAACATCTTCAAAGATCTGATCTTAAGCCCTATTGAATAGGAACCCTTAGTTATCTTGTCAACTCCCACAGGAGTTTGGGGGTGCACATGGCATGCGCATTGGAACTATATATGCCAGGTTCAAATTACAAATGAGCCCACATGAGCTTCCATTTCCTCTGCTGAAGTGACATAAAGACAGTACCCCTCACATGATGGGCAACTTGAAAGACAAAATGAGACGAAGGATACAGAGCGCTTGGGAAAGCCCCTGGCACTCAGTAAGTACATAATACATGGCACTTTTCACCCTCCTGGCTGCCAACATCCTCCTCATTTTATGGGAAAACATGAGTCCTAATGGTCACAGGGAAATGTACAATAAAATCTAGTTCCTTGAGTCGTTCAAACATCACCAAGAGGGCTATCACTTGGGAAAGAGGGACAAAGCCTTCATCAATACCTAATTGCGAGGCAGGGCTATTTTTCAGGCAAACAGGTTTAGACCTCAGTTTGACAGCAGATCACAGACCAAACACGTTGCTAAGAAAATACACATGCAGCTACTCATCAGCACGGTATGCAGCCTACCTCCTCCCCCAGGCTTGCTGGGTCCTCCTGGTGACAGTGGGCCATTTCCAAAGCTGGTCAGGCTCTCTCTTCTTCCTGAAGGTCTGATGTTTCCATAGTAACGGTTGACCAGAATTTGCCTGAGTGCCTCACCCTTGATTCAAACAGGATAATGAAATCAGGTTCTAGATTTAATGCATAACTGAGCAACTAATACTCAAAAAAGAAAACAACAACAACAACAAGGGGGTATTTGGGTATAATTGGCCCAGTTTCACTCCATGAACATAAATAAATGATTAATAAAAGCATTTGAAAACTCTGACGTTAACTTCATTATTTTCTCCAGAAAAATGTTTTTTTAAAGGACAGCAATCTAGAATATGACATACCTGAAGTGATAATCACACATCGATAAAGAATGCTAATTTTGAAGAGCTACTAACAATAATAAAGACGTAGGGAAAATGTGAAAACACTGAAAATTCTACAGGTCAGCTTCCATATGCTGGTATAAATATGCTACTCCAACCACAGGGCTTCCTACCAAGGTCCCGAGAAAATATTAAGATACCAGAGTAAGAGAGAATAAGCCAGTATAATGACATAAGCCCAAAATAAGCCTTTCTTACAATGATAGTCGATAGGCCAAATGGTAAAGAGAAAATAACAATATAGGGGATAAATTAGTGGCAGGTGTCAAATATGTCAATCAAAAATAATCATCATAGGTAAAATGACTTTGTGGTCTGGAATTTGCTTTAAAATAATATGGGAGGAGAACCTGGGAAGAATGTAAATATGGTAAGTGGATCTGATTTGGCATCTTGGTGAAGGTGAGTTAACCACAGGGCTTGTCAAAACAGTATCCATATTTCAACTTCTTCGTCATAAAAAGTTTTGACAATATAAACATGCAAGGAATACTGGACCAGGAGGACAATAACTCTCATAACTCTAATAAAAAATAGATGATTGACTTTTTCATTAACACTAGGATGCTGAGCTAGCAGGGACCGATATTCTGATTATTCTGATTTTCAGGCATTTTCCCCCAGGGACTCCCATTCTACCTCCCGATCTTTCTAAAAGTCAAAGGCTTGGTGGCTTTCCTCTGGATTGTTCCCCAGGGACAAAGCAGGAAGGCGTGGAGATCCTGCAGTGTGTCATGGAGAGAGGTGAGTGAGAAGTCTAGCAGAGAAAGGTGCTGAAATCTAGCAGGTCTCTAAAATAGGAACGCCAGAGCTCCCCAGAAGGGACCTGCAACTGTAACAGGAGCCAGTCGGATTTTTAGAGACCTGTTAATAAGCTCTGAGAAGACCTGGGTCTGGAGACTCCAAGGGAGGGCATTGTCTGGGGAGGTGGGGCCAGGGAGGGAGGAAAGGGCAGAGGACGCTCCCACCCTATTGGCTGACAAAATCACCTGGAGTACCTGGCCACAGGTAGGTCCTCTCCCTGGTTCACTCACATGTTGCTAATCAAAGATTTTCTGAGGGACAAAAAGAATGAGGTAAACAGGTGTGGTGAGGGACAAGCCAGGGAAGGGGAATGCTGAGTTTTAAACGAATGTGAAGAAAATGAAAAAACATAAATCCCAATTTTCCCTTCTCCATTCTGACCTGTATGTTTCTAAAAGTCAAAGCCTTTTTTTTTTTTTTTGCAAATGAGGGAAACAGCTCATAAAACTCATTTCCCACCTGTACTATCAATTCAAAATTCCAAGACCAGATCCAATGAGGAAGTTCCTTGTAATGTCTTATGCACTTTATTAAAAAGAAACTGTTTGCCCCGGTGGGGGAAAAAGCTTTCCTTACAAGATTCTTTGATGGCTGAGAAAACCCCATTTGGATATTGAGAGACCTTTTCTGGTATTGCCTGCCATCTCAGGCACCAGGAGAAACACAACAAAATTCTCCAAAGTGGTCACTGGGAAGTGGGGGATTTAAAAGCTGGTCTGCCTAAAGAGAAACAGATATTAAAGAACATTTAAAGAAAGGAACGGGGAAAAGAAAAAGTCACCCACATGTTAAATACCAGAGATGAAATGTGATTTCCCCTTTTAAATATATCCCGGGGCATCCAGCTGATGTTCTTGGAGGAAGAATACAGACTTTAAGTTCCCAAGAGAGAGGTGACTAGCCGGACACCCTCCCCAGTCGCTGGCTGGATCCCTGGGCACCCTGAGGAGGCTGTTTGGCAGGCAGATGGCTGTGATGACAGCTGGAGGCAAGAGTCGGGAAGACCATAGGGCCGGATGGTCTGATGAATGAAGTCTGCTGGGCACCTGCCCTGAGCCTCCCGCCACCATGACACGCATGGGCCAGAGTGACTCAGTTAGGTTTCCACCTCCTGGTGGATGTTTTTCTCTTCCTTCCACATAGTGAGGAGGGGAAACAGCAAGACCTTGGGCAGCGGCATGCAGTCCGACAGGCGGGAGGGAAAGACAGGAGCACGTGGACACCAAACAGGAAGTCCACGTTTATGAGGACTGGATGCCAGGCTGCAGCTACGGAGGGACTGCACATTACCATTCAGCCTCTCCTCCATCAGAAAAGCCCCAGCAGTTGCCATGGCAACGGATGCATCAAATGGTACATCTCCCCCAGAAGAGAATATCATGAAACGTTCTCATTATGGGGGGGGGAAAGGGGCAAAGAAAAAAAGGAGCACATTCCCGGCAAACTTTGCCCCCCTCTTAATTATAAGGTCTTAGGTGCATAGTCATCTCACCTGCTCTCTGCACACACGCAAAATTTAAATGTACAGAAGAAAAAAACCCAAACAAACCAGCAAGGCGGACTTTTTTTTTTTTTAAATAACAAACGAGATGCTTTTATTTTCCTGAAAGAATAAAGATGGAAAATTTGAGGTAAGGAGGAGACTTGGAAGAGAAAAAAATGGCTAAGCATCATTATTAAAAGTTATGCAAATCCCTGGTGTGAACACTTAGGTTCAAGGAAAATCTCTGTGGTTGTTTTTGCTTTCCCTGAGCCATTGGTTTTATTTAAGAAAAATTAAAATCTGCCGAGAAAAGCCCTTCCAATCATCTTGATAAACATCACTCAAAAGGAATGAGCTTATCACAATCTACCAGGCTAAGAAATCTGATGGCAGAGGAGGGGGAAAAGTCTTCCCAAATAGTATCACCTCTACAGCTTTAGCATTTGGTTGTGCATTTAAAAAAAAAAAAAATGGGGCTGGGGATGTGGCTCAAGCGGTAGCACACTCGCCTGGCATGCATGCGGCCCGGATTTGATCCTCAGCACCACATACAAAGATGTTGTGTCCGCAGAAAACTAAAAACAAATAAATATTAAAAATTCTCTTTCTTTTTTAAAAAGAATTTGGGGCTGGGGTTGTAGCTCAACAGTAGAGGGAAGGGGGGGGAGGGAGGGAGGGAGGGAGGGAGGGAGGGAGGGAGGAAGGAAGGAAGGAAGGAAGGATTTTTTTAAATGCCAGTTTTTCCCCTCCCAAGTAATTTACATGTACAGTATGCAAACAAATATCGGTTTTGTCTCCACTAAGAAATTCCACACATATTGTTACCTAAGACTTAGAAAAAGGAAAAGTTACAGAGAGTTTCATTTGGGATAAATCAGTGACAAAAACCACCCTGCTACCCCCCTGAGTTTTTATTTCTATCAATTAAACCAGAGGCTATGAACCGTGTGGAAACAAAGCCACTGAGTTCATACAGCCATGTGCAAAGAAGAGGGAAAGGCATCTTTTGGGTTCCCAGGTCCCAGCCACGTGCCTGCCGCAAAATGGGTCTTCTCAGGTGAGCTGTGAGTCTCTCACACCCTGGTCAGTGCTAAGGTGGCATCTGAATTTAAAAATACTTTGTTTTTTCTACTTCTGCTGTGAACAAGACAACCTAAGCATTTCAAAATACAAGGCTGACTACAATCAGATAGATTCTCCTTCCCTGGATGCCAGATTCTGTACTCAGTGCTTTGTGGATCAATCCGTACGACTGTCCAAAGGGATGGAGACTAGTGTCCCCTCCGTTTTGTACAGAAGAAACTGAAGCACAGGGAGGTTAACTAACTTGCTCCACAGCACACAGCAAGTACCTGGCAAACAGAGACTGGCATCCGTTTCTAATGCCAAGGGTTTTCAATACTGAGTCTCCTGAGAGCTCAGACCTCAAGGGACAGCTGGGTGCCTTTGCCAGCTACTTCTAAGACCTAGGATAGGACGTCAGTGGCAGCCAGGATGGAAACTATGAGAGTTCAAGGTGCCCCTGGTTGATGAGCTGCAGGAGACACAGGAGGCTGGAGGGGCTACAGGACTGTGCCCTGAATTCTGCAAAATGCAAACTTCCCGGGAGCTCCTCTCAAGCCACAGTCTGAGAAATGATAAAGTTTGTTTCTCCATCAGAGCAACAGAACAAAAAGCGATGTGGTAGGGCTGGCCAGCAGATCAGTGCGTGAACATCAGGCTGCCCATTTATCGAAGGTGTGAACTCTCCGGGACACGGAGGCCCCCAATTCTTTACCGTGGCTGTTCATTTCCTGACCCCATGACCTTGGGCAAGGTATTGAACCCATCTGAGTCTCAGTTTCTTAATCTGTGAAATGGGGATGAAGGTCATGTCATCGGGTCAGGGCAAGCATTAACTAATGCATGGACGTATGACGCCAATCTTAGTATGGTCATCGGCAGATGAAAAAGCTCTCACAAAACTGATTATCTTCCCAAAATGGATATTATGAAGATTGATGCTGGTCCAGATGCCAGTGGATACAGATGACTTTTTAGAAAATAGTTCTGCAGGGTGGAGTCAGCACTGTAAGAAAGTAACCACCCTTTGGCTAAGACTGTCCCCTCCTAGGAATCCACTCAGATATACGCCTGCTTGCCTCCTTGTCAAATGAAAATCTCACAAGCCGCACATGAACCTGAGGACCTGTGTGCAGCTGTTAACTTTCGAAGACTTTCAAAAGAGAACTCAGATGCAACAGTAAATGATAAAAGCCAGGAACAGAAGCGACATGCTTAGAATAATCTCAGAGAGAACGTGCCCATGTTTATTGGAAGACGTGGTCCCATGGTTGAAGGAAAAGCCATCAGCATTTACAGCTGGGTAGTGTCACTATGAACTACCTTCGTTATACTTTTGTGTTTATTGTTATCTATAAAATCATCAGTTGCTATAGGGGAAAAAAACTTGTTTAGACTCCACCTAAGTAGAAAGGAAAAGCTTACGTGGTCCTTATTTAGAGCCCGGCTAGTTACAGTGCCCTGATTGGGTAGATAATAGGTAGAACTACCAGTTACTTTCACTTACACCAAAGGCCACGATTGGTCCAAGGAATGTTTTAACCATAGTAACAACAAAAGCTGACTTTAAATCTCAGGGTATGGCTGAGAGGGCAGTAAGGGTCAGTCAAGAGCTCCCAACGCAGAGGAATCGCGGCTACCTACCCTTTTATGGTCTTCCAGTTGTCTCAGGGGTGGACTCGATTCAAGCTCCTGCTAAGTGTGCAGAAATTTCTTTTTAAGTATCACACTGAGAAGACTACCATCTTCACCAACACACAGCAGGCTCATACACAGCCACAGTCAGACAGACAGCAGGCCTCTGTGCATTTCTCCAAATACAATACCAATGCTAAATTACGTTAGGCCCAACCTCCCCAACCCTACTGCATGTTTTAATAAGACTTTCTAGAAAACTAAGTCGTCGTCGTCATCATCATCATCACCACCACCACTGGTATTGACCTCAGAGGTGCTTAACCACTGAGCCACATCCCCAGATTCTTTTTTTTTTTTTTTTTTTTTGGAGACAGGGTCTCACTAAATTAATTACTGAGACAGGCCTTCAACTTGCAATCCTTCTACCTCAGCCTCCCAAGTGGCTGAGATTACAGGCGTGCACCACCATGCTGGGCTGGGCCATCATTTTTTTGCATTATGTTTTGCAGAGGTTATAAAATGTAAGTTCTGTAAGCTACGGTATCATATTAACCCCAAAGGGGGCTGACAAGCAAGACTGACTCAGGCAGGCCTCAGTATTCAGACATGCATTAAGGCACGGTTCATGCAGTACACATGCTTCTGAGTAGACGCACACACAGACCACAGCTCCCTGCGAGCCCCCGACAGACAAGTATTCTAATCAAAACTGAGTGCAGAGCTGATTAGAATATGATGAACTGATCATTAGAACAATTCACACTCAACACAGCCATCTACGTCTGTGCTTCATTTTTAACATCTTCCGTACGCGACTTTCCAACAAAGTGCATCTTATTCTAGCTAGAGCTCCTGTGATCTTCAGTTTCTGAAAGCAAATTCTGATACCAGTAAACACGGCTCCCCCCAGAGCTTCCCTTTGATCTTGCACACTTCAACACATTCTAGCCCCTCATCTAGTGCGCAGCGTTGGTGGCAGGAAGGACAGAACAGAAAGGAGGTATTGGTTGTGAAACTACAACTTTCTCCGCGGTTTCGACTCCGACTATTAATCAATATCCAGAATTTCAAAACCGGATCATCTTTGTACAGCATCCAAAGTCAATTCTGTGTGACAAGAGAAAGATCTCATCATCCCAGAATTTCTCAATGGAACACCTCAACGGAGGCGGTTCTGTGTGAAGACCTTCCAAGAGGCACATTCATTCCCCACCTGGAGGACACTTGGCATAAGGTCCATCTCTGGGGGCCTTTCTTTCCACACTGAGAGTCCCATCCAGCACAGTCATGATCAGTTCCCTCCCACGCCTACCACGGAGACAGACATCCCCCTTGCAATTCAGACACGCAGCCAGGACAACCCAGAAGCACCCGTATTTGCTGGCACAACCAATACAGGTGAGCGACACACCTCTGTGGCGTTCTCGGATTCCGGGGCTTGTGGCAGCTGGTTGGGAAGAAAAGGCAGTGTGTTAGTCAGGGCGCCTGCGTCTCATGGGCCGCAGAGAAGGGCAGAGACAACATTGCAGGACGAGACACATGGCGGAGACCAAAGATGAGGTGTTCCCGCTGCATGGCCCACCCCAGTCACTCGGGTCACTTGCTCTTTTCAACTGAACGTGGTTGTGCTGGAATAGATGACCAGCCCGAGAGGGGGAACATGTTCAAAATAAGAAATAAAGAAATGTGTACTGCTGACCAAGAAGGAACGAGTCTTAAAAGGCCCCTGAAGAAGAACCACACACATCAGGGCTCAAAGGGGACAAGGCAAGCCATGCTGTGCACACCCACAGTGGCTCGTGGAAGAGAGGAACAGGCGGGTGACAGGCGGCCAAGAGCTTGCAACAGTGGGCACTGCTGCTCCCCGGGACGGGGGTCTGTGGAGGGCTTCTGCTCTCTGCCCTCTCCCCTTTCCCACCTACATGCAGTGGAATATGTTGCCCGGGCTCAGGGCACAGAGAGTCCCCTGCAGTGTCTCTGGGAGAAGGAGGGGAGGCTGGGATCTGGGGTACTTCGTGCATCCCATCCCCTCTGCCTGATTTCCTTAGGGGCCTCATGGGCTGGGTTCCTCGGCCCCTTGCCTGCCTTACCACCGAGACAGCCACCCCGCTTCCACCGCCGCCTCCTTATCACAATTTCTAACCCACAGAGGAGAGAAGGTGCTGGCAGGGACCTGCAAGTGACCTCGGAGGAGCATCTGGTGGCTCTAAGAAAAACGTCCACCACTACATGTTGGGACAGCGCCACGAGTCTGGCCAAAGGACATGTGCCCAGGGAGGGAGCTGATGTAGGGTGTGACTGATGTGACTGCCACACTGTGCACGGGCTGCCCCAGACCCAAGCCATGCACCAGGGGCATGGCTGGAGCAAGGTGCAGGCTGGGGCTCTGGACGGCAGCCAGGGCAATCACGCTCACTGCAGGACCTTGGCCTCCGGCAGCCCTCCCGCAGTGCAGCGCAGCCCTCAGAGGCCAGGAGGTGGCTGCAGGGGACAGGCCAGGGCATGTGTGGAGAGCAGCAGGAACTGCAGTGTCACAATCCGCTGGCATTGTCTTCCAGCTCAGGGCAACCCCAAGGTGCAAAAAACCCTCAATCTAAGACCACTGTCACGTGACCTAAGAATTTCTGGTTTGTTTTTATTTTTCAACAGGTAAAATGCAAAGAGAGAGAAAAAAAAAAAAACCGGGGATCAAAATTGCTTCAACAAAGGCAACGGGATGTTCTTGAGAGCTGCTCACTTAATTCTCCACAGAAGACCTTTCCTGCTAGAGCCCAGATCAGGAGTCTCAGGGAGAAGAGTCTCCCTTGGAAGACGCAGCCTCCTGCTAGGGGGTGGGACCCAGGACACCAGTGTTGGAGGGAAACCGAGAACAGCCCAGGGGTCAGTATCTCCTAAATACTACAAATAACAACAAATCCAATTCTTCACACTTTAGGGTGAAGAATTAAAACTGCCAACGTTTGTGCTTTCTGCAAAAAAATAATAAATAAATAAATAAATAAATGGCTGGTAAGAGGAAGCAGAATGAAAGCCAGGGTCAGTGCGTTTGAGAAAACGGTATTATCTTCTATATTACATCAGCACACTCCTGCCGCCATAGGGATGGGGTTCCACGGACTCGCCTGCCTAGTACCCTGTCAATCAAAACCAAAGCTAAATAAAAGAGCTGGAAGTGGAACAGTGTCGCTCCTGTTTGCTTTAGTTCTCTTCTTGCCTGGGCTTTCTCAGTCCAAAGAAGCATCTAGAATTCTTTCACAATGACCACAGGTAATATATTCTTTATTTCCTAAACACTCTGAGAGTAGGGGCTTCTGATTTTTTTTTTTTTTATGATTGTGATCGTGTTCTATTTCCTTCCAAATGATTGTTGGGCTTGCTTTAAAATGAGTTTAATGGATTGTTGACATAAACAGTAAAAATAACTGCATTTTTTTCCTCCACCTTAAAAACTTCATAAAGTGGTTTGAGAGAGCAGGGGATGCTTTGCAGCCTCAGGAATCATTATCTAACCAGAAGGGTGATTTTCTTTTCTTTTTGATTATTTTTTTGATACCAGGGATTGAACCCAGGGGTGTTTAACCCCTAAGCCACATCCTCAGTCCCTTTTTTATATTTTATTTAAGAGACAAGGTCTCATTAAGTTGCTTAGGGCCTCATGTAGTTGCTGAGGCTGGCCTCAAATTTGGGATCCTCCTGCCTCAGCCACCCAAGCTGCTGGGATTACAGGTGTGCACCCCTGTGCCTGGCAGGCAGGCAATTTTTAATGTGCTTCATTTCGGACACTGAATGGAAAAATCAAGAGCACCGGTAGGTGTCCATTGACTGAGGACCACCCAGGGTTCGGCTCTGGATCTGTGAGACCCTGTGCCATTAGTGAACATCTCTGGGCTTCCACTCATCACCTGTTCAAGGAGATGGGGGCAGGTACTCTCTTGGGATTCTTTCCAGCTAAAATATGAAGTCACGCTTGGTGTATTTTCAGTAAACTTCATAAAAATCTAACAGGCAAGTTCCCTAAATAACACAACCTGCTAAAACAGAAAATGCTCTAGGCATGGGTAAGACCAGATCAAACCTAATTTATATTTTGGTAAAGTAACCAACAGTCTGTCAGCATTTCCTCTTAAGAGGATTTTAGCCTTTGAGGAACTATCCTTGAGGATAAAGTGATTTTTAAGGCAGGAAGGTGTTATTTCAGTAAATAGAAGCACATTGATCAGCTATACATGTTCAAAGAAGACAGAGGCACCTGAATATAATACATAATACCCAAAGTAATAAATTAATTGAACTTCTCAGCACAGTCTTATTATCAAAGGGTTTTTTTTCTTTTTTATATGAAAGGTAAAGGCTTCAGTAAACATGTTAAGGAAGACTGAGGGTATGGGCATGTATGAATCTCCTCTGTCCTGTATTGTCCCCACAGGGAGTGCCAGAGCCAGCCACGGTAGTCAAGCCAGCACCGCCTGTCAAGGGAGCATCTCCCAGATTATGAGTGATCAGCACCGAGCTGATCCTGCCCAGCTCTGACCCTGGAGACCTGGCATGGTCCCCGACTGCCTCTTCATGTTCATGCTCTTGGGTTTTAAGTCTTCCCCATGTTTTCAGACAAGGTCAGCAAAATCTTACTTCATAGGAAAAAAAAAAAAAAAAAAACAGTCCAAATGACTGGCACACCTCAAGTCACCAAATCCTAAGTGTCATCTCTGGATAAGGCCGGTAATCAGGGCCTCCAAACTAGGGTACCAGAGCAGGACCCAGATCTGTTCCAATAAGATGCGGCTACATTTGTTTTCACCATATAACACACCTAATATTTTATCAAAGGATGCATTTCTACCACACTTTGTAATTCTCAAACGAAAGCGAGCCCACAGACTTTCTGAATAACTATTTCTTGGTGTTTACAAAACATTGCCCTCCCTCACCTGTCCGTCCTTCCATCCATCATTTCAGGTATGTCATAAACCGGCACAGAGCACCGTCTGCAGGTACCCTTTGTTCTCTGCTGGCCTCAACAGGAACCCCTTTACGGTCCCCGGAATCCTACGATGTTCCTTCAAATGGAACATCTCTGCATGGACTCTCCTGGCACCAAGTGTGACACAAGTCAAGAAATTTAACTGCGACAGGGCCAGATATGAGCACGTCACAGAGAATTTACCACCTCTAACCCTTGAATAAGTCTTCAGCTCCTTTTTTATCCACTTACAACCTCAGGAGAGGGAGATCAACAACAGTGGATGAGTTTGCAGGTAGATTTAACAGGACCTGCCCTTCGCTAGTCTTTGAAAACCCTTTATTAAGAGAACAGAAAGCTTTCAAAGCAAATTGAACCAAACTAGCATTTTACTTGAACAATTTCAAATCTTCACACCTACTAACACGATTCTCTTTAACCCTATTTGCTTTAAGTCGCTCTGTTCTAACAACGTGGCCCTACCTACGTTAGCTAACACAAGTTTCAGAGCTCGATGGTGCTGTTCGTATTTTTTTTTTTTAAGGCATTGATTTGACTAAATGAGACAACTTGGGTTATGATGGGATAATCTCAGCGTTAAGACAAAAAGTCATGCTCGCAAGGCCTGTGCGGGCTCTGCGGCCGCTTCTGTGTGCTCCGAGGTGAGCTTTCTCTGTGGTTGCCAGTGTCTGACAGTAAACAGCTCACTGCATTTATTGGCAATTACTGCTGAAGGTCACACATCAGCAGTGAGCCTAAATTCCAGGAAAAAAAGCAGCTCTTATGTAACTGCCACCCGAGTGTTGGCAGGTGCCCAACTCAGCAGTTCACAGCGATGTAAAAAAGTAGGGCACCTCCACCAGGGTAGGACGTCATGAGAACGCCCCCTGAAGGTGGAAATTCACAATTCTTATGGCACTCTCCTTTTTATTCCCGGCTCTGAGTTTGACCAAGTTCAGTGGCATCTTTGCAGAAGCAGCTGGGGGCGGCAGAAGTTGAGGGCTCAGTTGAAGCTGGCGGCCACCTCTCTGGATAACTGGGAATGTCAGTCTAGCTTTTTTGTTGTGCAGTAGGCAGCCCAAGTTGCTAGTTGTCCCCAGAAGCTCCAAGGGACCACGATTCAATGGAGAGGATACCTCAAATGCACAGAAACGGACACATGCACCGAGCGACAGCCCACACTTTCTAAACTGCCCATACCTTTCCAAGGACACACAGGTGACACCTAGGTGGAGCCTCTCATCACAGGTTAGAAAAGTGGCTCCCGCCATCATCTCCTGGGGCTAACGCCCTACCCGACCTCCTGCGTAGGAGTCCCCAGACAACATGTTCTCACGGTTCCAGACTACTCTTTTTCGACATTTCTCCTGACAGCTGTCATTTTACACTAATTTGTATCATTGTCTCTCTCTCTCCAATGAAAGTGCAGGCTCCAGGGTGGCAGCTACTGCATTCCCTGGGGACACTGTTGTATCCGAGTTCTCCAGCATCTGCCTCAAATGTAACAGGCCCTCAGGACCTCAGTCCTAGAGATGCATGCCTTCACCATCAGCTGGGGTGGTTCTGGGCAGGTGGACACATTATACACCTTGGCCTGGGGAATGGCGACCCAGGGGTGTGCCCACAGAACAATCCATCAAGACTCAAACCTAAGGAGGAGCTGAAGGAACACAAGGCAAGCAGTTTCCTTCCCCAGCCCCTCTCCCCACTGTCCCCCAGGGCCCCAGTGGAAAGGTCAAGTCAGAGGGTGAGGGGACTCTGCCCCTTTATTTGCCAAGAAACCAAACCCCAAACCCCTCCTCTTCCCGGTCATATGGAATTTTATTCTAGAAGACAGCTGCAAAGGGCCCATCGCATGCACGTTTCTTGCAGAGTCCCTGCCTCCGTCCCCACTTCACCCTGTCTTCTCGGAGCCTGGACGGGGATGCAGCAGGCACTGGGCCTTTTTATAGGCTCTCTTGGCATGCCCCCCTGGCCTTTATCATCAAAGGGCAGGGCCTGTCCTCACTGAGGGCTGCTGGGGTGCCAGGCAGGCCCTCCTCTGTCCTCGGGGCCGTCCCCCACCTCAGGCTCTGCAGTGTGGCCACCCCGACGCTGGCCCAGCCTGAGCTCTCATTAACTGCCTGCAGAGACGTGGCTGTGACTGCAGGCTTCCAGCAGAACACGCCGACTAAAGGACCAGTTGGGGGAGAAACCACAGGAGCCGCGGTCGTGTCCAGAACAGCATCGATAATAAAGGCCAATCCGTCATCTCTGCCTAGAGGGCCAGATTCAACAGCCTGAGGGACTGGGGACAGGGTGCTGGTGTCCTGGGGCTCTGACGGTTACCAGGGGTAACAACGCAGAGGGGATCCACAGTTGCCTCCTCAGGGAATTTTCAAAGAATCCCAGTGCCTGCCAGAACATTCTTCTTTTATAAACAGACAGTATTCTATTTCCTAGAGTATAATTATAAACACACCTGCTCCAACTGTGGAATCTTTCCATAAGCAAGCCATAAACTCCCAGCCAGGAGGACCAAGTTGTATCTTGAGCAAGCAAACACAACAACTCATTACTACAGTGCAAAACAAGAGTATTAATAACACCGCGGGCTCCGACCCGCCAGGGAAGGGCTTCTTTCCTTGACTTTACGTGCACTTCAGCAGAGAGAAACGCAACCTCCATATTTCAGGGAAAAAATGCAAATCAGCGAGGCATTTACGTTAGGTAGAGACAAGATTGTGAAGGCTGCCAACGTAGAAATCAGCATAGGGTATTTTTCAGTGCAGTTAAAAAAAATTAATACCACGAACCCCTTTTTTTCTTCACCTTCTGTTCTTTCCAGAAGGCACCGCCTCCTCCCCTGCCCATGTCTGTGATCTCTGTGCTTCAAGGATTCACTGTGCTGACCCGCCAGGAGCTAAGCCCGCTACGTGCTAGTTTGCCACTTTCTTGCTGTGTGGGCCGAGACCTGCCACTTAGCCTCTCTGTGCTCCATTCCCAAAGCAACTGGACCAAATTCACAACCACTTGTCTTGCTTTTGATTTTAAGTCTCTGATTCCAACTCTCCATTGGTGATCTGAACTATTTCTTAATACCTCTGCCATTAAGGCGAATTAATTAAAATACATATCATGGTAGACAACATGTTCTGTCTGATAGCACTCTCTCTCTCACTCAAAATAAGGTATTAATTAGTCTACCAAGAGAGGAAGTAGATCATTAAAACAGACCAGAAAAATCACTACAATATGTCAAATGAAATTCTATTCCAGTATGCTCAATTTGCAGATCAATTAAACATCTCAATCACACACATTAAGTCCTCAAATTAATTTTTTACCAGTACCATTGACTCACCAGCCTAAAAACATGACAAGAAATGTTGGGGAAAAAATGCACAAAACAGACAATATGCAAGGAGCCCCCAAGTCCCACACAAAATGGCCACCCCACTCTTCCGTCTCCAAGATAATTTTGGGCAAATGCAACGAATGTGACACATCCCTACAGAAGCCACTGGGTGACCTCTCAATTTCTGGATGTACAGATAAGAGAAGCCATGGGTACAGGGCATTCCTCATTTCAGGACTAACCACCACTTCCAAATTCACAAGGCCTCTCGGAGCCGTCTACGTGGGCCCCCAACTCAATACTTATCACCAGACACCCAGAAAGCAGTGTTCCTTTTTGTTGTTGTTGTTGTTTAAACCACTTTTAAACTATTTTTTTAAAAAATTCTCATTGCATCAGAAGCTTTACAGGGCAGAAAGGTTCCTTAGGCTAACACAGAGATGGAGTTTCAGAGATAAGTTAACGGCAATGTCAACCACAAATTCAGTTTAGATTCTAGACAGTGAATGAATGGAATCTTATCAGAGTTTTGAGAATCTTTGTCCAGACTCAGATGGGATCTTCAGTGACAAATGGCAAACAAACTCATGGGAAATGCTCACAGAGACAGGACAGATTCTATTTACTCCCCAAAGGGCGCTACACAGAGTCAGGTACTTAGACGCATGGAGACCAGAAGACAAAGGCACGGGGCTAACTGGAAGAGCGTCATGGAAACGCCACCATGGGACATTCAGAACAAAAAAGCAACCAAATTAGGACCTCAGCATTATCCAACTCATCAATGGAAATTTGCTGGAAAAGAAAAAAAGGGGAGAAAAAGAAAGAGAGGTTAGAAAAAGAAACATAGCCTGCTAAGTGTTAGAGACTCTGTAAATGTATTCTTGTGGGTCACCTTAAAGGGCTATTAGATGGTGATGGTTTTTAGGGTCTGGGGCATTGTGGACCACAGCTTGCAGCAACATCTGTGGATATCTGGATCAAAGGGGGCAGGATGCTGCCACAGTTCATTCGCATCCAGGTATCAAACCTCCCGAGTCACTAGGCCACGCATCCAGAGGGCCCTGCACTCCCTGACGGGGACATGAGGTGGAACCGGGTGGGAACAAGGGCCAATTCCCCAAGCAACGCTTCTTTTGGCAGAGTACAGAAAGAACAGAGAGGAAGTCTAGAGTAGGACTGACTCAATTTAGAAGGAAGTTGTTGCCTGAGACTTATTTCATGGTTTCAGTGGGGTCAGGAGCTCACCCTGCTGATGAGCCCAATGAGACCCAGCAGTCCTAGGCTCATACTGCTGATGACCGAGGGACGGGGACAGCACAGTTGGCGCTGACCCAAGTCACACCCGTAACACAGCACGTATTAACTCAAATACTAGGGAAAGGAAAGACTCACAGGAGAATGATCACAATGATCCCTGTTTCAGGACAGAGGGAAGACTCTCATGTGATTTTACCACATTTTGTATTTAGTATGTTCTGCGAATTGAAGTGGCTATCGGAAAGATTACTGGCTTGAAATATCAATGCTTTACTCACCTAGGACAAAGCAGCTTTGGTAATTAACAAGGATTACAGGAAAAGGAGACCCCCCGCCTTACCTGGGATCCTGGGCTCTCTAGTACCAAACAGCTAAGACTATTCAGAAGGAAAAATGGAATTCTAAGTAAATTCTGAGCTATCCTTTTACACAAATTCCTGGACTCCAAATTCCTTCCCAGAGCTCTTTAATAATTTAAGTCAACAGTAGCTGAATAAAAACCTAGTCAACTACAGTAGCCAATTCACTAACTGTAGTCCCCTTTTCCGGCATGGCCCAGGGGCCTGAAGATTTTTGTTTGTGTGTGTTAGAGAGAGATTTGAATTAAATTTTAGAGATGCTTAGCCATGGAGGTTTTTTTTATTTTATTTGGTTGTTCCTTAAATATGGACTTGGTTTTAATCTGTAGATTAAAAGCAGAGTTTAGTAGGAATCCCCCAAAGTGTTTGCAAAGTCCTGAGATAAACTCAAATAAATTGGAAGTTTGCTTTGAATAGACAGGTTATACAGTTACTATAAGCATCGTACAAAAATGTATTCCACCATCATTTCAGTGATGATTTTTAACATTTCTTTATCTCATATTCCACTCTGAGAACACTCATTTCTGGTCATTTGCACTTTAGAGTCTTAATAACTAATGATATTTTTGTTCCTAAGTGATTGCTAGGGTTTGGGTATGTGTCCCCCCAACGGTCACATGTGGGAGGTTGGACCTCAGTACAGAGATGCCGGGAGGTGGTAGGACCTAGCAGGATGCATTGACATCACTGGCAGTCCTCCCTGAAAGAAATGAAGGTTCTTCTTGTAGGATTTTGAGTTACTTGCCAAAGTGAGTTCCCTCTCCATCAAGAAGCTGGCTCAGAATGTGATTTCTGGCTCCCCCAGAGGCTCCACCTGGTGCCAATCCCCATCTGGCCCTTACCAGAGGGCAAATTAATGAGGTCGCCTCATCTTGCTTTATAACATCACCAGCTCCTGGTAGTTTATTATAGTAAGAGAAAAATGCACCAGCACAGGGATCAGAAGTAAGCTAAAGCCTAGTGTTTAAGCTCTGCTATACTTGGTGCTATTGGGGCCAGTGCCCCCGTTGACACTATCATGTAACATGATGAAAACTTAGATGTTAAACCTGTAGGTGGACTTAAAACACTCAAATGGTGTCTGTTCACTTAGGTGGGATCCAGTTGTGCAGAGCTGGTCTCTGGAATCAGCCTGCCTGTCTGGGTTTAAGTTCCTGTCTTGCTGGTTATCAGATGTGTGACCCCAGGCAAGTTTCCGAACCTCTCTGAACCGGAATCTTGTAACTCATGTTTAAAAATAGTAACAATAATGATACCTATCACTGAGGCTGATCTGAGATAAGGTAGGAGACGTGCTCAGTGTAGTCTGTGGCACCCAACAAGAAGCCAATAAAAGTTACCATTGTTATTAAAGACATCCTCTACCAAACTGGTGGGTACACATAACAGTTACAGTCTGACGGGGACTCTGGTATATTTTAATTGATTTTTAATACAGGTAACAGTTCTCAATGGCTTCTTCTTTTTAAATTTTGTTTCCAGGCAAGTAGACTCATCTAAGCACACCACCGTTTTTGAACAGGAACATACAGGATGATTTCCAGTTTATTATTTATGTGTGACCCTGACTCTATCCTAAGGTTGAATAAAATGTAGAGATGAGGGAAGGCTATCTAAGCCTCGTCACTTATAGTGATGACAGCTTAGAAAAGACAAGACGACATGGTCCATGCCGGTGGATGACCCTTGGGGAGGCTGGAGACCTGGGTTCCAGCCCTGACCCCACCACAGACACTTCATGTGACTGTGGACTCTCGTCTTAGCCCTCAGCTTGGGCTCCTTGAATGCAGGGGGAGGGCAGGGAAGCCAAACAGCCCTGGCACCCACAGGAAGGTGATGGTCATGGGACAAGCTGCCCGTCAGAGGTAGCTGAGATGGGAGGAGGAAAACGCCTCAGCTCCCAGGCCAAAGAATCTCTCTTTGATTTCACCAATGAGAGCCAACTGGTTTGCTTGAGAAAGGTTAGTTCTTTGGCTCCGGGTGACTTCCACCCTTGACGAAGTTGGCCTGCCCTGTGGATCACGCTTCTTCTGTCAACGGGAACAGTTAGTAAGGTGTCAAAAATATCTTCAGAAAGCCTGGAGGGAGCGGAGTTAATACCAAAGACCAGAGGGGGAGAAGCAGAGTGCTTTAGTGTCCTTAGTCCCCTCTAGAGTGGCACTCATAGGAATGGCTGGTTGGCATTTTGCAGCCACCAAAACATGGGGATGAGAGCTGCAGCTCTGTGCTGGTAGCTGCTAGACAAACACAGGTTTCTAGAATGCCTTCCTCAGCTTCATGACCATCCTCATCCACAGGATTTTCCTTTTGGTGATGGGGGATGACAGGCCCAACCTCTGGAAAGAAAGCTCTCTCCTCCCAGCCTCTCTGCTTGGGTGTGATGAATTTCTTCACCATATTAAGAAACTTGAGTTAAGGGGCTGGGTACAGGGATGCATGCCCCCCACAATCCCGCGACTCAGGAGGCTGAGGCAGGAGGATGGCAAGTTCAAGGGCAGCCTCGGTAACTTAGCGAGACCCAGCCTCAAGATAAAACATAAAAGAGCTGGGAATGTGGCTCAGTGGTTAAGCACCCCTGGGTTCAATCCCCAATGCCAGGAAAAAGGAGTGGGGGGGAAGACCTGCCTAGGTGTCTAGGCAACAGCTGTTTGAATAGACCCTCTCATATTTCTCCAATGTACTAGGGTTCTTTGCTTCTATTTATATTTATAAACACTTGCCGGGCATGATGTCTCCAAAAATTCCTACTGAGTTACAGAAAACTGTTTTCTAATTAGTCAATATTTGTTCACCTTTTAATTTATGTATTTTAAACATTAAGAGTAACACTTAAAAGCCTTGTGATTGGGGGGCAGTGGAGGAAGGCTGAGCACTCGGAGGATCAGATGTTTTCTTATGTAAGGACCCTCTTGTCTGAAGCTGTTCTAATATGAATGAGAGGAGTCGTGGAGCTCAGAAAGCAAGGTTCCTGCAGTTGGTGGGATGGCCTAGTGGGCACCACCTATTCTGACAAGGAAGGCTGTCATTTAATTATCAAGGCTTCTTCGTAGAGCTGAAAAAAATCAGTTCCTGGGAATTTTGAAAGGCCACCAAGCTCTGTATATTGACCTATCACAAATCACTGCCAAAGGGCCCAGCAGACATTGAGCAGACTTCGCACCTGCCAAGGCAACCAGGTGTGACTGGAGCGCAGGCCTGAGATGCTGTGTTGGGGACTGAAGTGACAGTGGGGTTGGAAACGCCCACGTGGCCCAACATGGGAGATGAGGAGGACATCTGGGCCGATGCCTGCTCACTGTGTGTCCTCAGCAGCAGGTCACGGGGACTGTCCCTTTCACAATCCCACTCAGAAATGGTGATGTATCTGCCTGCTGCTGAGTTTCCAGTTAGAACTGGATGGTGTTCCTTCATGCTCTGGAGGGGTTGTGCAACCCCTCGTTGGAAAGAAGCAAGCCACCCCACAGGTGCACTTAGCTGGAGCCCCAGTCCAGGAACACTCAGAGGTATGTACTTCTCACTGGGAACTTAAATGAGGAAAACCTCTGACATTACATGGCGAGCAGCCCATTAGAGACAACCAAGTACATTCTAGCTTTCTGGGCCTCAGACACCCTAGGCAAAAGCTCTACCACTGAGCTACATCCCAGCCCAGCACATCTGACTTTTAAGGAGACACTCATATGATTCAGCTACCTTTAGCAACAGGTTAAACAGCTTTAAAAAATGCCTGAATTAAGATTATTTCTAAGAAATAATTAAGATTATTTCTAAGCACACTCATCCCTTCAATTTAATAGCAAGGCAAGTTTTTTCACAGGAAAATAAAACACGGTACCTTTTCTCCGTAGCCTCTATCTTTGGTCATCATTTCTCTGAGGGTCTGTAGGACTTTAATGCAAAGTTTCTCCTCATTTTCTTCTAGTAGCTGTTTAGTATGCTTTATTAACCTGAATGAGGGAAAACCACAGATTACAACCCTAGAACTATCTTTCCATTAAAAACACTTTACAAGAAACTTATTGTAACTAGTCGATTAAAGAACCAATATTTATTAAAGTTAAACTGACTTGAGGACACGGTCACTGCGCCCAGAAGAGACCCAGACTGTGGCTCCACAGCGACACCTGCTGGCCGTTAACAGCCCACGGGCTCAGCAGGTAGAAAGTGACCATGTACAATGGAGAGATTAAATATGCAGCTGAGAAACCAGGAGGTCCACTCATGAAGTGAGGCTCTTTATCCACTGAGGACTGCCGCTGGGATATGCCAACAGGGTATAAAAAAATAACCTCAACAGGATAAAGTTCCCTAATCCACAGCCTTTGAGGGGTTCTCCAAAGGAAGAAACTCCTAGGCAGGGGCCACCCCCAAGGTAGACAAACTCAGGGTAAAAATCAAACAGAGCTCCCTAGTCATGCGACCACTTGCCTCTTTCCGATTATGCCCCACGGCACAAACTAAGAACTACCCAACTGTTAGGAAAAGATCTGAGGTCATGTGGGCCTGAGATTTGTAAAGGCTGAGAAGTCATGATTGTTTTACATCTGAGCTGCTCAGCGTGGAGGGTGCTCTGTCGAGACTTGCTGGAGGGCGAATGAATGGGCATGCAATGAAAAGGAGAGAGTCTCACCAAAAAAGAAAAAGGAAAGAACAAGGAAAAAGAAAAACAAGTTGTCAGTTAAGTAGGATTTAATAGACGAACCACATTGGGAAGGTCAGAACAGGACTCTAGCACATGACCTTGCATCCATCAAAGTCAAACACCAGGACAGTGTCTCCTTCTGCGGAAACAAAGGCTCAGTCTGGTCACCAGACTTCTGGCCACTGACTACCACCGAGAAAGGGGCCACTTACTTGCAAATGAAACCACCACTTTCGCATTTCCGTCGGGCATCTGTGTTCTCCGGAAAAAGCAGCTCGGGCCTATGCAGGACATCGACGAGCACAGACAGCTCTGCTTGCACCAGTGGCCTGAGGCGGTCCTCCAGGGCCGAGACAATGTCCTGCAATGGAAGCAGGGCTTGGTTGCCAGCTCTGGCCAGGGCTGGTGGCAGCAGGGCCCGAGCCCACTGCGGCCCTAAGCCACAATGCACAGGCTAGGCTGGGTTAGGGTGACTTCAGTACTGTGTGGCATTTATCTCACAGGCTCAGACCCTGTGCAATGGTCACCTGAAGCATTGCCTCCTGATGCAGAAGATGCCGACCGGACAAATCACGCCCCACCTCCCCTTCCTCTGAGATGGTTTTGTGCTACTCGGGGGATCATTCCACATATTTTAAGATAGGATGCAAAAATGCAGTTAACAGTATGGAAAGATGTCTACAATACAAGTGTAAAAATGGTCAAGCAACACCATGGACCATGATGCTATTTTTATAAGCAAAATCCCAAACTAAAGGATACATATGGACTACTTTGAAAACATCACTACTGCTTTTCTCTGGGTGGTGGCATTACAGGTGATGCAGATTCTCTTCTATCGAGTGTCAGTGTCATGTATTTTCAATGAGCATGGATTACTCACACAATCAAGTCATATGAACATGAAAACACACACATGAATGAACATGCTGTATCAACATGCTAAATACATGTACCCTGATAGCATGATGGTCTTCAAATGCAAAACACACAGCTGCAGGAAAGGAAAACAGAGAGAAGTTGAAAGAGCAGCAAAACCAACACAACAAACACCATTTAAAGGCAAATGATAGATAAACAGATGAGAAGTCATCTTCAAAAGATGCTAAGCCTGTTCCGCGGCTCGCCGACTCGGAATTTAACTGGAAGCATGCTAAGATGGGCAGAGCACGCTAGATCATCGGTGGGGGGTGGAGGGGGTGTTTAAACAAGATTTGCAATGGCAGAAGCTGCTTAAATTGGCATTCACCTCCACTGGGGACCCAGCTAGGACCAAGAAAGAATTGACAGGTCTTTTAACCAGAAACTAAAATTAAACCACTTGGAGAGAATTTTACCCTATATTTAACAAAATTAGGTGATAATTTTAACCATTCAATAATGTTTAGGTTACATAAAGAACAGATAAATGAATCAAATAAGGTCCTTTTTTTTTTTTTTTTTTTTTTTTTTTGGCATGGAGCAGGGAGTGGTAATTTTCCCAGTAAGAACTGGAAGACAATAGATCGCAATATCTATTAATTCGTGTGATTTTCATAGCAGTCAAAAAGAGGGGTCATTTCTGCAACATTCTCTGGGGGTCTTTTTCCCTAATAGCTTCCCCTTGAGAAGCACTCAACTTTCTCTTCTTCACTAGCTACTGGCCCCAAGTCTGGCAAATCTTTGTTTAAGGCACTGGCATGGGACGGACTGAAGTAGCTCTTTCACATGACATCCATGATATTTCATGAAATCTTACATCATTTGCAAAATCTGAACTTGACACAGCAATTGATCTACATTGCATTGTCAAACGCAGGACATCCGGCAATCAGGAGGGGCCAGCAAAGACAGCAAAGCAATGGGTAGGGGAAGATGCTCAGGGAAGAGTGTCTAAACAGGATTTAATCATACAAGGGGTCAGTTTCCCAGCGAAAGTTCTTATATCCTGAAAGTTCTTGTTGGATCATGGCAAGGCTTGGATAATAATGTGCAGAATGAGGATCCTGTAAGTCCCTGAGCAAGGCTTTTTAGCTAGTATTACCTACAAACGTGTTCTAATTCATCCCAAAAATATGCATAATAGATTGAAGAAAAGCATAAGAAATGGGTGTGTTTGACTGCAGGTAAATGATGTAGATTGTGTGAGAAGATTCTGTGCATTCAGAGTCGAGAGTATATATTACACGCCCCCTTTCTAAAAAAGCACAGCGAAGTTAGGAAGCATTTCCATTCGGAATTCAGCTACCTTTGCTCACGAATGGGTTCTATCATGATACAGGATATAATTTTTTTTTTTTTTTTTTTTTTGGTAACAGGGATTTAACCACTGAGCCACACCTCCCACCCCTCAGGTTTTTTTTTTTGTTTTTTTTTTTTTGAGACAGGGTCCCATTAAGTTGCTTAGGGCCTCGCTATATTGCTGAGGCTGGCTTTGAACCTGTGATCCTCCTGCCTCACCCTCCCAAGACACTGGGATTACAGATGTGCGCCACCGTGACGGCTAAGGATGGAGTTCTTGGCTGGATGTGTGAAGCCTGCCAGCCTCTCTGGTCCACAGATCGCCAGCCGCACTGACCTCCCTTATATCTCTGGATGCTCCCTATTCTTCTCTGTATAATGGTCTTCCTACGTGCTGTTTGCCTGCCTAGTTCTTTAAATCCTACTGTTTTCTGGCCTGGTTCAAAAGTTATTCCCTCAGCAAAGCCTTCCTTGTCCCCACCCCTAACCAGCCCAGCAAGATCGGCTCCTCGTCTGAGTCCTGCAAGAGCTGCTCACTTCTCCACAGGATTTGTGCCTCTGTCATTTTATGTTTACCTGCACAATTAGCTGATTAATGTCTGCCTCCTCTCCAAAACATGAGACTCTAGGAGGCAAAGATCATTTCTGGGTTTTCTCCTCACTTTATATCCCCAGTATGCAGCAAGGGGCTGGTGGATGCATCTGCAAACTTGCAGAGGCTCAGTTACTTCACCTAATAATAGTAATTATTATAGTCGCAGCAGTAACAACAGTTGTAATAATAATAATTACATTGGCAGCTCTTAATAGAGTGCTCAGGACATGCCAGGGACTGTTCCACTAGCTTAATGGGTTCTGAATTTTCCAAGGATGGCTACACGGTATCCCATTTTCCATGTTGTTCTCACATGTGACACTGACATCTCTCTCATTCCATGGTGGTCCATGTTTCCTCTCCTTGAAACAGAGTGGACCTCTGAGGCTACTTTGACCAACAGAGCACAGCCCAAGTGATGCTGTGTGCTTTCTGACAACCAGGTGATAAGACAATCAGCCTTCCCTGTCTCCTTCCAGAAATGCTCATCTTGGGCCCCAGCTGCCATGTTGTGAGGAAGCCCAGGCCACATGGGGAGGCTCCATGTGGATGTTTCAGACTCTAGCCCAAGACCCAGGTGACCACCAAATCCAGTGATCAATACGAGATAGAACAAGGTTTAAAGGTGATTCTAGCCATGGCCACAACTTGACTGAAAGACCTCATGAAAGACCTTGAACAAGACACTTCGCTGGCCCAGTCAACCTCATAACAGTCAAAGAGAATAATTTAACTATCAATCTTCGTTTCACAAGATGTAGAAATCTGGGACATGCTATCAACTCTCTTAATGCTCACATCACCCCCAGGAGGCAGGGGCTACCATCATTCTATTTTATAAATGAGGAGAGGGAGCACAGAGGAGTTAAGTACCTTTCCCAAGGTGGTACCACTTCTGAGCAGTGGTGCCAGAATCTGAATCCAGGCACTTGCCTGAGACCATGCTTTAATGGAGGAAGGACAGAAACAGAGAATGTAGTCCAGCTAGATTCTAAGAATACTTCCGTTTTCACGTTCTCATTCTGAAGTTTCATTTCTCACAACTTCCCTCAGGAATCAGCTATACTCGATTGTCCACTGGTTCAAGAGCCTAGATATTCTGGAGTGTTGGGAAAAATGGAACCTCGATGCCCTTATTCTGAGCATCCCTTTGTCATAATTAAACACGCCTTGCACATGAGGCAGAGTCCCCAGTGTTCACAGACAGAGCTGCACTTCTGTGTATGACCTTGGAAGACCTTGACCTCATCAGGAGCAGTAGGCTTCCTAAGCAGCTCTGTGTTCCTGCTGCTCATCTATGGCCACCCGTGACTCTTCACAAACCTCATGGACGTCTCCCTGTGCCTGAGCGTGGACGCTCCTAGGCTTGAGGAAGCACAGGGGCATGTGGGAACACCTCAGCCAGGTGAAGCACCACTTCCCTCAGCACTAGGCATTACCTGCAGTCTCTCGATGATATTCCGGTAGTCTCTGGAAGCTGCCAGAACAGAGTCTCTGCGAGCAGCATTGCGGGCTGACAGGCGCCAGTTCATGGCCGTTTTCTGCACAATGTTGTGTGACTTCAGGAAGAGGTTGTTGACTTGGCTGTCCAGGTCCACAGGAATGGCAATGGCCCGGCTCTTGGCTGCACAGGAGAGAGGACTTGTGAAGGCCTTACCCCTCATTCCCCCGTCAGGCAGATTGTCCATGCCGACCACCTGCCAGCTTGCATGGTATCGAGGGTGAAGACTGAACATCCTGACACTACCCCACCATCTTTGTGGCACTATGGATGGAATCCAGGGGTGCTCTACCACTGAGCTACATTCTCAGCTTTTGGCACCAGAGATTGAACCCAGGGGCACTTAACCACTGAACCACATCCCCAGCCCTTTTTTTATATTTTATTTGGAGACACAGTCTCACTAGGTTGTTGAGACTGACTTTGAACTTGAGATCCTCCTGCCTCAGCCTCCCAAGTCGCTGGAATTTCAGGCATGTGCCACTGTGCCCGAATCCACTTCACTATCTTTTAGATTGGGGCTTCCCAAGGTTTGGGGACGGGAGCTCTTCAGAACACTAAAATGATCTCAGGTCATCAAGTTTTGACAAGTTAGGGTTGACAGATTCATGGGTTCCCTCCATACATGGCTTCTTCAGGGCACTAACGTGTTCTTTTAAGAATCAAAACAGGGAACTCGTTTGGCCAGTGGATTATTTTTCTAAAGATTCTCTTTCAAGTTTGTTGTTTTACACAGCGATCCACATAATGCTGATGTGAGATGAACATCACACAGGCGGCATTCGCGATGACACAAAAAACTCTTTTGAGATAGTATTTTTTTAAGAAGGGAAAAGAAGAGTAACTTAGACTGAGGTAGCTCAGTGGTAGAGTGCTTGCCTAGCACATATGAGGCACTGAGTTCAATCCTCAGCATCACATAAAAATAAAGAAAAAAAATATAGGGATTGTGTCCAATCTACAATTTGGAAAAAAAAAAAAAAAAAGACAAACTTCATGCTAGGCATAAGGGTGCACACCTACAATCCTGGAGGCTTAGGAGGCTGAGGCAGGAGGATGGCAAATTCAAGGTCAGCCTCAGCAATTTAGTGAGATCTAATCAACAAGACCCTTGTCTGAAAAAATATAAAAAGGGCTGGGGACGTGGCTCAGTGGTTAAGCACCCCTGGATTCAATCCCTGATACAACAAAAAAAGCAAACTCCAATCTAATCATGAGAAAAACATCCGTTGAACAGCCACGGGCCAGAGGAGATCTGGAGAAATGACAACCGTGTGCAAGGTGGCAGCCGGGACTCGCCCCTGGCATGAAAGGACATTCGTGGAAAAAACTGGTGAAATCCAAACCAAGTCTACAGCTCAACTAAGAGCCATGCCAGTTCCTTGGTTTAGACCAACGTCCCCTAGGAGGTGCTGCCCCTGGGAGAACTGGGTGAAGGGTACATAGGAGCTCCCTGCACCATCTCTGCAACTTTCCTATAAATCTAAAAATATTCCTGAATTAAAAGTTTATTTAAAAAAAGGAAACCGAGACAGACAATCCTGGCTGCTCTATGGGAAAACCTCCAACATCAAAACAGTGATTTCCTGTCGTCAGGGCTTTCAAATGTCAGAAGGAAAGAAGGTGCTCTACTACCTGCATCTAAACCAAGGAACAACTTTAACATCCTGGAAGAAGAATCACAGAAACAACTGTTTAAATTCTCATAAAAAATACACCACCTAGGGCAAGAACCGTTAGCCTTTCAAGAATTTCCTAATAGTTGAATCAGAAAATGAGAAGGTTGGAAGCAAGATACAAGTGATATAAAAATTAAGCAGCAGGACAGGACACGGGATTCACTCATCTCAGCTAGAAATCCCGTGCTTCATCACGAACATGTAGCATCTAGACTTTCAAATCCTCGTCTCTTACTGTGAAACACTGCCATGTAAGTAAGAAGGCATCAGTACCTACCATGAGGGAACAAAAGAAATCAGGCTTGGACCACTGAAACCAGGCAACGGGTCCTAATAAACACAATCTATCCTTGCTGAACAGGCTCTTAACAGTGCCAAGACTCCTTTGCAGGGAGTAGCTACTCCGAGGTGACATCCTTCTCAAGAAGAGGAAGGCTTACCCCCTGCACACGGCACTTATAGGGTGGGAAGTGGGTACACAGCAGGCTATGTGCTTAAGCAGATCTCACAGGAGGCGGAGGACAGCGGTCACTAGGGGCTGGCGGTGGCAAAGGGGAGAAAGGGGAATGACAGGTTGGATGCTGGGTACCAAAGTAGAGTCAGATGGGAGGAAGAAGTTCTAGAATGTGCTCTACCACACAGCGGGGTGTCTACGACTTACAATAGTTAACCGTCTCAAATTAACTAGAAGAGGGTCATCTGAAGCTCCTACCAGAAAGAAAGCCTCATTCTGCCCACGGGATCAGTACACACTGTGTGCATGTATCAAACAGTAACCCTGTATCCCAGAAACATGTGGGGTATCAGGTGGAAATGAAGGTTTATTTATTTATTTAATTATTATTATTATTATTTTTTTGGTACTTGGGATTGAACCCAAGGCCGCTTAACCACTGAGCCACATCCCCAGACCTTTTTTATATTTAATCTAGAGTCAGGGTCTCACTGAGTTACTTAGGGCCTCGCTAAGTTGCTGAGGCTGGCTTTGAACTCAGGATCCTCCTCCCTCAGCCTCTGGAGCTGCTGGGGTTTTATATATATGGGAAGGGGGTGTTGCTTGTGTCACATATGGAGGCCCTGTGTTCTGTCCCCAGTACTGGAGGGGAGGGGACCACTAATAATGTCAAGAGAAGTAATTGTCCTAACTTTTTTCTTAACTTCCTTCAAACCACCCATGAAAGGTGACATGAGAATGGAGAGGGGACAGAGGGCCACTTATCAGAGAAGGGCTGGTGGGAAGGAGCGTCACTTCTGAAAAGGGATGTTCCTGGGGTTCTGACCAGTGCTTTCCAGGAAGAAGGGCTAGGACGTGGTCAATGTTTCTGTTGGACTAAACACGCGAGGGACTTCCCAGGGGCTTCAAGAACCCGCCTACCCTGAGACTTGCCAAGAACCACCCCACACTTGACCACGGAATCTTTCTCAAGACCTAGCTTACTTCTGGACGTGTGGCTCTCACTGCAGGAAGTGCTGGCCTGGCAGATGAAAGGGAGGCCGAGGGAGGCCGAGGACCTGGGAGACCTTTTCAGGGAGGCTCTGCAGTGTCAGTCTGTGCAGCCTTAGGGGAGGGCCCAGCGCAGCGGGCGACGCCCATCACCCCATCGTCCACACAGACATCTTACCTATGTCCAGAGCACCGGGATCCCATCACCCCAGACATCTCACCTACGTCGGAGAGCACCCGGATGCAGCTCTCCACGGAGGCCTTCTGGCTGGGCATCAGCCAGTTGCAGTGGTAGACCCGGAACACGCCCTGCAGCAGCTGCACGAAGACAGGCTGGCGAGTCTGCAAGAAAGGACAGGACCGGGGGGCACGGGGACAGGGTGACTCTTTGGAGGTCTCCAACAACCTGACTGGAAAGAGACACTGCCTCAAGCAAGTTACCAGGCCCCAAGGAGGATTGGGAGGTTCTGGGGCCGAAGCCCAGAGTCCCTGCTCTAGTGTGGATGTCCAACCTCTCCCAAAAGCCCACACGTCTTGGTCCCCAGAATGGTGCTGCCTAGTGAGGCCCTTAGGTCACTGGGGACACTCCCTTGAAGGGGACTGGGGGAATCTGGCCTTTTCCTTGCTCTCTTTTGCACCCTGGCTTGCGATGAGATGGGTGGTTCTGCTGGACCACACACTCCTGCTATGGCCTGCTGCTCCCCCAGGCCCAACCACTCACACACTGCAACTTCCAGGACAACGAGCCCAAATAAACCTTTTCTCTTTATAATTACCTCAGGTGTTTCATTATAGTGACAGAGAGCTGACCAGCAGTGCCTATCTGAGAAGAAACACTGAGAAGCATTTGAAGGCAGTGATAAATGTGATGTCATCTAATGGAGTCTGACCACAGAAATGGACAGTGGAATCAAAGTCCCAAACCTTGTCCAGTTACCAGCTAGCTGTGTGACCTGAGGCCAATGACTACATCTCCCTGAGCTTTAGCTTCATCCCATACAAAAAGCAAGCGGATGGGGGCAAGTTAACTCCAAAGTTAACTTACACTCATTATATCCTGTGAGCAGAACATATATATTTTAATTGGTGAAAAACAAACTGAGAAGAGGGTTCGAGCCTGAATGACAAGTCTCTATTTCTGACAACATCTTCAATGTATAAAGACAAGAGAAGTCTGATGGGTAGTCTTCACTTACTAGGGAAGAATATTCGGAAGTTAACTGCATGGGAGGATTTATCCCACTAGGAAGGAATAAATTTGTGCTCATTCTAAAGTACAAGACCCCAAACATCTACTTATTCCACCTGACACTGATTTTTCTGAATGTATAGAAAGGCTGTAAATTTTGGTCTCCATCCAAAGGAGGCTTTGGGCCTTCAAGGAGAAGACCACTATAAATGGTGAGCTGCTCTGCTGGTCTTTGGTTTGGGGGAAAGGACTCACAGAGCCCCTCCGGAAAACACTACAATTGAATATAACAAAGAAAAAAAAAAAACATTGAAAACTCTGAGCTAAAAGAAAAACAATGGAAGGTGGGGCTGAGGCTCAGCAGTAGAGTGTGCGTCTAGAATGCACGAGGCCCTGGGTTTGATCTTCAGCACCACATTAAAAAAATAAATAAATTAAATAAATGTGTTATTTAAAAAAAAGAAAAACAATGAAAAGTGCTAGGAGGAACAAAGGAAGTCTATTGTGCTGGGTGTGGGGGTGCCACAAGCTTGTGATCCCAGCAATTCAGGAGGCTGTGGCAAGTTTGAGGCCAGCCTCAGCAACTTTAAGGAGATCCTGTTTCAAATTAAAAAAAAAAAAAAAAGGGTCCGGACGTAGCTCAGTGGTATGGTGCTCCTGCTTTAAAAAAAAAAAAAATAGTATATTGCAAGAAAATGGAACATTAATAAGATATTCAGAATCTCCCCCATACCTCAAGCCATCCAAGACAGCAAACGGTGTTCCTAACAGAAGACAGGAACACAGGGAGGCTGGGAAATTGGCCAAGAACCCTAGTTTTATCCCCCGAGTTTTGTGGCTGCTCCTGAGAACTCCAAGGGCCCAAGGAGAGTGGCGCTGGGCTGCACTCCTGTCCCACCGAACCTTGCCAGGACCCTGGGGAGGTGAGTGGTCCCACAGGTGCTGGACGTGGGATGAGAGCCTGGCAGCCTGACTCGGAGAGAAGCATCCCCTGACCAGTTCACTCGAGTAAGCCAACATTTACTGCACATCTGCTTGGTTTCCTTTGACATCTGAGCAGAGAAGAGACGAACAGATGGCTCTGAGGACCTGCCTCCTCATTGCTCAAAAGCCATGGGCACTCTGGGGGCATCAGCTCACTTGACCTCTTATGCAGAAGGGCATGACTGCTGCTATGATTTGTTGAGAGTCCAGTAGGGGCTAAATGTAATTGAAGGCTTTGTCCACAAGGTGGTGCTATTGGAGAGGTTGGAACCTTTGAGAGGTGAGGCCTAGTGAGAGGTCTTTAGATCATGGGGTCTGTCCTTGGCAGAGATTGTAGGACTCCAGTTCCCCCGGCCCTTGCAACTCAAGTTCAGTTCATTTTGCTCCTAAATACTCCCAGCATCCTTACCAAAACTGAGTTAATCAAAATACCGTGTCTTTGAACCTCTGAAACTGTGAGCTAAAGAAACCTTTTCTCTTTATAAGTCAGTTGTCTCCACCATTTCACTGTAGTAACTTGGAGCTGACTAATACAGCAGCCCATCATCTTCTTCCAGGCTTTAACAAGGGACATAACACTGAGAATCACTGTGGAAGGGTGCAGGGTTATGCAATGCACAAATCCAAGAAGCACCATTGGTAAAGAATTCCATGGGAACAGTGCATGTGGACCTGGGCAACGCAGCAGACCTGATGTTATGGCTCATCAACTTCTCACTCCAGCCACACAGCGCTTCCAAGGAACTCTCCATGTACACTCCAGCTTACCAGGGAGAGTTCCAGTGTTTGTGTTGTTTTAAAAAGAGGTGATAAGCTAGCAGCTATTAAAGAGGTTCTTCTCTAAGACTGGAGGGAGGGAGGGGAAGACTGAAAAGGGGAGAAGGGATTTTAAGAAAAATCAAAAAATAACCAGGCCTGGAGACAGAGCTCAATGGCGGCGCTACAGCACGCATGAGGCCCTGGTCTAATTCCCAGTTCAAAAAAAAACCATCCCAAACAACAACAAAACCTACAGCCAAGAGAACCGTTCGGGATAAGGAAACCTCCCAGGTACCGTCAGTCCTGACTACAGGTTCCCTCTCTGCAGGCTCCTCCCATCGAGGATGGGAACTCTGGGATGAAAACATTGCACCTGCACCAATCCCATGTCCGCTTTATCTTCCTGTCATTGTTCCCTAAACAATATCTTTTAACCACTATTTTCCCAGCCCTGACGTTGCAGTAAGTACTACGAGCAACGCAGAGATGAGTTAGGATTCATGGGAGGTGTGCGTGCAAGGCTGTGCCATTCTATAGAAGGGGCGTAGCAGCCATGGGTGTTGGAATCGGGATGGCCGGCCAGCCCTGGGACCAGCCCCTACTGCTGCTGAGGGGTGGGTCCCCTGTCTAGCCCAGGGCACCTGTGACGCTGGCCCTCAGGGAGAGTCTGATCAGTGCTCTGCCAAGTGGCTCACTGGCAGCTGCAGGCTCCCACGTCTGCATCACCTCGGCCCTGCGGGGCTCCTGCGCAGGCCCGGCCCTCGCCCGCGCTCCTCACCTGCAAAGTGGTGCTCTGGTCCGAGAAGGGCGAGCTGAAGAAGGTGGTCACGATGCTCATCACGATCTCCGTGACGTACTTCTCCAGGATGGAGTCCGCGTGCTTCCTGTCGCTCGTGTTGTTGCAGGCCTGGAAGACGAGCAGGCACTCAGAGCTGACCCCAGGACCTACCTTAGGTCCTTCCCGCTGACCACCCATGACAAAGACAAGGGCAGAGGTACTCATCCCTCTAAGAGGTCACGACAATACAAAGTAAGTTCTGCAGAGTGGAAAAGGAAGATAGCGGGGCACAGAATCAGAACGTTCAGAGTGGGAAGGGTCAGCAAGGCCATCGTCAGTCACTTCCTAGCTGTGCCCAGGGAGCCTAAGACCCCTACGAGCAGGAGGCGGCAGGGGACCCACCGGAGTCTCCATGGCCCCCGTAGTGAACTGCTCTCCCGAGAAAGGCCTTCAGCTAGGGTAGGCCACACTGTTCCCGCCTGGGGTCACCGTGGGGCTCTGGTCCCACCAAATTCTTTCATTCTATTAGAGTTTTACTGAAATTCACTGTTCAAATGGGTCCTGGGGGCTGGGCTGTGGCTCCATGGTGGAGTGCTTGCCTAGCACGTGTGAGGCACTGGGTTTGATTCTCAGCACCACATGACTATAAATAAATAAAAGAAAGGGATTGTGTCCATCGGCAAGTAAAAAAAAAAATATTAAAAAACCAGTGTGCCGCAGGTCAGCACCACCGACCACGTAGGTTTTAGAGTGAGTAGACACCTGAGGTTTCCCCTGTAGCCTACTTAAATTTTGCTGCTTAGAGTAAGATTAGCCATTTATAGGACTGGAGACTACGTCTGATTATTGGATTTATTAGTCCTATAATTTCAGATATAGCATTGGTTAGAATTTTAAAATAATGGATTAAAAAAATCAAGCTTCATTCTCAGACGGTCATGCTGTAATCTTAACACGAGGCGGTGTCAGAACCCATTTGTCGAATCAGGTAAAGAAATGGTTTTACACGTTTCTCAACAATTTAACAGAGGGCTCTGCAGATCGAGGACCAGCGGCCATCTGAATAAATGAGGTTCACTGGAACACCAGCCACCCCCCTGGTTCTCAGGACACGGACACAACCCACAAGGCTGACTGGCCTTTCACAGAAGAGCTAAAAGGCCTGGTTTAAAGAAACCCAGGAGACCCCCAAGTCTAAGCCCGAACCCTGGACTGGTGGGATTCAAACTGGGAGATATTGAGAATAAATACTAAGGTCGTTGTCAAAACCACGTAAGTGTCCTGAGATTGACCCTGCCCCTGGGTGGGGAAGGCCAGAGACAGGTGACAGGCTCTGCAGGACCCTCAACACCAGGCTGGGCTCAAGTTCAGGGAGGTGTCCCCAAGCACAGACGGATGTTCAAGGAAAGGGCTTCATCTTGATGTGTCCCAGGCCATCATCACAAACCCAGCTGTGAGGGGCAGGGCAACCCATCCTCCCGGAGGTTGACCACTCACATCCATTCTCAATTAAAAGGACAGGAAGGAAAGAGATGTGAGAGAAGAGCCGCAGGCATCTCTTCCCCACAAATGTCTGCACAGGGCTGCGGCCAGTGGGACACACGCTCACTACCCTGCCTCCTGGGTTCTGGAAAGACTCACCCTGCAGATGTCCACGAGGAAGTTCTCAAACAGCTTCCACATGTGGTTGCTGGTGTAGATCTCCTTCATCTCCACCTCCGTGTCCACGTAGCAGTGGTTGAGGAAGTTAATGTAGGCGATTTTAACCTGCAGGCAGAAACATGCCTCTGGGGGACTGTCCTGGGGGATGGAGAGAATCAGCTTCCAAGTGAGGAGCTGGGGCCAGGATCCGTCCATTTTTTTTAAGACCCCCAGTGTATGATTATAAAATTCAAAAGCACAAGCTTTAGGAAGCGAGGTTGTTCATGACCTCCAGGTAAAGAACCGAGCAGACACCCTGACCATAGGAGAGGCGACAAGTCTGACCACATCAAAATTAAGAACTTCTCATTGAGATTGAAATGGAGCCAATTTTGTCATGTGCAATGATGAACATGTCAAAATTAACCCACCTATCATGGGTCGTTATGATGCACTAATAAAGACATTAAGAACATGTGTTCGTGACAAGGTACCATTGAAGAGGTGGCTTGGGTTGGGAGGTGATTGCAATGCTTGAATCAAAGAAGAATATCTAGAGCAGCAGCTATGAGATGGACACCCTAAAAGAGCAAACACGAAAAATGTGATAGAATGTTTTCTTAAAGGAATATTCTATATCTCAGGGCTGGGGTTGTAGCTCAGTGGTAGAGCACTTGCCCAGCATGTGAGAGGCACTGGGTTCAATCCTCAGCACTGAATAAAAGCAGATGTGTGTTTGACATCTAAAAACATACTAGTATAAATATCTCGTATGCATCATATGCTACACACGATTTTAGTTTACAATATAAACTAAGAATCTATCTTTTCAAATATACAAAGAGAAGATATATACAGTGTGATCCACTTTTCTGTTACCAATATATGTGAAAAAGAAAAAAAAAAGGAAAGAGGTCTGGGAGGATTAACTTCAAATTTTAACAGTTACTAGTGATAAGGGGTGGGATTCTGGGTCACTTTGATTTTCTTACTGATTACCTGCTGTTTCTAAGTTTCTCATAATGGTCGTTCATTATTTCTATCATGAGTTTTAAAGCATTCCCTCCTGGACAGAGCTCAGGGACACTCATGTGACCTGTATCTCACTCTATTCCCCACCCGTGTACAAGGTGGTGGCCCAGGGCACAGCCTCTTTGCACACTGATTGAACTAGTTCCACAGAGCTGAGGCTGTCTCCTCCCGGGAAGGGGACAGAGAGAAAGTGACTTTCCCTGTGTTCCGATCACACCAACCTCACGCCCAGGAAGTGGCTGTCCCAGCAGAACAGTATCCTTCTGAAAAATGAGTGCAGGTCTGAACACCACCAATGGCCCACCACACCACGGCCCCAGGTGCCACATGGAGGCAGCTGGGGAGGTCCCTCCGGGCTGGGCTGGCTCACCTCAGGGATGCAGTCCTCGTGGGTGACCACGCGGACGATGTCGTCCAGCGGGAGCAGGGAGTTGCACTTGATCTCTGTGTACACGTTCTTGCCCTCGGTGCACACAGCAAGCAGCTCCACCAGGTGGATGTGGTACATGAGAGGGCTGTTCTCGTCCATCCGGTCCCGCTCAGACCGCATCATCTGGATCAGAGTCTGGAAGGAGGCTCTGTCGTTGTAGAACACGAGCACGTCTTCTCCAGAGTTGACCAGCTGTGGAAAGGGCAGGGGTCAGGCAGCCTTACCAGATTCCATGTGCCCAGAAAGAGGCATGTTGTCTTGGCCTTTACCTTCCCAAACCCGTGGGACCTGTATTCCTAGACTCGTCTGGATCTTTCATTCATTCACATAACTGATCAACTAAAAATCTCCTAAATGATCCTTTTACTCCCAGGATACAGAAACACCACAGTGCTCTTAAAAAAAAAAATATTAGGGGACAAGGTCTCTACACCACGTACACATAAGGCAGAAAGAAAGACTGCAAGCTAGCACCTGTATTCCCAAACCTAATGAGACTGTGGTTTTTCTGTTTTAAATGTTTCATCTCCTTGTTTTACTGAACCAGTATCTTTACAAGTCTTTCATCTAATGTCTTAACTCTTCGATCACAGATTATGCACTTCCAATTCAGATATGTGGTGCACACCTGTCAGATACCTTTCCTTTCAACATTCATCAAAGAGCCTGAGGACTCCTGTTCATAACGTGCCCCCAGGACACGGTTCCTCGTAAATCTAAGACAAGACATTGCCTCAGCATGAGATGAGTTACAGAAGATCCCAGGGGTCAAAATAAAGAAGGTCCATGTTACTTATTTATCCACAGCTAACCTTCATGCTCTATGCGCCAGATATCAAGATAAACTCCTCAGATGGTGTGACGGTTTGGACATGAGGTGTCCCCCAAAAGCTCATGTGAGAGACAAGGCAAAAAAGTTCAGAGGTGAAATGACTGGGTTGCAAGAGCCTTAATCCACCAACAGGAATTAACTGACCTGTGCTTGTGGCTACGTAAGATGTGGGACTTTGGGGAATGTATCTTGTGAGCTTAGTCTTTCTCTCTGCTTCCTGGTGCCATGTCCTGAGCTCCTCTCCTCCACCACACCTTTCCACCATGATGCCCTAACCTCGGGCCCCAAAGAATGGAGTCGGCCATCTACAGATCAAGACCTCTGAAACCCTGAGCCCCCCAAATAAACTTTTCCTCTTCTAATTGTTCTTGTCAGGTCTTTTAGTCTCAGCAACGAAAAAGCTGACTAAAATAGATGGATTACCTAACCTTGCTGTGCCTCCGTTTCTTCATAAATAAAAATGGGAACAAATACAATCTCTAACTCAGGGTGCTGTTGTGTAGAATAAGTAGATTACTGCCTATTCCAGAATATGGCAGGCTTCTAGTAGATGTTAGCTATTATTGTCACTTAATTTCATTTAATCCACATACTGACTCTTTCAAGTGAACACCGCTTGGGAACGCTCATTGAGGTGCCAAGTAACACGACCAAGTCACTCAGCCAGGACAGCGCCTCAGCCAGCTTTCCTATCCTCTCCTGAGCCCACTCTCCTGACCACACCATTCTGCTGCCACCGGAATCACAAAAGTAGAAATCTAAGCATTACCAAGTTGAGTCGGCATCATCAGAGATTTTATTTTAAAGGATTCCCTTCTGGACAGACCTTTTTTCTAAGGTGAAAAGATTAAATATGCTGCAGTCATGGTTCGAAAGGATGATGTAAGACAGCCAGGAGTGGTGGCACACACCTGTCATCCCAGCAGCTCAGGAGGCTGAGGCAGGAGGATCGTGAGTTCAAAGGCAGCCTCAGCAAGTTAGGGAGGCCCTAAGCAACTCAGTGAGACCTTGTCTCTAAATAAAATACAAAAACAGAGCTGGGGATATGGCTCAGTGGTTAAGCACTCCTGGTACCAAAAAGAAAAAATTCAAGCTAATGATTCAGGTAACTGTAGATAAAAGTCATCATCCGTGAGCAGGAAAGCTCCACTGGCTTCCTGGCCCCTAACCACACTGAAGCCTCATGCACCACGTTCTTGGTTCACTGTTCCTCTTCCTTTGCCCTCTCAGAGGAATGCAAGTCAAATGTCCTTAGAGTCAACAGCTTCTTCCCTGAAATGAAAACCTGGATCCGACTCCTGCCGGGGCCCCAGACATAAAACCACACGCACACCATCATCACAAGCTACCCTCCCGCAGGACTCCTGCCAAGGATGCAGACCACGTGGTAAAGACCAAACCCGTTTTACATCCCTATGGATGGAGCTTCCCAGAAATGTGTGATCATCACCTCGGCCATGACCATGTCTTGGCACTTCTTAATAAATTTCCCTTCGGCCTTGACGATCGTCTGCAGGAACTTGATGTACTGGACGTTGCGGCCGTGGGTCTCGATGCAGTGGACGAAGTGCTGGACCACCCTCTCGTTGATCTCACTGCAGAGCTGGAAGTTGTTCATGAAGATGTGCTGCATGGTCACGGCTTCCAGGATCTGCCGCAGGGAGGGACAAGAGCATGGGGGACGGTCAGGAGGAGGCAGGTGCAGGTCAGTGAGAACAGCCAGAGGGAGGCCTGTGACCCCCAGGGAGGCTTCCTGTTCCATTGTCTCACCCTGTGCTTTTTCTTTTTTTCTTTTTTTTTTTGTAGAAGGGATTGAACCCAGTGGTACTTAACCACTGAGCCACACCCCCAGATCCCCGACCTTTTTTTTCTGGAGACAGGGTCTCACTGAGTTACTTAGGGCCTTGCTAAGTTGCTGAGGCTGGCTTTTGGCTTGGAACTAATGATCCTCCTGCCTCAGCCTCCCATGTCAATGGGATTACAGGGGTGCACCATTGCACCTGGCTAGTCAACTTTTCCTAAGATAAATAAGTGCACAGAAAAATGAATCACCCAAGAGCACCCACCTCAATGGACGACAGAGAGAAACAGGCCTTCTCCACACCCACCCCATGATCTGATTGCCACACATTTGTTTTGGGTTCATGCCCAAGAGTAGAATTCAAGTCACAGGATATGAATATGTTTGGTTTTAGAAGCTTTGGAAAAGGTGTTACCATCTATGCTGTACAATACTGCTACTCCACATTCCTGTGGGTGCTTAGTATCGTCAGACTTTTAAATCGTAGTCTTTTCTTACAGCACACAGATGCATCAGATAAATTTGCATTTGATGACTCAACTCATGATATGGAGCATGCCGTCCTATCTATTGGCCATTTCAACATTTTCTACCAACAAGACCCTGTTCGAGAGCTTTGCCAGTCTTTACAAGTGGGTTGTCTATTTTTTTTCCCTCATTGACCTTTTTGAATTGGTTATGCATGTTCTGCATATGAATTCTTTGTTGAACAAGTGCAATGTGATGTCTTGTCTCGTCCTCTGGCTTGCCACTAGGAATGATGACCAGAAGTTAAATTTTAACTCCAATTTATTAGTATTTTCCTTTATAATCAGTGATCTTTGCACACTGTTTAAGAAAACTTTACTTTTCCTACAGTCATGAGGTATTCTCATGTTATCTTTCAGTAGCATTATCTGGGACCCTTTATACAGAGTTACTGAGTTTTATGTTTGGTGTGAGGAAGGGACTTCAATCTTTTTATTATTTCTTTTTCTTTCTTTGGTACCAGGGATTGAACTCAGGGGGCACTTAAGCACTGAACCACATGCCCAGTCCTTTTTTATTTTTTATTTTGAGATAGAGTCTCACTAAATTGCTGAGGCTGGCTTTGACCTTGTGATCCTCCTGCCTCAGCCCCCTGAGCCACTGGGATTACAGGAGTGCACCTCCACACTCAATCTTTCCATCTTTTGCCTTTTCTTTTTCTTAACAAGGCAAACAAGTAATATTATCCTACAATCCAGCAAACATTTTTTTTTCTGGAAACCTCTAGCAATACTCTGTTTATGTTCATGTACAAAGATGTCCTCCACAGTATTATTTACAAAGCCCAAAACTATAAATTGCCTCATTACCCGTTAATATAGAAATGGTTTTTAAAAAGCTATAGCCATATAATGGAATTCTGCTTAGCCATAAAAAGAATGAGAAAAATTAAGGATAAAATTCTGCCATTTGCCAGTAAATGGATGCTAAGCAAAATAAGCCAATCTCAAAAAACTAAAGGTCGAATGTTTTCTCTAATATGCAGATGCTAATTTACAATAAGGCAGGGGGCACTAGAGAAGAACAGAGCTACCTTAGATTAGGTAGAAGGGAGTGATGGGAGGAGAGGAGAAGGGAATGTGGGGATAGGAAGGGTAGTAGAAGGAAACAGACATTATTACTGTATGTATCTATGTGACTGCATGACCAATGTGATTCTGCAACATGAACACTCAGAAAAATGAGAAATACATCCCATCTATGTAAGATATATCAGTGCATAAATGCATTCTACTGTCATGTATAACTAATTTAAAAAGTTTAAAAATTAAAAAGATTAAGGAAAAAAGAATGAGAAAAATATAGAGAGCTGATTTCCAAAGGGAGCCATTGTGTGTTAAATTTAAAAAAGGAAATGCAAGATAAAGTACTATTTAAAAATATGTAATACATATGTCATATATTTATAAATATTTTTAAATGTGTAACACATATTAAATATTTCTTTAAATATGTATTGAACAAAATCACATGGAATACAGATGTTTTTTGGAGATATATTATGCATTTGGCTAGGTAGTAAGACTTGGCATTTCCATATTGCTAGGTCTGATACAATAAGAGATATGATTAGGAAAAACAGAGAAACCTATCTTCCTCTGCATCTGTGGTTTCCTCCCTTCTCCCCTCCCATGTACCCCCCTTTCCTAACCTCAAAATAGGGGGAATATTTATGTCCTCCTGACAGCTGGTCACAATGTTCCCCTTTGGAATGAATACTGCATTACAAGTCCCAGAAGTCACAACAGTGAAAGGACAAGCTGTTCCAGCCCCCTCCCCAACAGCTTTGCAGACGGGCCTCCAGCCTTACCCCTGGGTTGAGGAACAGGTTTATGTGTTTATGCAGCAATGCTTGATTCTGCTGGTTGCCTGCACAGAAATTCTGCAAAAATTCATGAGCCAGCCTCATTATCTCCTGCATCTTGGTATCTTCAGCCTGTGGCGGGGACAGACACAGAAAGCACTGATCACCAGGCCAGGCAGGACACCAGCTTCCACGCCAACACTTCCCAAGAAGGCAGAATTCAGGCCCCCGCTGAGGCCTGGCTGTGTTGCTGAGGCGCTGCATGGTCTGCCCCAAGAGGCAGCCAGTCACTTATCTAAGCCTCATCATGAGTCGAATTCTCTCCCAGTAGCCTTAGGGCACAATCAGAAAAGACTTTATTCAGGAAAAAGGCAATGGGGTGAAAGCTCCCGGGATTCCGCTGCCCAGCAACCTTCTGAACCCCATTTCTGAAAACGGCTGAGAGCAGGCCAGGCCGACCTCCTCCCAGCTGGTGAGCGCTCCTCTCCACAGCTCCTGGTCTCATCTGTTTAAGTTCCCAACCTACAGTGGCATGTTAATCTCCAGAGGCAGGTAACAGGGCAGGGTGCATCAAAAACGGGAGAGGGTACGTCAAAAACGGGAGTAAGTGCACCTGTCACACCTCCTGGTAACCTCAGGCATGCTGTTTAAACCCAGGAGTTAGCAGTCCCCTCTGCAAAATGGGGACAGTACCTTCCCTGAGCATTGCACATGCATCATGATGTGACTCTCCACAGACAAGATGATGGGGTTCTCATTCTATATAACAAAAGTATTTCCTGCATTTAAAACATCAGTTTGCAGAAAGTTAAATATCCTGTAATAAGACAATTATATAAAACCAATGGTCATTCTGCCCAATTCTAAGTTAGAAAACATTTGAGAGAGCAAAAACAGAAAGTCCCTCAGTGGAAATCGTCCTTCAGATTCCTACAGCCCCCAAGAGTCTCCCCAAGGCATGTCACATCCATCATCCCATCGCAGAGGCAGGAGAGTGGGGAGTGCAGGATGCAGGCCTGGAAAACAACTCCTCAGTTCTTATCCCAGCTTGACAACTTCCTTGCTATGTGACCTGGAGCAAGTTACATAACCTCTCTGGGCCCATTTCCTTATCTGTAAAACAAATACTAAAAGCACATCATGTTGGCCCACTAGATTGGGGTCAGCCAAGTTTTTCTGAAAGGGCAAGACAGTAAATATTTCAGGCTTAGTGGGTCCAGGAGCAAAATCAAGTACAGAGAGTACTCAGGTAACAATTCCAAAATGTGGCCATCATTCTGACGTGTCCTACAGAAACAGTGGGCTGCATCTGGCCCATGTTTATGGCTTTGTCACCTCTGGTCTAAAAAAATAACCCTGGGAGAAAACAGGACATACCTGCCAGGAACAAGTGACAGAAGGAATCTGAGTGACCAGCTCTGATCATGGAACAACAACAGGAGAATGATAAGGGATCCGAATCACAAGTCCCAGCATGACAGAGCGGGTATTACATTTGTCTCTTGCCAGTGGGAGTGGAGAGGCGGCAAACCTTCCAGCTGGAAGAGATCGGAGGGCTCGGGACAGAGAGCTGCTGCCGCGGGAACCTTCAATAGTACCACGCTTGCCTCTGCCCACTGAAAAGCAATCTCCAGGTGCTCAAAGAGCCTCCCGGGCTTGAATTCAGATTTTTATAAGGCGAATAAGCTTTGAAGACATCACATCTCACAGGGTTCCTTGTTGGTGGGCTCCCTGTACACCACTCATGCACAGGGATGTCTGTGCCCATCCCAAAGTGAACAAGCGCACGCACACACACCTTTAAACCACAGACTGCAACCTTATCTGGGTACATGGAGACTGATGCTGTTCTGAAGATGTCCACTGCTCATTAGGGAAACCAATGATATTAGGAGACCCAGCTGTGGTTGGCAAAATCCCACACGGGGAGGCAGAAGCACCCTTCTGGTCCTCCTGGCAGCCAGACTTTGAGTGACACATGACCCATGTTAACTGCAAGTTAAACTTTCCAGCCTGCACTGTCCTATTGGGGCACTGAGCTTACATTGGACTTGTGGCTGTTGAAAGCTGGGCCCAACCTGGCTGATTCTCAAGGTCCCTGTGACTGAGGGGGAGGCTTTCTGGATCCCCCTGAACCTCCTCATCTAAAGTGGGCCAATGACACCACGTCTCACCTGCAGGACCACAAGAACTAAGGAGAGCCTGTGAGCACTCGGTGGACAGCGAGCCCTCTTCAGAGGCCTCTTCACCAGCAAGCCAGCCTCTCTGAAGCCACTGGTGAACTTGACACACCTGAGTTGTGGCCCTTGGACTCTGAACCTGCACAAGCCTCAGTTTCTGCTGTCAAATGGGCATAGCACAAAGCCCCACTGGCTCTTGCAGAATGGAGTGAATACTTTCACAAGGGCCTGAGCAGCAGCAAACTAGATGCCAAGGAGTTAGGCTCCTGCTTCCCTAAACCCAGTCTCCATCCACTGCAAGGACCATCTATAGCAACCAAACAGAAGACCTCAATCCAAGTGTCTTCACTTCAAACACGCACCCAGAAGATGACAAGGATGGGCAAGTCCCATGTTCCCATCAGCATTCAGCAACCTGTGACACTTACATTGCTACCGCAGTATAGTAAATGAAACCATAGAGGCCCAGCCCATTGTAGGTGTAGGGCTGACCCCTGATAGACACACGTCTATGCAATGTGGCTTGGGAATCAGAATACATGGACTCTTCTTCCATCAGAGAATCTTAAAAATGGTGCAGGATGATTTCCAAACCTGAAGGGCTGGAGGAATCCCCCTGGGAGTGCAGCCGCGAGCCAGGGGCCTGCTCACCTTCTCGTAGGGGATCTGCAGCAGCTCCAGCACCACGGCGTGGGCGCCCATGTTCCGCAGCAGCCTCTGCTGCTGCTTCCTACTCTTCTTCACGGAGGCGCTCTCCTGCACACACAGCTTGCTGAGCCGAATCAGAATCTGGGAGAAAAGAAGCAACCTCAGAAAACCAGAAATTAGAAAAAGACCACAGGACAGGCAGGCGGAAGGGACCACAATACATTAAAAACCTCAAATAGCCGGGCGCAGTGGTGCACGCCTGCGATCCCAGAGGCTCGGGAGGCTGAGACAGGAGGATTCCGAGTTTAAAGTCAGCCTCAGCTAAAAGTGAGGTGCCAAGCAACTCAGTGAGACCGTGTCTCTAAATAAAATACAAAATAGGGCTGGGGATGTGGCTTGACGGGTGAGTGCCCTAGAGTTCAATTCCTGGTATCACTCTTGTCCCCCGCCAACCCCCCCCCCAAAAAAAAACAAGGTAAATCCAGCCTAGAGCATCCCTGTCAATTGCATTAAACCAAACCCATGCAAGATCAAGAATGTGCCTTCCAGAATTAGCCGATTATGGCTTCAAGAGCAAGCGGGACAGTTTCAAAGGGATCACTGCAAATCCTACAAGCAGGCCTCAACTGCTGAGAATGGAGGAAAAGTTTGCTCTGGGGTGCAAAAACACAAAGCTCCCAAACTGCCAACTCTGAACCACCTCATGTAAAGATTTCCAAAGAGCTGTGGCTGTCACTGGTGGATACCATGGTGTGGAGACACACACCTGACCATCACACCAGCTAATCCTGCATCTGACTGCAAAGTTTCAGGAACACGGGGTGCCTATAAAAAGGCTGCACCTCTCAGAGGTGAGGAACGGACCACACAAGAAAGAAATGGCAGGGCATGTTCAAACTCAGATGCTGAAAGCCACAGGCATTCGGCCCATGAGCTCTACTTTCTTCCTGCTAAATTTTACATGAAAAAGAAAGCGCAGGCGTTCCTGCCTTCAACTGACCACCACTAACTAGAGCTCCCTAGAGAATGTTGTTTTTTTTTTTTTTTTTTGTTAACCTGACAGTAGAGTGTACTTTGACATATTATACATACATGGCAGATAACTTCCCATTCTGGTGTTGAACGTGATGTGGAGCTTCACTGGTCATGTATTCACGTATGAACACAGGAAAGTTAAGGCCATTCATTCTACTGTCGTCCCTATTCCCATCCCCCTTCCTTCCCCTCTGTCTAATCCAGTGAACATCTGTTCTCCCCTCCTCCCCACTTATTGTGTGTTAGTACCCACTTATCAAAGAGAACGTTCTGGGGCTGGGGTCGTGGCTCAGTGGTAGAGGGCTTGTCTAGCATGTGTGAAGCACTAGGTTTGATTCTCAGCACCACATATACATAAATGAAGGCCCACTGACAGCTTAAAAAAAATTAAAAATAAAAAAAGAGACCATTCTGCCTTTATTTTGTGGGATTAAAGAAGGGAGAAGGCCGAGGGCTTACCTCTTTCACCACTCTGTAGTTGTAGCTGCTGGTGCTTTCTTGCTTTTCTGACTTATTCCCCTCCTAGGGACCAAAAGGAACACAACTGTGGTTTGCACAGCTCTCGGGAGAGTGTGGGATTGCTAGGGTGAGCACCACCTTTCATCAAAGAACAGGAGTTCTGTGCTATTTTCCAATAGCCATGGTGGGTCTGCTCCTAAGACATCTACATTCAACAGGAAGAGGATGCCAGGCCTTGGCTGCAGAACACGTTTATTCCTGGGGCGTCAGGAAGAGACATTCCCTCCACATCCGGGTCTCTCCTACATGGCTCTGGGTGGCCTAGAGATGCAGCTCACCTTTGATTTTGTACCTTTTTTTCCTAGAAGAATAGTTGCCACCCTCGAGTCTTAACAAGGAAAACTTTTACAAATAAAGCCCAGCTATAATCTGCATTTGTATCTATAGATAGAACAGGGAGTGTCCTTGTTTTGAGAGGCCCGTCCTACTGCCGGGTGCCCTAACCCATGCTTCTCTCACCTCGGTTTTCTTATGTTCGTTTTCACCAGACGCACCATCCATGGTCTCGTCGGGGCCTTGCCCTTTGTAAACCCACAGCTCAGACTTTTCCACGATGGACCGCAGCTGATCCAGGTCTTGTTTGATCTGTTTGTAGTTGTCCACATCTTGGCTGGTGACCAGCAGTTGAACCTTGAGGAGTGCAGTGTGTTAGCGGCATGGGCCTTAATGGACACAGTCCACTAGTCACACACCACACACCCACTGGCCACGCAAGGTACCTGCTTGAAGGCCTGGAGGACCTCCTGCCTCTGACTGAAGTGCCGAAAGAGGAGCTGCAGGGCCCCGGACACCAGGGGCGGGTAGTCGTGCATGGTCAGGTGGAGCAGCACGCGGAGGAAGGTGCGGCCGCCATGATCGTCCAGGTCCAGTGGGGTGTTCTCCTCACTGCAGGAGCACACAGGAGAGGAGAGGCCTAGTGAGCCTCGGAGGCCTCACTCACACCCGGCCTGGACAGGTTTCCAACCCTCTATTCCATTTCACAGGACTTGGCTCCTTCAGTGCTAAAACACTTACTTCACCTTCAACTATTCCGTGAGGGGAGGGGACAGCAGGCTGTTTAACTGTCAAACTTTTTTTTTTTTTTTAAACCCCTGAGCCACACAAAACTCTAAGCTTTTGAATCCTCAAGGCTTTGGGAGGAGGCTATTATGCATCAACAAATAATCCCCCCAACGTGGGTTACTATAAGAATGATGGAATGGGGTATTTATGCTAAATTCTAAGCTGGCAGGTGTATGCATTTACAACAACAATAATAATATTTTCATTCAAAACTGAGTACTGTGATATTTTAGGAGGGATTCAACAATAGGAACAAGGAACAGACAGTGTTTCCTTGCTGCATTGCTAACACCACGGCCCACCAGTGAAGAAGCTCGTGGTGGTCAGAAGCTCTGTTTTGAGTCCCCTGTTTCTTTTGCTTCTATTTTCTCACTTAAACATAGTTTTCTCATTTAAACATGATTTTGCAATGTATGCATTTGGGGGGACACCTCCTTAAATCCTTTCTCTTCTGGGCAAGAAACACACACAGGCCACCTCATAGTGTGTGAGAACTAAGAACACAGAGATCAGCAAAGCAGGCAGAGCCCAGAGATTAAGTAGCTATTAATGTGGCCGAGGACAAGCCGTTTGGAGCTGAAGAAGAGTGGCCTTCCACCTCCCGGTCCCACCTACGACACAGCAACTGAAAGTGCACTTTCCTTCCTCCAAAGATGCCCTCTGCTTGCTCCTCGATGTGTTCAAAGTCAAGAGCCCCTGAAAAGTTAAGGAACGTAACTTGAGACACGTGCGTGGCTGGTGAACCTCTCAAAAGGTGAGCGGGGCAAAGCTGCAGGGCTAACCCACATCTTCCGGAATCACCCACTGCCCAGGTGGGGGGCCACGCTAACCCAGGGGACACCCTCTAGAGCCTCACTGCTGCCACTTCTCTTTGTGCTGAAGGGTAGTGTGGTGACCTCACCCAAGGAAGCGTGGGATTGGCAGGGGATTTTTTCCTACCACAACCTTCTGCCTAACCTGTCTCCACTACTTCCTGGGCAGGAAAAAACTTCCAACATGAGTAAAACTGCTCACAACACTGACATTTCTTGGGAAATTTATTTTTTCATTATTCTGTTTTATGGGGACTTTGTAGGTAACCACAACACCGAAACCTCGGCTCTCAAGTCCCCAAGACAGGAGGAGATAAGATCCTTCAGTGAAGCAATGTGGGGTCTTTCCATTATTTCTCTTGTCCCAAAAGAAACAGTCTCAGGTCCATGTATCTGAAGTACAGTTGTCCTCAAAAACACTCCCACTGAACACTCCTTTCTAGAAGACACCGTTTGCATCTCTAGTTTTCCCAGGTCCCATTCTATGGCCGAAACCCACTCTGGGATCACCAACCTGGCACGTTACTGGGCCCTTCTTGGCTGCTGTTTCCGGAGGATGTTTCTGAGGTCTGGGAGTTGCTTTCATCAAACTCGCGCTTAAATATACACAAGAGGCAGGAGATCCTATAATCCAGCCTCACGTTCAAAATGAACTAAAGATGGAAGTGGAAACGGAAACAGGTTGGTTACATGAACAAGCCACCTTCAGCCCCTCGCCAAGCCACTGTGCTCAGGCAGGGCCTAGCATTACCTGCACCAATTCCCTTAAGCACTAAGCGAGGCAAATACTTGGCCTAGATTTCAAGTCACGTTAACAACAGCAGAACTTCCACGAGACACACCAAGTGGGCCCACATCACCTTAGTTTCTAGGGAGCTTCAGCATCCGGCAACTCACTCAGCTACATCACCCTCTCCCTGCTCCGCCCTGTGAAGCAGGACTTCTCAGCCACTGCTAACCGCAATCTCTGGGCCGAACACAGGGGAAAGTAAAGTTGGCTGCTTTGGAGTCCTGACAGCAGTTTTCTTTTTACTACTGAGTATGAGCTTGGTTTATATTTTCAACATGTTTCTGGCTGTTTCCCCTGATTTGGGGAACAGACCCCTGGGCTCCCTCTTCTTTGACGTCCTGTGTTCCCTCACTCTCTACGCCAGCAGAGTCACTGTTCCCAGGATGGCTGCTCAGGTCAAAAAAGAAAGATCAGCCTGCTGGCTCTGCTGAAGGAGCTCACGTTCCTCCTTCCGTACAGTCTTTGTTTCTGGGTAGCCCTCTTGGCAACCTGACCCCATTTCAGAGCTGTCACCTCTCCAAGAGACAGCTGTTTGGCCTACCTCCCGACTCCCTAAGTTTCCAAACGACTGCTGTACACTCCACTTGGTATCTTCCCAGAGCTTCAAAACTCACTACGATGGTAACTTGTAGGTGTCGGCATGAATGGGTTACGGGGTACCCGGGCGGCTGACAGGAGGAGTGAACACACTGAACTCTTGTGGGTGAGCTGGCTGTAAAGACGCACAGAGAGGCAGGAAGATGGGCAAGAGCAACTGCTGGTAACAGAAGGATTTCATTTTTGCTGTAATCTTTTCTAAGTTGTGACACTGTAGCAAGTTTGCATGGCACATGGAAACCATCACAGAATGAGGGAGAACTTGTTGACAAAGGCAGGGAACCATTCCAAGAGCAAGGTCCTTGAAGAGGCAAAAGCCAGAGACTTCGTGCACAGGGGAGGGTCTGTCCTGGGTTTGTGAACCTCTTGGCCTCACTACAGCTCGAAACCCCTGCGCCTGTGCTCCCCCTTTCTGCTCCTTGTAGGTGATTTTCATTCCTGAACAAAGTCATCTTCCAAATGGAAAGACTCTGAGCAGGTTCGGGTTAGAGCAGGTGCACAGAAGGCATCCTGAGTCGCTCACTGTTGAACTCATAACATCCAAAAGCATTTCGGGCATTTCCTCCACCTGATCCACCCTCTCCTGTCTGCCTCTGAACAACCTGTTCCCCAACTTGCCCCCACTTCAGGATCTTTGAATTTGCTCTTTGTCTTGAGACTCTTCCTGGATATCTGCAAGGCCAGCTCCTCATTTCATTGAAATCTCTGATGGTGACATCTCACTGGAGAAGCCTTCTCTGATAATGCCATCGAAAACAATGTCCCCCAAAGCCCGGCTCCCCACAATTCTGAACACCACCCTGACCCTCCTTTATATTTTAACATCTGAGCACTGATTTTTTTAAAAATAATGCCTACACTTGCTATCCAAATGAGCTCCTTAGGAGCAGAAATTTAATCTACTTGGTTCATTGTTGGCTTCCCAGTGCATAAAGGGACTTGGCACTGGCTTGGGCTCGAATATTTTTCAAATGAATGAATGAACGAATATAAGAAAAATGGAGGGAATAAAGAAAAGAGGAAAGTTTGCAAAATCAGTGGAACCCCGAACGGACTTAGGATCCCTGACAGGGAGCTCAGGCACCTGGAGCAGGAAGATCAGTGAATTCCAAGGAAAGGGGATAGAACAGGCAGAGACAGGGAGGCAGTGACCTTGGGAAGTTAAGGGGACTCCAGCAAGTACTGGTTTGGCTGGAGGGACAAGGCTGTGCTGGGCAGGGGCAGGAGATGGCAGTGAAGGAATCAAGAGGAGTCAGCTCCAAGCAAGGGAGAGCTAAGAGTCTTTCCCGTTTCTTCTCAGAACGCCTTGACTCCATCAGAGCAGAGAGCAGTGAACAGTGCCTCTGGGTGCACCTTCCCGCCCCTCCTCCCATACCTGCAGGATCTCAATGATCTTCAACTTGGTGTCCATCACCATGATATCCTCCTTCTCTGGCTCCGCCTGCTTCACGTTGCCTTCGGGGGCAGCGGCCATGGGGGTCATGGGCAAAAAGCCACCTCCCCGGAGCACCACCTGGGTCATCAGCTCCCCGACTCCGTGGATGGACCTCATCACGTTACTGCCTGGGAAGGGCCAGGACAGACCTGGGTAAGACCTCTGCAGAGTTCCCTGAGCACCTGGCAAGGGGCAGGGGCGCTCTTAACAGGTCCTTTAACCTGGCCCCTTCCAAAACACTCTCGGGACCCCAGGAAACCGAAAAGGTGGGTGCCCACCCCAAAGCTGAGGACTTCTGAGAATAATGGAAAAAACTTGGGTTTTGTTGGCCCCCCGTGGGTGACATGGATTCACCCCCAAGTTTTATTCCTCAGTAACATATGTGCCTGTTAATGTGCAAAGTATGTAAGATCTCAGCACGAACCAGGCACGAAACCTGGCACTGCTCCCAAAGGCTGCTTGATCATGGGGACGTCATATCATCCCTTAGTTTTCTCACATATAAATGAGAAGTCTTTTTGTGTGTGTGTGTGGTGCTGAGAATCAAACCCAGGACCTCGTGCAAGCTAGGAATTCTACCCCTAAGGTATACCCCAATCCTTAAAGCAGAATAAGAACTAACAACAGAATTAAACAGCATTATTATGCATGCAAAACAGCAACAGCACAGGGCTTAGCAAATAGCATGAGACATCTACAGAAAACCAGATGGAAAATGAGACTATGTGCTCACTATGTTTCTTCCTACAACAGAGGAAGAAATAAGCATATAAAGGGGGTTTTCCATTCACAAAGTGGAAACAGATACCAAGACACAAGCCTGATCATGTTTCATGCGTGACTATTATCATCCAGGGTCCAAGAACAAATGAGGACACGTATGTTTTTGAGAACTAAACACTGAAAATGCCAGGTGACTTTCTAATGGTTCCACAAAGTGGACACAGACTCTCACAGGTGAATGCACAGGAGAGCCTCAAAACACTAATCATGAGACTTGACACCAGGGGTGTGGGAATTCACACAACGTTCCCTGGGACTTTTCTTAACATTTGAGAATGTTCATGATGAAGAGTGGAAGGAATGGAGGGGGGAAGGACGTGATGTCACAAGGCGAGGCAGAGCATGATGGGGACAGGGAAGGCTGGGAGGGCATCTCAGATGTACGGGCACCATCAGATACTCACTCTTCAGCTTCTCCACATCATCGTTACCTTTATTCTCTTCTCCTTTCGCCATCTTGCTGATGGGGAAGATGGTCGTCACATGCACACAGTCTAAGATGGCGAGCAGGATCTTGGTCAGCCGCAGGAGGTCAGAGAAGTTGTAGAAACCAAAGTATATGAGGTTCCTGGCTAAGTTGACAACCTACCGTGGAAAAAAGAAGGTGGCGTTAGAGGAATGGCACCTTCCTGCTCCACCTGAGGTTGACTAGTTAGTAATAGACGAGAGACCTGACCTTCCTCATGGTAAGAGAAGGCAGGTATTTCCCTTACTGTCTCTGTTAATGAGTAAATGAGAAACAAAACCCTGCAAATCTGCTCTGATGACTAGTTAATAAAATTGGTCTAATCACCAAGTGTGTGCAGCTGCCCCAGGCTAACACCGAGCAAGCCAAGTAATACCAACAAGGACACGAATACCACCACTGCAATCCTCAGAAATACAACCCCAAAAGGCGGAAGTGGTCCCAGAGACATTTTAAGTCAAAGGTAATAAGGATTTATGCTCCTCAAATGATTAATCTATGGCAGCCCAGGGTGCTTCTCCCTGACATTTTTAACACGAATACAGAATCACGTTCTGTCATTTTGCATGACCCGATTCCCTTCCTTCATTTCTTCCAAGACCCTTCTTGAGCCACGTGGCTGGTGTTGGTTCTGTTTAAGGCTGGAACAAAACTGAGTGGAAATTCTTTTTGATGACACCAATCAGAGCACCGTGACAAAAATCACCACTTACTAACATATTTTATATCTGCCCCATTGCCGTAAAACGTTCTTCATGACCACTGAAAAAGGAACTAAAACACACAGGTCACATCGTGCGTTACCTCAAACGTAAGCTTATTCTTCTCCTTATCAGAAAACGGAAACCTCTGGCAAACCACGTCCCGTAAATACTCCTCCACAAACTCCATGGTCTGAGCAAACCTCTCCTTGATTTCATCTCGGGATGCTCCACTACTGTCATAGCTGCAGGAGGGACAGGGGAAGGGAACACTGTGTCACGCTGTGCCCAGGCAGCTCGGCCCCAAAGTCAACGTCCCTGATACTTTCTATCCCTGCACCCTGGTTCACCTCTTCCTCCTCAGCACACGTCACCACATACACATCAGTCACTGACCTTGTTCTCCAGTCCTCCCCACTAGTATAGAAATAAGGTTTCCAACTTCTTCACTAGTATTCCTTGATCTTAGCACACAGTACACATTCAAATGTAGAGACTATTAGAGATACACGAAAGGTATAAAACAATCATGCCATCTCTTTCAGGGGACTAAACCCAGGGACACTTAACCACTGAGCCACATCCCCAGTCTTTTTTATTTTTTGAGACAGGGTTTCACGAAGTTGCTTAGAATCTGCTAAGTTGTTGAGGCTGGCCTTGAACTCGAGATCCTCCTTCCTCAGCCTCCTGAACTGCTGGGATTTATAGGCATGTAGCATTGCACCTGGACATCTCTTACTTTAAGGAATGAAATAATATTTGCCAAGCAAATGATTTCACTTTAAACTGAACAATGCCGAAAAATAGATAAATAAAAACTTCATCTTTCTTCCATGATTCAGTAGAAATCACACGTGGCTTAGCTATTGCTTCACCGAACATTATAAACACGAGGTTTTGGGGTCTCCACAGGAAGGAGCCAGACTTACTCGTCAATGGCAATCTCCGAGGGGATCTCGGACCAGAGGCGGGCGTATTTCACAGGAGTGACCTGCTCCTGGGGGTCTCTGTCCACGTGCATGTGGAGCATGAGACGGCAGAAGGAGGCTCGCAGGTCGTAGGGCAGGTTCTCGTCAGACATGCAGCGCAGGATGAGGTCCACATCCAGCTGGCCTGATATCTCGTTGATGGCCAGGTACTGGCGGTCCAGACACATCCTAGCAAAGAGGTTCAGCTGATACCTGAGGAAAGAAAAGGGGCGTCGGGTTGGCACTCTAGGTATCCAGGCAGGCCCTGTTTCCCTGGGGGCACATTTGGCCATCTGAACTCACACCCACACCCCCATGTGACTCTTCTACACCCAACTTTGGCTCCTGTAATAAAACAAAGTTCATGCTACGCCAGAGAGCGAAGGGAGACACCACTGTCTCACGCGTCCAGCTGTGCTAGGGCAATCACATTGTAACTTGATTCCATTTTACCCTCAAGTGTTTTATAAAATAATCAGAGGAACATGGCTAGGCCTTCGGTGGTTCTCTTGGATGGTACATTAATAAAAGAGAATATCTCCCAAGTCAAAATTAAATTGTCTGCCTCTATTAACACCGATATACGTTTCAGAAACAATATTGAATAATCAAGGCCAGTTTTAGAAGGGTATCTGGCATAGGGTATAATTTATATGAAATTTTAATAAGGGAAAACTATGTGATTTATGGGGCATATGCATGTAGTAGAAATTGAAGGGATGAATATCATATAATGGGAGGGAAGAAACTGGAATGCTTGAGGTACGAAAAGACATTTTAATTGCTAAGTTTTAGTTATTTCATTAGAAAAATACTAGAAGCACTACTTTCTTCCCTCTTCCTCTTAGAAGTATCTATGAGTTACTTCCCTCCTTTTTCCTTCCTTTCCCTTCAGGAAGCAGGGCTAGAAGCCTCAGAGCTGGGGGCAGGGTGACACTAAGGACCAGGGAGGTGACACAAAGGTGGAGATTGGTGGCAGTGAGCATGTGCCAACAGGAAACATCCCAGGAATGACGAGAGTATGGGGGAGTTATGATCACAAGAAGGGTGATGGCTAGAATAGACCCCGCAGTGTTGTAAGAATTTGGAAGCAAAGGTCACACATCCCTTCTTGGAAATGCTCAGGAGCAGAGTTTCAGACCTTGGAGTTTTCTAGACTTGGGAAGACCTGCAGTCTATACTGATCTGAAAGTCTGAGAGGCTCTGAAATCTGAAACCTTTTGAGCGTCATGTCAGGGTTTGAAGTTTCCGATTTTAATTTCAGATTCAGGAGTAGGAATGTTCACAGTTCTCATTCCATATTCGCACAGAGGTGTACAAATAAATATAGTAATGCAGAGATATGTGCACACATGGGGACATTGTCTAGCTCGGTCTGTAATCATTCCAAAAGGTGGGTACAATCACCACTATTCTGCAGATAAAGAAACTGGAGCATGAAGTCAATCTTGGTCAATGTCAGAAAACTAGTAAGAACATATGTCAGGATCTGAACCCACACAGAGTGACGCTCAACTACCACAATACATGCAGGCTGCGCCGACAAATGGTGATGAAGGGTGATCCCAGGCCCTGACAGGCCCTCACAAGCCTTCCTCCTACTTGTGACCCCGGCATGCCCCGCTGTCAATGAATTACGTATTCAGGAGATCATATGCTTGCAAATTGATTTTTTTTTTTTTTTGTACCAGGGACTGAACCTAGGGACACTTAACCACTGAGCCACATCCCCAGCTCTTTTTGTGTTTTACATAGAGACAGGGTCTTGCTAAGTTGTTTAGAGCCTTGCTAAGTTGCTGAGGCTAGTTTTGAACTTGTGATCCTCCTGCCTCAGCCTCCCAAGCTGCTGGGATATCAGGGTGTACCACCAGGCCCAGCTTATGCTCTTAAATTGAACACACCACCTTTGTCTTTCTGCTGGGCAATCTTCCAGAGCGAGCAGCCTGGTGACTCCCGGGAGCAACCAACAAGCAAGTAGCATATTCCTAACCGCCAGCCGAGCCCCCCATGTCTCCCTCGCACCTGTAGTAGCTGAGGACATCGCGATCCTCCTTCTGCCCTTCCTTGGCATCCTGCGCCAACTCCCTGACACTCTTACTGCGAATCTCTTTGTTGCTGTCTCTCCAGAACAGCCACACCTCCTCCTCGTCCTCCCCGGCCTCCAGAGCATTTTCCCCAGTGGAGACGCCTTCGAATTCAAAACGAGAGAGAACCAGCCTAGAGATGGGGAGAAGGGGAAGGTGTTATTTCTGAAATCCTTTGAAATCCAGCTCCATTACACACATGAAGCAGTTTCGTATTTTATCCTCCCTCCAGCAGAGCCACATGGAACAGAACCGCCACCTCTTTCTCAACTAGGTGGTTCTGCTTCTCCAGTGGACCCCTGTAAATGTCTGGAGACTATCTGGGTTGTCACACTGAAAGAGAAAGGTTGTACTGACATCTAATGGGTAGAAGCCAGGAACGCTGCTAAACATCCCACAACACACTAGAAATCCCCCACCGCAAAGAATTACCCAGCCCCAGAGAAGCTAAAAAACTGCATTAATCCAAGCCCCATGATAAGTTATGCATAAGAAACAAAAAATACACAGTTTTTAAGACTACCCATGCTGGGCACGGTGCTGCATACCTGTAATCCCAATGACTCAGGAGGCTGAGACAGGAGGATTGCAAGTTAGAGCTAGCCTGAGAAACTTAGTAAGGCCCTAAGTCACTTAGCAAGGCCCTGTCTCAAATTTAAAAAAAAAAAAAAAAAGGGAGGGTTGAGGGTATAGCTCAGAGGATGCCCGAGTTCAATCCCTGGTACCATAAATAAATAAAAGACTATCCACACAGTTGCATTATACTTACCAGAAAAACTGCTTCTTAAAATGTAGGGAAAAGACGAAAAAAAAAAGCCTGCTTTCTTCCTAAAGACAAACTACTGTCATACTCAGAACATCTATGGACCAGTGAACACTTGTGAATAGTGATCATTTAAAACTCTTCTCAATACTGATTTCATGTTTACACTGAATATTAATGATATCCTTTAAAATTTATAATTGCTCATCCCACTTCAAAAATTTTCACCTCTTAAAATTCAACTAGCATCTGTCTAGTGCTCCCCAATGAGCTTACGTGATGTTTAAGCCAGGATGCTTCGAAATCTACCGAGAGGCCACCCCACAAACCCCCACCGCCACCCAGAGAAGAGCTGAAAAGTGAAGAGTGAAAGGCGGCCAGCCTGACTCGGACCGACTCAAGAAATGAAGGGGCACAAACCTCCATGGAGCCTCCCCGTCTCCACCCACACCCCTTCCTTTGCTTGACCCTAAGCCCCCAGCTCGGACTCACTTGGTCTCAATCAGGATGTCGGCGTTGGTGGGATTCAGCACAGCTTTGCAGATCAGCTCCTGGGTCACCGGGATGGATTTGTTCATGGACACGCAGAGGTCAGAGAGGTAATCCAGGAACCTAACCAGAGATGGAAAACAGAACTGGAGAGAGAGCAGAGGCTTGGCGGGCGGAGTCGGATTCCTCCTCAGGTAGGCAGTTCCCACACGGAGGCCAGGGTGCCTGTGACCACAGCACCACTAGAACCCCGGATGAAGGAACAAAGGAGTCATAGAAGAGAGATGGCAGTGACTGTGGCCAAGGAAGAGCTGATCAGGCCAAAATGAGGAAGAGGAGAGCAGGAGAAAGAGTCCACATCAGGAAGAGGTGGTGGAGAGCCTGAGTGGTCGGGGCCAGGCTCTGAGGCTCGACTGCCCAGGGAAGCCTGGCCAGGGTGCTGACTCACTGTGCTGATAGGGACTGTCATTTGGAGAAATCACTTAACCTCATTATACTTCAGTTTTCTCATCTACAGAAAAGGAGGTTTAATTCCAGAGCTCCATCCTGTGGGTACGGGAAGTGCCTCCTTGGCTCCCCTCCTGGCCCCCAGCAGGCTCTGTGAGATGCGGGTTGTTTTTATGGGTGCAGTCATGTCCTCTAGCAGCCCTAAGCAGCTCTCCAGTGGGGGCACTCGTAATGGCCATGCTGGGACCTGCTGTTGCCTTTAGCTGAAACAGTGTGGATCTTAGTGACGTGGAGAGGGGAAGAAGGGAAGGGGGACAGCTCTACATGAATGACATGGAATGGGCAGGAATCACTAGTGTATAATAAAACACCCCAGCAACGGCTACGTCTGCAAAAGACTTACTGATGATATCCTGGGGGTGGGATCTGCCTGGTATTCACGGGGTGCCAAAAAGGGAATGAGTGGCCAACCGTAATTACAGTTTAGTCTGCATCCATTACAGGCTAACCTCTTCACGAATAGTTACTCGTGTCTGATTTTCATAACTACCTGTTGAGCAGGTGAGGGAATTAAAACTGGGGAGGAAAGCTATTGCCCCCCAACAGGGAAAGATGTGGGAGCTAGGATCCCACCTGGCACCTCATCCACTACTGCATCCCTGCCAATCATCCACAGCCACCTGAGACTTGCCTAACTAAAACCTGCCACTGGCAGCCCCAAGGACAGAGAGCCCGGTAAAAGCACCAACCCGTACCTGAGATGCTCAGACACCTCCCCATGCACCCCACTAGCACCTCACCTGGGCTCCCTATTCTTTCGCACCAGACTGACGAACGTGTCGATCTCGGCCGCTGTGATGTGCTTCTCCAGGAGTTTCCGGTTATTGTGGAGCAGGGCAGTAATGGTGTCCTCGGCCAATACATCGTAGCCGATCTGCTTCTGCATAAAGCCGAACTGCTTGGCTATATACTCCTGCAAGGGGCAGAAAAGAAAGGTCAGCTGAATGACTGACAGTGTGGCTCCCGTGTAACAGGACAGCAGCAGCACCCCTGGAAGAGACGTACCCCTTAGCAGGCAGATCCCAAGGGTCACCTTCCCCAGCTTTCTGTCCTGGGGCAACAGCTGTCAACTCCCTGGCACCTCTTATTTTACTAAACCTGCCCCACAGATGTCATTAATCAAAACTCCTTGTACTTACATGTGGATTTTTGAAGTATATGGTATAAATTTTAATCAGATGACTTATTTTTCCACAAGGTCAAAAGTTATTACTCAGCTCTGTGTTCAGTACTAATTCAACAGGACTTAACTGTGCCTTGTTCCTCTGTGTGCTGTTGAATTAATACCGACAAAGCCTATCTGGACATTTGGAACAGTGTTACCACATTTTGCTTACATGGGGCGGGAGGGCAGAGATAATAATTATTATTATTATGGTACCAGGGATTGAACCCAGGGGTACTTAACCACTGAGCCACATCCCCAGGTCTTTTATATTTTTCATTTAGAGACAGGGTCTCACTGAGTTTCTTAGGGCCTTGCTAAATTGCTGAGGCTGGCTTTGAACTTGCAATCCTCCTGCTTTAGCCTCCTGAGTCATGGGATTACAGGTGTGTGCAACCATGTCTGGCAAGAAATTCAATTTTAAAGTCAATGAATAGAAGAAAGTTGGGAATATCTAAGCCAATCAATCAAATTAATAGGCTACTTCCTATTAATAAATAAACAAGCCCATCTTTGGCCTTCTTTCTTTGGGCTCACACATCACATTCCATAAAAATATCTGTGAACTCAAGGAAGCCTCTTACAAATAGTTGTTTGCTTTTATTCAAAAACAGCTCCATGCCCAAAAAAGACTGTTTGCTATGGTACAATTTGCCTCGAATCCATTCCAAGTTGTATATTTGTTTTCCAATTAAAAAATTACAATTAAAAAAGATTGCATGCTCAAAGTTCAAGTGACTCTTGAAACTGGCTTTATTTTTTATTAGTTCTTACATTTTGGGGGCAATTCAGGATTAGCATGGTGCCTGTGGGCCACATATACTCAATAAGAGTACATGTTTGGGAATTCACTGGCCTTCAGAGATACAGCTCTGCCAACTTGCACAGGATCCATAAACCACTAAGAAAAGACATCCACTCCAGCATCAGCAAGAGGGACTGGTTTACTTTCCTCACAAACAAGCAACATGGCCTGGCAGACACGATGGGGCCTGCAGAATCCTCCTTCCAAGAATGCAGAGAGGAGCAGAGTAAGATCTCCATCTATAGTATTGTACGCAGAGCAGGCTTTCTTAATCTCAGTGTTATTATTATTACTACTGCTATTATTCTGGTTTTGGTACTGGGGATTGAACCCCAAGGATCTTTACCACTGAGCTACACCTTGTGTTTAGTTTTGAGACAGGGTCTTGCAAAGTGTTGGAGGCTGACCTCGAATTCACTATCCTCTTGCCTCAGCTCCCAAATCACTGGGATTACAGGCATCTGTCACTGCACCAGGCTTTAATCTCAGCACTGTCAACATTTGGGGCTAGATAACTTGTTACTGCAGAGGGTTGTCCTGAATATCTTATACCATCCTGACCTCTACCAACTGGGTGACTGTAACACTCCCCAGCTATAACTGTCAAAAGTGTCTCTAGGCATTGCCAGCTGCTTCTTGGGCACACAATGACCCCTGGTTTAGAACCCATGACGTAGCCACAGAGTTCTCAGTTTCCTTGGATGTCAGTATTGTTTGGAATGCCACTCCAAGAAGTCACCCCATTTATTTCATGGGGAGAATATATTGTATTATGTGTGCATAGACACATATATACACACACACACACACACACGGTTATAGTTATAGTTAATAGCTTATGATATCACAAAATATGAGCTGACACCAAACTAAAGAAAAGTTATTAACAGAGATACAGGATCTCGAAGGCAGTAGGAAGGCAAGACTCCATTTACTTGTAACATAAACATAATCACTTTACCACTCAACCTTCAGGGAAGGGAATACGCCATTAAAAAAAAAAAAATCATAATGTCCTATCAGTTTCAAAATCAGAAATCTCACTGAAAGGGGAATTTCTGGTATTTCTTTATTTTTCTTATTTTTTTAATTCTTATTTTTTTAATTTGATTTTTACAGTTGGACCTATCTTGGGGGCACCATGTGATGTTTCCCCAGTGTGTTTCTTAAGGATTCTATATCACATCTTCTCCCCAGGCTTGTGAACCACCTGTGCTGCTGAGCAAAGCACATGAACTCCAGGGAGGAGACAGTGGCTTCCCATCACCCTTGACCCCCACCTGGTTCTTCCTGTAGTCTTGCTGTGAATGTCGCAGGACCCGGTAGCAAAGCCGGCAGATGTGTCTGAAAGGAGCATGCCGCTGGTCCCCCAGTTCCTCCAGGCGAAGCATGGGGCCATCCCCACAGTCTGTGAATGGGGCCTGCAGCAGCTTGAAGATCTGCGAGTGAAAATCAAGAGTACAGACTGCCGTCACTGGATGCTTGGCAGGAGCAAGCCCTCCGTCTGGAAGAGACACAACCTCGGGACACCTGCATCCATCCCTTCAGAGAGCTTTCCCACCCCAGCGAGTCAACAGCCTGAGACCTGCATTCAGTCCACCAACTGACATCAGGGGCTCAGTCAGCATTCCTTCCCGGTCCTCACAGGCATGACGGGACACTGCCGAGAGCAAGGTAGTGAAGGGCAGAGCTGCCCATATAGATTTCAGATGCACCCCCAGGTCGGCTTCTGAACCCAGGTGTCTGCAGGTCTCCACCCAGGTACATGCTGATCTTGGGAACCAGCTGACCTGTACCTTCTGGGAAATTCACTAGCCTTTGTAACCATCTGTGATGCCATTGCCCTTGCTTCCTGAGACTCTGTCTGGTCCCTTTCTTACAAGACAGGTTGACCTTTGCTGCACCAATCAGAATTCCAGATGAGATGTAATTAATAAACCCCCTCACAGTTCAGGCTATAAACAGATACCATCTTGTAAAACCTCAGAGCACTTTTTCAAAGATACTTCATTTGGGTGCCTCCATAATTGTACTCAACATGACCAAGGTAAACATCATCTTTCTTTATTCTTAATTTGATCTAGGTGGATACTTCTTAGCAGTACAGATCATGGTCAAATAAGATTCTGTCTTCTTATCGGTAAAAGGCAAAGATTAATCCCTGCATCCCAAGGGTGCTAGAGGGAAGAGAGCAGATAACTGTCCATCTGTAAGCCCAGTGGCCTACTTAGAGATTGCTGAAATCTCCTGCCACTGAATCCCACTGCCTTGGCCTCTCAAGAAACTGCTGTGGTGGAACTGAGTGTTGGCAGTAAGCCAGATGTCTAATTTGTCTACTCAACACTTGGAACAGCTGGATATAATTTATTCTTGGATTGAAAATCCTTGTTTAAACATGAATTTTGTCTATCACAGACCCAAAGGAAAAGCACTTCCAAATGCCTGATTCCCAAGAAGAACTTTGGGGCTTGTAACTAGTGCATTTCTCTTTTGGCTCTGTACGCCAGCAACACCCGAGACAAGACTGTAAGCAAATCTCCAACCACTTTAGAGAACTGGTATGTATTTCCACATATTTATTCTATCCTGGATTCACGACTTTCCTGCCTCAAATTTGTCTTTACACCAGTACGTTTAAGTTGATACCATCTCCGTATTTCCTGCAATCACCGCTCACTCTATGGAAAGCAGACAGCTAATCCCCGCTACACCATAGCTCACCCACCTGCTTCAGAATATTCTGTTCTCTCATCAGCTTCTGCCGTTCTCTGTTGGGCTTGGAGAAGACCACTTCAAGCACATCTTGGCCAGAGTTGGTTCCACCAGTGACAAAGTAGACCAAGTCCTCCAGCAGCTTGGTTACAGACCTTAGGAGGAAAGAGGACAGGAGAGACAGTGTTTACCCTCTAACAGGCTGGAAGCTTTCCTGGGCCTCCTCAACCACCTGGACAGGAGACATCCACTCCAGCAGCAGCAGTTTTCTTAAAATCCACAACCAAGGGCTGGGGTCGTGGCTCACTGGTAGAGCATTTGCCTGACACTTGTGAAGCACTAGATTCGGTCCTCAGCACCACATAGAAACATAAATAAAATAAAGGTATTGTGTCCACCACAACTAAAAAAATATTTTAAAAAATTCACAGCCAGGTCCACTTACTCAAATAAATGACACCTAAACCAGGCAGTGTTTTCCGTAAGATGATGACCATCTTCACAAAACTTCAGCCATGAGAGTAAGTGCAACCCCTGACATTTAGTAAAGTAATCCCAGGATGGAAGGAGGTGGAGGGAAGAAAGAGTGGGAGGAGGGCGCTCTTCACATCTGTGGAAGCTCTCAAGAAACCAAATGCAAAATGACCGATTCCTGGGAATCACAAATGGAAGCCACCCAGGGACACTCAGAGTCACCACCGCAGACATGGCTGTTTGAAGCCACCATCCTCTCACTCCCCAGGGGATTTCTGGGATCCACAGCGGGTGAGGATACGCAGGGGCCCTCACCTCCGCTCATTCTGGGTGATGGTGCCCTTCTCCAGCTTCCCAGCAATGGAGCCCAGCACCTTGCTGGCGTCGTTGGCAAAGTCCAGGTCCCGAACTTCAGCAGGAGAAACTGGGACTATGGCAAACGCCTCCTTGTCCTCCTTCACAGGAGAGGTGCCAATCTGAAAGTCAAGATGGTCTTTGTAGGACAATCTTGGGTGGAGAAGGTAAGGCATTAAGTGGACAACCCATCGAGCAGGTATCGGGCAATCCAAGCAACTTGGAGCTATCTTGCAATTAAAATGAGATTCAGGAGCACATCTTGAAGGATGCACTTCAAATGTCTAACAGCTGTCTAAAAGCTCGTACTGTAGGGACCACTCAGGTAGGAAAGGGGCACTATTATCAGTTTACAGTTTCACTTGTCAAAGGAAGCCTATGAGATTCTTGTATTTAAAAAAAAAAAAATGTTTATTATCACAGAAAAAAAAGACAGAAAATACAAAGCCATCAACAAATAAATAAATAAATAAATAAAAGATTCTGGTTATTTCAAAAGCCCTGACTTTGCTTCATCCAGGTGCTTTAGAGAAAATTTTTTCATCGTATTCAAGTTTGGCTATAATCATGCTTTTGTCAAAGCTTAAAAAAAAAAAAAAGAGCCCACTTCACAGCTCTGTATATTTCCTTCCATCTGTGCTCAAAGGAGCCCTTTCAGGAGGGAGCATGGGGCTGAGGGGAGGCAGCTGAGCACAGGTCTGACCTTCAGCATCACGGGCTTTTCCTCCTCCTTGTCAATGGGAATGTTTGTGCTGTGGACCCAGGTATTTGTGCACAGGTGTCTGAGCCGGACATAGGAGTTCCTAAAGGGTAATAAAAGAGAAGGGTTTAGGGACAACTCCACAGTCCTGGGTCTAGCATACATTCTCTGAAGAGAAAAAGGGACACCCAGGTTTTCTCCCTGCATACCACACAGTTGGGACTCAGGAGCCCCTGGCTCTGGTCCAAGTCACACATGGTCTGATGTACTTACAAGAGAAAATAATTCATAAGGACTCTAGGGTTACCGTAACAGTCTATATTTCTAAATGCAAGATTGTACCCTGTGAATAAACATCTCAGTACAAATGGAACATGAGACAGAGCAACAAGAAGTTCTTACTTAGTATCTATTAGTGCTTGTCACAACAGGTAATAAGGCAATAACCGAGATTTCCATATACACCAATAAAGAAATGAAATCACAAAATTCCTGGAATTATGAATACTATTTGCTAATCTTGATGAAGGAAAGCTTTCTGAAGTATGTAATAAAGTATAAAGTCTTTTTAAAAGAAGGATAAATTTTATATCTTCTGTAGATGGCTGTGTGTGCGCGCATGCACAAATGTGTATTTTGAATAAAGAAAAATAACACATAACATAGAAAGGCAATTAACTAATCCACACATATAAAGAATTCCTACAAATCAATAAGAAAAACCTGAAGTAAATGGGAAAAGGACACAAACTTGTAATTCAAAAGTAAAATAGAAATGGCTGATAAACATGATAGTTCTATATTAAACCTTCACAGTATATAATTTTCTCAAATTAAGACACACGTACCATTTTATTCCATCACATTTCAAAGATCTTAAAGACAGATAAAAGTTAGTATCAAAAATTGCTTAGGGGAATAAGTTCTCTTGTATATGTTTTTTGTTTGGTGCTGGGGGTGGAACCTCATACCTCTAAGCCTGAGCTCTACCACTGAGCCACACCCCATTCCTGTGCACTGTTGGTGAGTTGGTAAGAGTATAACCAGGTAAAACTGGGGAAGAATTTGACCCTTTGTGTAACATGTACCTGTCCTTTCATCTAAAAATGGCAATTTTACATGTCTCCCTTAAGAAATAATAGCTAAGATGCAAAATGTGGCACAAAGATGTTCAACAAAGCATTATATATCATAGCAAAAATCTATAAACAATCTCATGCCTCAGTAAAGGAGGATTTAATTATAGTACAGCAAAAGAATATTACACAATTAAAATGATGATAATTTACTTGGAAACATGTGCAAAACATGTTATTTATAAGTTTAAACAAAATTAAGTGTTGGTGCAGTGGTGCATGCCTGTAATCCCAATGACTTGGAGGCTGAGGCAGGAGGATTGCAAGTCAGAGTCCAGTCTTAGCAACTCAGCAAGATCATGTATCTCAATATAAAAAATAGAAAGGGCTGGGGGTGTTGCTCAGTGGTAGAGCACCCCTGGGTTCAACTCCTAGTATCCTTCAAAGTTAAAATTAGCTTATTTTATGATACATCACAATCATCTCTGTGTGCCCAGGAACCTGCCTAAAACTACCTAAACCAAAATTTTAAGTCATAAATTCTGAATGGTTGAGTTGTATGTAATTTTTACTTGCTTCTGTGTTCTCCACAGGGTTTACAAAACTGTTGTTGTTGTTCCTACAGCGAGTGTGACTTGTGTTTACCATGCTTTTCCTCTGAAGATGTAGCAGAAAATATACGACATAATTCTTGACTTCAAGAGCCTATCATCGTCCCCTTAGGGAGACAAAGTGAACGTACACCAAGTGATTAGAAGTTAGAGGACTGGACAGTCAGAGGCACGGAGAGGACCCAGAGAACCACACAAGTTCTCTGTACCAGCTGGAGGTGGGATGGGGCAGAGAGGGAGAATGGAAATCATTTATACCCAGAGGAGTTTAGAACAATGACAGGGGACAGGGAAGCAGATAAACCAGACATACACCTGTGCACACCCTCTGCCTGCCGTCAGAGTTGCCCTGAACCCTGCAAGCCAGGCCAGAAGGAGCAACCGGGGTGGCATTTACTCTGATGAGCATGAATATAAATTCAACGACAGGAACAAGATGTTTAACAAAGAGATCTGCATTTATTTATGTTTGTTGTTGTTCTGAGTGACTTGGATTCATTTTCTTTATTTTTAAGGCAAAACCAGAGAACAGCGCTTAGCTTTTAGCTGGTAACATTCTACACAGTTCTAGATCAGATTTCATTGAAGACCCAAAGGGCATGCTATCGATTCTTCTAAAATCTAAAATCTCATTCCCAATCCTTAACTCAAAAACCAGGAAAGAGGGCTGGGGTTGTGGCTCAGCAGTAGAGCACTTGCCTAGCCAATGTGAGGCCCTGGGTTCGATCCTCAGGACCACAAATTAAGATAAAGGTATTGTGTCCAAGTACAACAAATGAATATTTTAAAAAATATGAAAGAGCCAGGACAAAAAAGCCCAAGCAGATGCTCTCATGAATGCATCTGATTTATGCATGCTGCAATTTTATCATCTTGCTTAGTATATCCAGGGTTGGCCATTAACCCTCTCACTTTGGCTCAGAAAATGCTCTTCCCACTAACAGCTCTCATATGTTCATGCATTTAACCTGATACTTTCTGATCCTCAAGCAAAATTTAGCATGACTTTAAGATGGAGAGAAATAAATGTGCTCCTCCTAAAGGTCTTTCTTGGAATCAATGAATAAGAGGCCTTGTTCTCCTCTGGCTCTGAAGTAGGAGGCCAAGGGCAAGAATGAAGAAAAAAATGTAAAAGCCAAGACCCAGTCCAAGACCACAGGTGAACAGACCGTGCCAGACGCTTCCCCTGTGGGGCTGAACACAAGCCTTCCTTGGCTTCTGAGTCAAGAATCAGTCTAAGGACATCTGCCTACAAAGAAAGTCGGCCAACAGGCAAAAAAGAATGGAGGGAACGCAGAGGCTGGGGACTCCAACCAGCCAAGGCTGCTCCGTCAGCTGATCCAGACACTCGCGCTCTCCCCATCAAGGAGATTCCCCGCCCCCAGCGGGACAGGCCAACCAGTTCCCCATTGCCTGCGCCAAAGGAACCCCTGAAGAAGGTTCCCATGGAACACAAACCCTTCTGTTCTTCTCTGCCCTCACAAACTTCCACATTTAGCATAAAATAAGAACATCTTTGTCCTGTCTTCTGAGATGCTAAGAAAAACTCCTTAAAGAACTTTCAGAACTGAAGATACATGTAGAAAGTCACTTAAACTGAAATGCAGGTGGGTTCTCCAGACTGATACCCATCCAGGTGTGACAAGGAGGCCATCAATGAGAAAGGAAGCTTTTGAAAAGCAATAAACCCTACATCCAAGACACTTTAAAGGACCTAAAAATGAATAATCAAAGACCTACATGCAAAGAATGAAAACTCAAAACTGTTACAAGAAAACGCTACCATCGATTTTTGAGAGCTTAGATCAAAAACAAAACCATGAGCTCAGTAAAACAGATACATTGGACTTCTACAAAATTTATAACTCTCGTGCATCAGGGAAATAAAAAGACAAAATGGGAGAAAATATCTGCAAGTCATTTATCTGATGAGGTATTTGCAGCTGAATAAAGAATGCTTATCACTCAATGATAAAGACATAAAACTTGAAGTTGTTAAATATCAAAGAACAGCAAAGGGCCAGGCACGGTGGTGCATACCTGTAATCCCAGCACCTCGAGAGGCTGAGGCAGGAGGATTGCAGGTTCAAAGCCAGCCTCAGCAACAGTGAGGTGCTAAGCCACTTGGTGAGACCCTGTCTCTTAATAAAATACAAAACAGGGCCGGAGATGGGGCTCAGTGGTTAAGTGCCCCCGAGTTGAATCCCTAGTACCTGCTCCCCCCACAAAAAAAGCAAAAAATACAAACAGATATTACTTCAAAGAAGACAGACCAGTAGCCAAACACATGGAAAGATCATCAACCATCAGAGAAATGCAAATCAAACCCACAATGAGCTAGCTTCATTGAGCAGGAAAGCTACAATGCCTCCATGAGGAAGGAAACACCAAGAACTACTGAGAGAGCCCAACATTGAGCCCACCAGCACCAGGGACATTCCCACCCACCAATCTTGTGCTGAAGACTTAGAGGGGCTGCCCCCACGACCCTGACATAGACATGTGAGATCTGGGTTCTCCTGAGACACTCTGATGTGCAACAAGTTGCTTTGACTCTGAGCCCATATAGATAAAGTGTGGATACTACATCTGGCAGAATTTCTTGCAGTGACAAAATTATATAAGTACATACTCAGCATTGTGCCAGCCATATAGTTAGTGTTCAATAAATGTTAGCTATGAGTAATAATATTGCTGTTCACCTTAAGAATAGGCTTTTGTCCCATCTAGAGTCCAGTTATTTAAAAATGCATTCTCACCAAACTGTGCCATGTGCATGCATGATTGTATCATAATGAATCCCATTTTATGTGTAATTATAATGCACCAAATTAAAAATAAATAACTAGGAGGGAGACCAGGAGAATAGAGGAAGGGGGCAGGGTGGGGGGAAGAAAAGGGGAGTATTCGGGCATGAAATGGAACAAATTATGTTACATACAAGTATGAATGGGTCACAATGAGACCTGCTATTATACCTAGTTAAAATGCCCCAGTAAGAAACATAATTAAAAATGCATTCTTAGGCAACAAAGACAAGAGTTAAATCGAAGAGTTAAAGAATGCTGATCTAACTTCTCATTACTTTGGGTAAAACTTAACGACACACAGAGTGAATTTCAGTAGTTAGTGTTCTAAAATTTCAAGTTTTTATTCAGTTGATCAAGAGGTGGTCCAGGTTTGGGGAAGGAGGGAGAGAGGAACTCCGGCAATAATGTGCCACTAAGGGTTAAGGTCTGGCTTGTTACCTACAGATGGTAAACTTATCCAACTGTAGAGAACTTACCACTGCTGACCATTTGAAAATCAGGTGCCCTGTTGGGCGGCCAGTTCGAATCCTTTATAAAGGCTTAAAGAAAAGGCCATTAGGATTTGGATTCCAAGAAGCATGACCAGGTTGCCTTGACGCCCCCCACCCCCCATCCTCTTGTTCGATTAACCAACACTTAAATCATACCTTGGGACAAGGCTGTCACCTCCACGGAGCGTGGTGGGGTCGAGCTCAAAAATGGAGGAGATGTCATTGCCTTCGGGCACAGAGACCAGGGAATAGACCATCTTTTCCTGGGCGTTTCGCAACCTGCTTCGAGAGGCGTCCTGATCGGGGTCCACCTGTGGTCAAAGTCATCCAATGAAGACCTGTGTATGCCAAAGCCCTCACCATAACCATTCCTAGGTCCACAGGAGCAGGAGGGACACAGTGAATGGAACGGTGGCAGCCGGCAGGAGGACCAGGTTCAGAGCAGTCCTGAAAGGTGATCATCGGCCACCTGAGCGGAGAACACTGGCTCTCTACCTCGTCGCATTGCAATAAAGATGTTCACGTGAAGGGGGTGACAATAATCTCCATGGAAAGAGGGAGGTAAAGACCTTGAGAGAGCTGCCCACCTGCAGCAGCTGGGGACAGGGAATGCACTTTGAGGAAACTATCTGGTGGATTTAGTTATTCTCAGTTGCTGATCTACAATGACAGGTGTCTCCCAACTATACAGAAGAGCTGCTTTCCCAGGAGAGAAAATACAATGAAACCTGAATCCAAGTGTTCATAAGCAGCAATCCCAGTGTGCTTTAATCACAGCAAAAAATTATATACACATGAAGTCACTAGCCCCGAAAAATATTATGTGCAATTAACTGGGGGACTGCTGGGACTGCTGATGGCAGTGCAGGGAGAAAGGGCTTTCTCAGTACACTGAGCTGTGGCTAAGGTAGAAGAAAATCCCTAATAAGCAGGCTGAGGAGCAATGACGAAAGCTTCCCTAGGAAAACGGAGCCCATGGGCCCAAGGACGTGGAAGAGCGAGCTCAGTGTGGGTACTTGCTCTATGTGAGCTTTTCAAGCTCCCCCTCAGCATGGTGACTGTGCATGGGACCATTTTAATGCCCGACATCCCTGCAAGATGACAACATCCACCCACATCTACTGGGAAAACCACATTCCCCCCAGCAGCAGTTTGCTTCTCTCGGGCTGAAGCGACATCTCCTTCCCACTCAGAGGAAGGGGACCCAAGAAGACAAGAGAATGGAGAAAACCCAGTCCAATTAAAGGCAAAGGGGGGAGAGGCGTGAGAGAGTCGAACTCCACGGGCCTGAAACCCAGGATTGTAGGCAGCGGCCTGCTTATTCCTTTCATTGGCAGCCCTGATTTCTGTCCGTTAGAACCAAAAAGTTCTTACAGCAGGGTAGACAGGCCTGGTGGCATGCACCTGAGGCTCCAGTTGCTTAGCAAGCCAAGACAGGAAGATCCCATGTCCCCAGAAGATCCCATGTGCCCAGAAGCTGGAGGCCAGGCTGGGCAACATAGCCAGACCCCTTCTCAAAAACAAACAAATAAAAGCTCTTTTAATACCCCCATCCTCTGTTCCTTTCCTCCCTCCTGCTTTGCCCTCTAGTAAACTACACCTCTTCCTAAAGGAACCCAAGCTTCTTTATTCTTTCTACGCTCAATTAACAGCTGGAATGTGGCTGGGCCACCTCTGCACCCTTAGCTCAGGATAAAGGACCTGGGGCCTCTGTTCTCTCTTCACTGCCATCACCTGTCAATCACTCCACACACCACCTTCAAAATCAAGTCAGATCCGATTTTATGGTTTGAGACAAGCGGCTGGTGGCATCTCAGAGACCTGCAGCAGCTCTCCAGGAAAATGTGTGTGGAATTCCATTGGCGTGTGTGGAAATTCCCCGAGCTCACGCTGCAGGTGCAGTCAACGCCTGCCACCTAGTGGGGAGAGAGTGCTTGTGCAAAAAGAGAGCAGAATAAGCCTCGGTGCCCTTTTCCTCGCCCTGGGAGCAAGTAAGTAGCCTGGGGGTGCCACTGAATTCAGAATGAGCCTAAGAAAGCTGAGTGTTGTTTGAAGCAAAAAACCAGAGGCAGGGGAGGCCAGCCTCGGGGACAAGAAGGAGCAGAGGAGAGTGAGATGCTTCCTCGTCCGACTGTACAACCCTAGCTTTTCCCTCTAAGTTTCCAAGCCAAGAAGAGGGTTCAGGGTGCAGGATCCTCCCCAAACTAAAGCCCTGCCCACAGACGCAGAAGAAGGTGTGGCACTGGTCTGAGGGGAGCAGGTACGGCCCTCTTACACTCCTGCCCATGGGACCGCAGCCTGAGCCGTCTCAGACTAGCTAGCAATGCAGTTCCGACCTGCACCCCACCCTGCAGCTTGTCCCACCTCCCTGGCACAGAGAAGCATGAGACATAGAAAGACTGCTGAACCCTGAAATGCATGAAGAGTCGGGATAACTCAAAACAGCAGCTTCCTCCTCTGTCAGATGAACCTCTTAAGACCTGTCCTAACCCCCTTCATGCCTCTGCCCATAACCTGGTGGATGTGAAGATACTAAAAATGCTAATAATCTCAGACAGCTTTTTAAAATGTCCTTGTAGAGAGCAAAGAATTGAGGCTCAGAGAGGGAAAGTACCTGGTTTAAGCGGGCACAGCTTCTAAGTGGTGGGACTGGTATTTAAACTCAGGTCTGTCTTACTCCCCTGCCCCCTGCTTGTCATTGCTAGGCACTTCTTCCTGCACCAGAAATGCCTGTCCCCCCTTGAACACCAAGAGCCCAGGAGGGCAGCCCTTCTCCCCCCAGCACCCAGGGGTCACTAGGATAGCAGCGCCCACTGCAGGAAGCCAAGGCTTGCCTAATCTCAGAGGTGACGCTCCGTATTACCTGATGGCACCACATACAAATTGAGAGAGACAGCCCCTGCTTTTGACATTAAGAAGGTGCTAGATAGAAGTGGAAGTGACATACGAAAAAGAAAGCCCTGTCAGTCCAAGCTGCCCCATAGTGCCCACGTGTCCCAAAACCTGCTGAGGGCTTTTAGGATGGGTTTCCTCACATGGCGCCAGAAAGCTGGATGAGGCCAGGGCTTTCCAAGTCACAGCAACCGTGCAAGGTGAGCTTTCCAAATGCCTCCAATGTGAGGGTGACAAGGACAAAAAGCAGCAAGGGGAACCCCTGGGGCTCCACCTTGCAACAGGAAAAGGAACAGAAGACCCAGCAAGACCGTGTATTCACAAGCAGAGGCCCTGAGAGACAGCTCCTGAACTTCCTTCAGAGCCAATCTCCCACCTGAATACAACTAGAAGGTAAGCCGTTAGTGCAGAATTCACAATTCCCACTCCACCTCTACTCCCTTCATTCATGTGCTATTTTAAAGTCCTTCCGATGTTCACCAAAATTTTTCTAGAAAAAGAAACACCCCCAAGATCGCCTACCACATGCACAGAACGTCACATGAGCAGCCACTGTTGGTTTTGTTTTGTTGTTTTTCAATCCTAGACCAGAACCAAGCACTCCACAAGAGAACTATTTTATACCATAAAACACAGCCACTGCCTTCTTCAGCCATGACCATGGACTCCTGGACCCCACACGCCTACGTATCAGCATGACCTGGCAGATGATGGTCTTCAGAGAAAACTCCATCTCCTGTTGCTATTCCAAATCACACTGTAAATCACGTTATACCCTGAAGCTTTTTCCTGACCATGCACAAAGCAGGACAGGGGGTCAGACAATTATCCCTCAGACACAATGCCCGCCTGGCCTCATGGGCTACTTCTACTATCCATTTAGCCTCATTTCTTGAAAAATAGAGTCACAGATTGAGGTTTACGGCAGTAAGACAACTGCTTGCCACAGCACTATCTCCAGCCTAGGAGGACTCCAAAAGATGCCACGTGTTTCTCCAGTCTAAGTGGGACACTGGACTGAGCACACAGCCCAGCAATCCCTTGGACGAATCAGGACATAAGAGGACATGGTTTCCTTTAACAGAAGCATAGAATGAGACCCTCTTTCCCCTTTCCCAGTGCTGCATGGCCACCCTGGTAGCTTCTGAAACGGGGTTCCAGATCATTTGGCCTCACCCTACCGCACGGACACAAGAAGGCTCTTTCCCATACTTACTGAGGGCTGAAACTCCAGGCACTCTTCCTCAAAGTCAGGGTCTACCTGATGAAAAAGAATCATGAGGATATTAAAACATCCGTTCCGGCTTTCACAAGGACTGGGACCCATCTGCAGGAAATGTCCACACCTGCAGCCATCCTGGGACAGCTGGGCAGCTGTCCCCCCTCTATCCACGAAACCAGCATGCCACAACACCACCACATGCCACACAGGTGCGACACACACGAACAATCCACCAGCCACCAGAGGACGCTCTTGAGTACACACAAGGAACACACCACCAGGTCACTGGCAAAGCAACAGGGAGAAGCCTGCAGTGAGTAAAAGATCAATACACGGTCACTGACAGTCCCGCTGATTGTGAGTTAAAAAGAAAAAGAAGGCCTCTAAGAAGAGCTACATTCACCTCAAGACATACAAAGCAAACACCATTGATCTTCAGCAAACCAGGTAATCAAAGTTTCTCAGGATGGATTAGCTGTGTCTGTAACTCCCTGAGGCTCCATTATGAATTTCAACTTAGCCTTCTTGGTCTTTGGTTAAATATTTTGAAATCAATGGCCCATTCCAGTCTCTGGTGCCCCAGGGAGTCACAGGTTAGAGTCCCCATTCCGGGGGTGAGGGGTGAGCGGTGGGGTGGGGGGTGGTCAGCCACACAAGCAATACTAACACCCTTATGCCCCCTGGGAAATCTCTGGGCAGTCCTGCTGGGTGGACCAGGTAACAGGAGGGGTCATTTGAGGCACAAGTAGAATCTGACATGGATCTGCATCATACATGATCCAGCAGGACCAAAGACAGATTCAACATCTGCCATGCAGTAGGACAGCTACTTCATTTAATATAAAAATTAAAAGGCAAATTCCGCCTGTCCTTGTATCAGAGGCCCTTTATAGACACATAAAGTCAAGTTAATTTCTCTGATTTCTGACATTCTATTTCACTAAGGCTCTGAATAATCAGACTTTTTTCCTAAAACTGTCCATTTCTTGATGCATTTTAATGCTTCTGACTTTATATACCACGTTTCCACTATGGCTTAGTCTCAGGACAGGAGTGGGGCTGACAGATGAGATGTGAGGACAGGGAAATATCCCAGGGCAAATACAAAGATCATCGTCCAAACACAGAAGAGCCTTATTCTCTAACTTGCTTTCTCCCCACATCTTGATCAAAACCCCTGCCAAGTTCTTAAACGTGTGAGTCAGTTTTGTATCTTTTCTTCCAGGGAAATGAGGCAGAAGGATGCAGAAAAGCAAGTTGACCGAACAGAACCCGGAGCCTCCATCTACTAGGTGAGTCGGGAACGTAAACCGGATGCCTCAGCTTCAAAGCGAACAACCCAGGGCTGCCACTTACCTCCGCTGCTAGGTAGTGCCCTGTGGCCAGGTGCTTGAAGCGGAAGAGGCTGTTCCAGTACCCGGCTCCGCCACGGCACGGGTCATGTTGGACTACCTGAGAGAGTTAGAAAAGATCAGTGAGTCGGAGAAATGCCAGCTCACACCAAGTTGGTGTGATCTGTGACATCACAAGTTGAGTTCAGAAAGGGGCATTTTCGAGTTGGAAAAAAAAAATATCAGTATCTTCCAACAAACCTACTGCAAGTGTCACATGTAACATTCAAATTCAAACACCTGAAAGTATTAAAATGATACTTTTCCAGAGAAGGTGTAAAGTCTCCCAGTTAACATGCAGTGTTTGGGGTAAAAGCTTCAATGGATTTCAGATTCTTTACCTCAATGCTCATGAAATAAAAGATTCTGAAATTCATCCACAAAACACACAGCTGATAAAAAGGATTTTCATGGGGAACTTTCAAAGCAATCTGCATATCCTCCTGTGCCAGAACACACGGTCAGGCCTGTGCTCAGAAACACAAATCTCTGTCTGGGCCAATTGATTGAGTAAATACGTGTAACTTCAGTTTCTAGCCACAATACAACAATCAGCATCGACAGGTGGCACTGTGACAATTAGATACCACACAAAGTAGTGAAAATCTCCATTCAGAAGTAGAAAACTGGGCAAATCATCTCAGATTCCCCCTCCCCACCCCCCCTATACTGGGGATCGAACCCAGAGTATCATGCACGCTAGGCAAGTGTGTTACCACTGAGCTACATCCCATGCCCAAATATCTGGGTAAAATGTATGAAACAACTCTGTCGGACAACAGGTGACACACATGTGATCTCTGAGAATAGAGGCACAAACAATGCAAGCTCCAGGATGTCTCTGGTTTTCTCACTAGGGAATTCAAGCTGAGAGCCCCGGGTTCATGGAGTTGAGGAGATGAAGTGGAGTTTAGGGAAACCGAGGCAGCTGGAATTTGTGGGATAGAGCTCTGAAGAATATGGAGTTACATCCAGAATGAGCCCCAGAAATGTGCAGAGAGGTCTCCTTTGAGTTGTGGGCTGAGTATCCAACAGTGTATTTGCAAGACAAGACCCCACGAGGCCAAATCAAAAACAAGAAGGGGGACTGAGGGTGTAGCTCAGTGGTAGAGCACCTGCCTGGCATGTGCCAGCCCCTGGGTTTAATGCCCAGCACCACAAAAAGTCAGAATGATAAGAAAATGCAAAGCCCCAGAGTCCCAGAGCTCATGCATTTGGAGGTCTCCTCACTCGGAAAGCCAAGGCAGAGAGATTCTATGGACCACCTCGAGCACTAACAGAGACAGCAAAAGGGTCCCCTTTAGTCATAAGGCTAATCCAGTCCCAGGATAAAGGCTGCACTCTTCTGACCTAATATAGCATGAAAATGATCCTCCAAAACACCATACTGATCCACCATGGTGACTTGACTGTCAAACAAACTCTCTAGACTCTTTAAAAGAACAACAGATTCCAGACACCCAATAAAACAGTGGTATCATGTTCAACAAAGAATCACAAAGTATTGGACAAACAATCAGGAAAACATGACCCATAAACTCAATCAGATAATATCAAGTGATATAATTTATGTCTGGGTTTATGTCTGAGTGGATTGGTGAGGGCAGGAAAAGTATTTGAGAAATCATGACCACAAGTTTGCCCATTTTGTGACATACCCACAGATTTAGGAAAATTAAGGGACTCTAGCAAGAGAATCATGCATGTACATACATCCCAAGTCACATCATGAACCTATTCATGCAAAACAGAAATTAAAAAAAAAAAAAAAGAATCTATAAAGTAACTGATGAGAAAGGGAAGAGAAAGAGACTACATGTTAGGAATGAAGATTTTAAAAATCACTGAATTCACATCAAAAACAACAGAAGCTGAAAGCCAATGGATCAAAATCTTGGAAGTAGAGAAAGAAAAAAACTATCCAACCAGAATTCTATTCCCAACAAAAATATCCTTCTGAATTCAAGGCCACATGGAGAAATTGCAACTGAGATACACTCCTGCTGGGAGAATAACATGGCGTAGACCTTTGGGGGCCCCTCCAACACGCATTTACATGTCACCCATGATTCCTCTCCCAAAGGCCTGGAAACATGCACACCCAAAGTCTTATATGGGATTCTTCACAGCTCCCTCTTCACAATAGCAATGATCCAAACACAGTCACATGATAAAAGGATAAAAAGTGGTATACCCACACAAGAGAATGCTATTTGGCAAGGAAAAGAAATGAAGCATGGATACATGAGGCAATATGGATAAACTCTGAAAACACCATCTGTGGGGCTGGGGTTGTGGCTCAGTGGTAGAGTTCTTGTCTGGCAAGCACAAGGTTCCTCCTCTGTTATGGAAACCTCCAGGGCACAGGGAACAAGCCTCCTACTACCCTGACCATCTGCTGACCATCAACCTGACCATCCTGCTGTGTGCTCCAGGTATCTGAGTGCTTGTGTGCTCCTTTGCCAATGGAGAATCACCTATCATGTCATTTGGCTAAGGCTTGTGGTGGCAGATAAACGAGCAAGGGAAAGGAAAAGAAATAGAAGAGATGATTCTATGGCCCAGACAAAGAGTATTTCCAGTCTGTCTGAATCCTTCCCAAGTGGATACACTGTTTCCACACAAGGACACACAGCACCTCACTGCTAGGTCAGGGTGCGCTTCTTTTGCTAGAACACCCCAACCCGTTTTTAGAATGAGGTAGGTGGTTTGAGGACCTGGGTGTGATTAACAACCATATGAGGTCAAGTCCTATGGGCCCCCGTGTCCTTTCTCCTGTCCTCCCATCCCACTCCTTACCTCCACTTCCCACAGGGCTTTTGAACTGGTGGCAGATGTGGCCGACTGCCGGCCTGTGGTCCTCAGAAAGACGTGCTGCTTCTTCCTGTGCTCGTCACAGGTGAGAAACTTCTCTTGCTCAGCGTGGAACAGCCTCACCACGTCGCCCTAAGAATCAACACAAGGAGGAATGAAAATCTGCATACTATAGGCCTGCACCTGCGTCAGTGTTCACAGCAGCACAAGCCACAGTTGCCAAGTGAAGGAACAGCCCAGGAGCCCGTCCACAGATGAATGGATCCAGAAAACGCAGCGTATTTACACAGTGGAGTTGGACTCGGCCAGAAGAAGGATGTAATCATGGCACTGGCTGGTGGAGGATGTCACTGGACATCACCATGGTAAGTGAAATAAGTCAGACTTAAAAATCAAGGGTTGGGTGTTTTCTCTCACATCTGCAAGCTACAGTGAAGTGAGGGGAAAAACTTGGGGTGAGGTTGGATATCGTAAAGATACAGGGAGGATACCAGTGGAGTAGTAGGAGGAAATCAGAGGAAGGAGGGATGGGAAAGGCAGGAATAAGGAATCAATTCTGCTTTGTGGATTCACACACGTAGCACAGTGAGTTCGACCCTTATGAACACCTACACAGCCCCAATCAAACACACACAGAGGAACAGGGGAAAGGAGACCTGCAAAGTCAAGGAAGGACCATAAGGGGACGGAGGTAAGGAGGGAAAGGGGATGGCTACTGGAAACGGAAATGAAGTCCATGAAACTCCCTGCATGTGCTGCTTTGTAAAAATGAACCCGAATATTATGTATAACTATCGTGTACCAATAAAAGAGAAAAAAAGAATTCAGGAAAAATGAGTTTAAAAAGAAAATGACCCTGGCTACCCCAAGAAAAACCAAGTATCAAAAAGCTGCCAAGCCCATAAAGTAGCAAACTAACCCCTTTTTTCTATTTTTTTTTTTTTAAAGTAAGAACATTTGGTTTCACTAAATCATGACCCTTGGGTACACTTTTAAAAATGCTCCATGGGGAGCATAGTCTGTAGTCGTTAATTTCATCTTGCCCAAAGAGAGGTCTGGTGTTTCTCCTGGGCTCAGGGGAAACTCACCCCCTTTAAAATGTCATCTTTGTTGTCACTCCATTTCATGAAAAGGACTATTTTCCAGCTTGTGTTGCAGTTGACGGAATTGACCTAGAAAACAGATTAGTTATCACACTCCTCACCACGATGTGTCACACAGCCCCGACATTCCAGGATCAAGGGTGTGCCTCAGCCCCAAACCCCTACAGTCTTAACTATATCGAGAACCCAGCACCGGCAGAGTCAACTGGCCGGTGAGAAGTATTTCATCATAAATGGCTCATCTGCACCCGACCTTACCTATGCTCTCAATAGGACCAAAGGAACACCATGGTAAGTGAAATAAGCCAGACTTAAAAATCAAGGGTTGGATGTTTTCTCTCACATGTGCAAGGTACAGTAAAATGAGGGAAAAACTTCCCCCCACCCCTTCTGCAATGATCTTTTCCTTTTCTTCCAAGTCTCTTGTTCTGTAGCCAGAAAAGTAAAGGCCAAACAAAAACAAAGACTGATCAAATAGAATGAGCCTCAAAGCCAAGAAATGAATCCAGTGTATACAGATGAAAATGTTAATGACCATCATTATCAGAAGTGCCATTACTTGTGCACTCAGCTGAGTACGAACACTGTGTCATTTAACACTCAGCAATACCCTAAAAAGCAGGTACACCCATCACACCCATTTCAGAGACAGGGAAACCTTGAGATGAGGTAACTAATACGCAGTACCAGGGCCAGGGAATGAAAGACTTGAGATTTGAATCCCTATCTGACCCACCCCAGAGCCTGGGTCCTTATCCATTAAACAGATACTCATGTCACCAACTAGTTACTGTCCTGTGTCTTGTACCTGTCAATTTAGAGTCTAAACATCTATACTGCAAAAGCAAGACAGCCTTGCAGGGCCACTCATGTGTTATAATGGACCCTTCTTAGGAATTAGAAAAAGGCACCCTATTCTTTAGAGAAGCAAATTAGAAAGAGGTGTCCCTGTGGTCAGGTCAAACATACTGGCAACAAAAGTCCTTGCAGACTGAACATATGAGCACACGGTGCCTCCACGGGGAAGGCTGGGCACTGGGGTGAACTACCCGCCCCGACTCACTGCGCAGAGACGCGCACACCTAGTGTGGCAGCTCTGACTCTGGGCCTCGAGTTCTTCACCTGCAGGATGTCACAGTGCTTGAAGTCCCTTTCAGCATGCACAAGCTCCAGCCCCAGGAAGGCCTGCCGCTTCCCACGAGCCGTGACTCGGTCTCCCTTACCTCGTTGCAGCCAGGGTTGTCCACCAGCTGATGGCTGCTGGCATGCAGGGGCTGGCCAGCATTGACGGGGTTTAGAACAACCTTGTCACCTATGACCACCTGGAAAGGAAGGAGCAACAGGTTTTCAAGGACGGATCTGGACTACAGACTGAAGGCTGGGCTGGTCTGGTCTGGGAGTGGCCAGATGGGCAGCTTTAAAACCTGGCTCTGGGCAGGGGGTGGGGTGGGGTCATGCCCAGAGGCTAAGGCCGAATTCTGGTACAGGACTGTCAATAATTATACAGTGCTATCTTCCAAGTTGGTCCAGAGCAGCAAGAAAAATCTCCTATTTCCATTCCATTCAGTTAAGATACGTGTATAAAAATAAGTGCTTGACTAAATTTTAGGAAAAGTAGGCTACTAAGTCTTTTACTTTGCAAACAACAAAACCATACTTACGTGTTTCTAAAGCAATGACCTTCATACTTTGGTGACTGCAATAGATTTCCTAGTATGACTCATTCACATATACAGCAACACACACTCTAGCGTGTGTGTGTGTGGGGGGGGGGCAAAAGTTATTCCTAAAACAATATTTGCCTTCATGCGTATCACACTCTGGTATTTTTTATTGTATCCTACTTCCCAAAATTATTGCTACACCCCAGTAAATTGATTCTGCAGCTTAGGAATAGGTTATAACCTGCCGTATGAGAAGGACTTTTCCAATAGTATAACTATTCAAGTCATCTTCTCAGCTAAGTCACAGCTAAATGGAATAAAGAATAGAAAAAGCAAAGAACTGGCTGAAAATGAAATTCAGAACAAGGCACATTTGTTTTTCATTGGAGGGGTGGAAGAAAAGGGAGTGGAAGAGATGATTTCCTTAGACTTAAACCCCATCTATTTTTGGTTCGATACTTTTGGGGATCATGCATTCCTAAATTTTCTCTAACTCCAGAAGAATAAACAAATATTCAATAAAACCATCACTAGTGGTGAAACCTAGATTTTTTTTTTCTCCTATTCCCAGTCTGGGATCAATATTCACTGTACACCAATGGTGAGGGGATGCTTTCCTCTATCTTATGAGACACACACACACACACTCTTAAACTGCTTACAGCTTATAAACTGAAATGGCAGTATGAAAAAAATGTTGAAACCTAGTTTTAGATTAAGGCTAGTTGAGTATTTTGAGAACACTTCATGCTGTTTAAGGCACAAATTTCTTTTTAGCAAAAATGCAACTATTTTAGAACCTTAACAAGGTCAAGAATACAGCTAATAGCTTTCAAACATATTCATTGTTAAGTGTGTGCCCACGTAATGGCTCACTAATTTAACTAACAAATATTGGGACTATTCTAAGCAGCCCTGAAAAGAGGCCCCTGTGGCTTCCTATTCTGTAGAGACCTCAGGACTGGGGCCAGCTCAGGACCAACCATGTCGGCAGAGTACCTGGCTGCTAATCTACACGGAAACCTCAAGTCCACTCTCCTTCCCCGCTGCCGTCATTTCTTCTCCATGCTCCCTCCTTACTAGGTTTATTTCCAAAACAGACATTGCTATCCCGCTGATGGATCTGGAATGACGGGGATCCTCCCCGGGATGTTAACACGGGGTGGCTGTTTTCGTGGTAAAATGAATGAGGTAATGGACCCTCCATAGGAGTGTTTCAGAGGCCCAGTAGGAAAAACATAGCTACCGTATTTAGGTCACATTCTCTACACATTTCCTTGTTTCCCAAACACTCGTTTCCATAGTGATTCCAACTTCTCTGGTTCCAACTTTAAAGTTCTCCGAGTGGAGTTCCGTATCCAGGGATGGCGGGAGGCCTGGCGTCCAGGCCTGGAGTGTGCAACACTTACGCTGTCTCCGATGGACCGAAGCTTGTAGAAGGGCTGAATGTAAAACCAGGACCCCTCATTCCCGGCTTCGTCCAAGGTCACCCTCATAGCGTTCTTTTCCAGCAGAGCTGGAAGCCTCTTGTTCACAGTGAGGTATTTATTACTCTTCAAATGCAGGAGCTAAAAACCCAACAAGAGAAAACCAGGAGTGTCAGTCCACCTCTGAATTCCCTGACATTTCTCTCTCAGATGTATAGAATATGCATCAGACGTTCGTCCAACTACTGAACGGCTTGTGAAGCAGGAGGCCCACAAAGTACCGGAGGCTGGGGATGATGCGAAAAGAAGGAATAGTAAAGGGAGCAGAGGGCAAAATAGAAGACAAAATTTGTTTTCTTTCTCGGCACGGCCTTGGACAATATGGATTCTGCTCAGGTCAACTGTTCCGTCACCAGCTAGCTGTCGGAGGGGAGCAGCCTTACCCTGTGCAAAGGAGCTGACGAACTGCAGTCCGAGTATGCCCTGCCACCAACGTGCAGCTAAGCAGGACAATTCTGAGAACAAGAAACAGTGTCCTTTAAAGGGCAACCCCATTAGGGGACTGTCACTTCACATGGAAGAACATGGTAACCATGGACTTCCACCTTGAAGGCTCCAACACTTGAGTCTTGGAGGATGGTGACATGAAGGGATGGAAAGACTGGAGATGGAGTGGAAGACAGCTCTCCTGCAAGCTGGTCAAGACCAGGAAGAGCTGACCATGGCTTCCCAAGTCATGAGTCCAGAGAAACACTGGAGGGGGACATGAAGGACTGCCCAGTTCCTAAACAAATGGCAGGACCCCCCCTGGAATTCCAATGCCAACTCCCATACCCTGTTCACCTGCTAACAGAAACCACTGCCAGGGCACTCTCAGGGGGTCCCCAGGTATTCTAACAGGGTCGTCAAGGGAGGGTCTGAGCCCCAGACAACCTCTGGCCAAGATAAACACAGGGAGGCAATGTCCTTCCAAATCCTCACTGCTCAGGTGAGTGGCCTCTGATCCCCCATGAAGAGGACAAACCAGTATTACCAAGAGGTGGATCCCAGCTGCAGGTTTGGGGGCAGTAATAAAAACCACTAGTTGCTAAGTCTCAGACTCACTCTCCAACAGGCTCCTCTCAAGTACCCAAGAAAGCAGATACCATTACCATTTCCATTTTGCTGGACAGCAAGGTGAAATATAGCAAGATTTCTTGCCCAAAATCTCACAGGAAGTCCCAGAACCTTCACTGAAATGCATTTAGGAGTTTAGGTGCTTGGTCCCTGAATGCCTCTTTCATTCTCAGTTCAAGCCATGATCTCCAGTCTAACCAAACCAGGGACCCTGTGCTGTGAGTTTCAGGACACTAGCTTTGCTCAGCAAGAGAGCTCATGTTGAATTCCAAGCTCACGTGGCCCCTGTGGCCATTCTCAATCAGATGGAACTTAAAGAGGAGTGGGACCAACAGGACTTAACCTCCAAACAGATTTTGGGAGCTACTTTCGCTAATTCAGAAAGCCATCTAAATAACCCATTTAACTATGACAGCTTCCTTTTAAGTTTTGGGTTTTCTTTTTAACTACTTTTCCCGTGCTCCTGATTAAAATTATTAGCAATAAGAATGGGAAGGAATTCCTTTGTAACAAGTAAGGTTCAGGGTAAGCAAAATCTTTCCAAAAGAGAAATAATGAAGGAAACCTAACATGCCAGGTATTCAATAGTTGGTAATCACTATCCTTTGTGCCTGGGTCAAAATGATATGCTAACTGGACAAAGGGAGAAGGTCCCCAGGCATTGGGATTCCTCACATTCTCTTCTGCAAGACTAGGATCCACTCAGATGGATTTTCTGAGCCAGACCTGCAGAAGCTGTTTCCTGGCTTGGGTTTTATCCTGGTGATGAATTGAAAAGCCAAGTAAGCCTCCCAACCCATAAGATTTAGGAATGATCTAATATTTTTCATTAATAAAAAGTGCATCAAAATAACTGCTGCTGACTTTTAAAATTTGGAAGGTACAGAATTGCTTATATTATTATCTCTGGGCAAACAGCTCTTGAATAAAAGATAGAAGTTATAGGGAAGCCAAAGAGAAAGAACTTCCAAGCTCCTGAAAGTTCAGCAGAACTGTGTCAGGCTCCTTTTCAGGTAGGAAGGTTCCCACTTGAACTATCTGGACAGATCTTAAATTGTCAGGTGGGGGTAGCCAAAGCAGATGCTCAGACTGGAGAGATGGCCAGCCACAAAGCCCAAGAGTGCATCACTGGTAACCAACACTAGGCTTTTGTAACAAACTGCCTTACTCCGTGGAGTCCTTCTGCACAGGCAGAGTGTCCAAATTCTGTTCCGCTTGTTTACTTTCTCAGTGTCATTCTTTGTCATGCGTCACCTCCAGAAGAGAAGAGCAGCCTTGACCTACCTGGATCACGTTGCCATACTGAATCACGGTCCCCAGCAACTTCCTGTTTTCTGTCTCGTTCTGTTTCTTTTCCAAGTCCGCGGCATGCTATGCGGGAGAAGGGGGGGGAGATGGTCACAAAGAGGCATCTGTGGGTTCTGCTGCTCTGCAACACTGAACCCATGCCCGCAACACAAGAACCACACAGGCAAACCCCTCCATGCACCCTAGGCTGTGGCCAAGGAGCGTCCACCACACCTCGGCCCTGTTGGTCTCTCTGACTTCTCTAAAATGAGCTTTTTCTTGACAGAATGCATGGACATTTGCTAAGGGAGAGACTTCTTCAAAGTTTGTGTATTTTTAAAGAAAAGAGAGTGAGGGTAACAGCACTGGTGCACCCTTTTGTGACTGGCAAAAGTCCTCTTTAAAAAAAAAAACTTCTAGAATAAAATAAAACTGGATTTGAATGCTGGGTTTGGGGGTAGTTTGTAGTTTTGTGACCTTGAGTTTGTTATTTAACAACTCCTTCTTTTGTAAAATGAGAACAAAAATGATACCTACACCTCACATTGCATGTGAACTGCTAGCTAGTCTTGTCAGACATTAATTATAATCTAACCAACTTATGTAGTAGTTATTTGAGGGGAGATCATTACCCCAATTCACAAAGAAAAAAAAAGAAAATAATAAAATAAGTCACCAGGGTTGTTTAGTAGAATGTGGACTTGGTATATACAAGTTTCAGAATTTGAGCTTTAGCAGAGAGAGAGAAAGAGAAAGAAGAGAGAGAGAAAGAAAAGAGACACAGAAGGGCTGGGTTGTGGCTAAGGGATAGAGCACTCGCCTAGCAAATGTGAGGCCCTGGGTTTGATTCTCAGCACCACATATAATAAAAATAAAGTTCTATCAACAACTTAAAGAAAGAAAGATCAGACACAGAGAGCTTAAGCAGTGTGGTCCACATCCCACAGCCAGAGTTGGGTTTGTTAAACCATTTTCTCTACTGAGGACAGTAGAAATTTTGCTGAAATTTTTAGACTCGCCCATTTATGAAGTAGCTGAGAGAATTTTCAAATTCACAACTGGGTTCGTTCCAAATCTGTGCTGTTACAGTGAGGCCGGGAGACAGGACCAGTCCAACACTGCATACAAGGAAATGTGCTCAGGCTGAATAGAGTGTTCTAGAACACTGCCAGGGCCTGCATCCTGAACAGCTGTCTCTCATGCATCCTCCTGTGCCACTCTGAGGGCACTGCTATCATTTTACAGTGAAGCTGAAGGAGGAATACTTAGGTCCAGGCAGTTAGCAAACTGCTGTCCCCACCCCCGACTCCAACCCTGAACTGAATGAATGAAAGAGAAGTCAAATAACGGGGTGGGGGTGGGGTCAGGATGGATCTGTATAGAAGGAAACCCTGATGACCACAGTGTGCTTCAAGAACCTTCCAAACACTCTCCCCTTCCCTGGGGGCTATGGAGGTCAGTGGGTCCCTCTCCCAGGAAACCTGTCTTCATTTTGCCCTTCTGGACTTCGTCATGGGTTGCTCTGTGCCACCTGTGTCCTCTTGCCCTGGTCACTTAATCTCACTCAGTGTAGTTATCAGAAAATGGGGACCCATGCTAGGCTTTGAGACAGTGCCTGCCAGGGACATCATAGGCTTTTGGTAATATTTTATTAATTTATTTTTGGGGCCATGCTGGAGACAGAACCCAGGACCTCAGATGAGCCAGGCAAACAAACCGTCTACCACTGGGCCCCCCTTCAATGACTTTGCACTATTATCATGACGCACAGATTTCTAAAACTAAGAATGTTCTAATGATCAAAATTTCCAAAGGGTTGGACCCAAGTCAGCTGGGTCAAGGATCTTCCTGTTCCCTTCAAATTCAGCATCCACTCCAGCTCCACCTGAGGGGTAAGTGTTTTTAGAAAGGCCCATCTTTTGAGAAAAGTGGTAGGTCAGGAGGCAATCCAGACCCCCAACAGAACCGTACCCCAGGAAGGAAATGATCTGCCCACGTGCGTGGCAGTCACTGCAACTCAAAGGAGCCACTGGGTTCAAGACAGGTCCAGAAACAATACCAGGGCAGACAACGTGGCATTGCCCGGGGCCACAATTCTGCCCTCTCTCCTTCCCCTCCATAAACCCTCCCTCGGTCTCCCTGTTTTCCTGCCTGGGCTTCATTCTTTCCAGAGAGCTCCACAATACCCACAGATTCTGAAGCCGTTTTCCAAACAAAACACTGGAGTGGATCCATTTGGAATGGGAGTTTGTACTGTACACAGAGTGATTTGTTCTTTCTGCCAAGTGGTTCTCAGCAAGCACTGACTGGAAACTCAAGAGGGGGAAAAAGTCAAAGGAAGAAAAATGAAATCAATGGATTCTGTGTAACTAAACCTAACATTTTTCAAGAAGCAAATAAGGATCTTCCTCTGTTCCAAACATCACCCTGGAAGGGCTCTTAACCACTGAGCCACATTCCCAGCCCTTTTTATATTTTATTTCAAGACATGGTCTCCCTAAGTTGCTCAGAGTCTCACTAAATTGCTGAGGCTGGCCTTGAACTTTCGATCCTCCTGCCTCAGCCTCCTAAATCGCTGGGATTACAGTTGTGAATCAATCATTGCATCAGCTAGAGAATTCTTAAGTAGCATTTCTTGGACTCAAATTATTTACGGGGAAAAATTCTTGTGGACATTCCCCTTACTCTTAAGAAATTTCCAAAGATCTCAATTGAAGATACTTTAATCTACAATATTAAGTTCCTACCTATTAAACTAAGTGTAAAAGTAGCAACTCATTGGACACTACTATAACTGAAAAATGTCAAATAAGCATTAGAAAGGTGCCTGTGTCACATTAAAGATTAATTAAATGCCAGCTCCTCTACGGAGCAAGTGCAGTTGTCTAAAAACACATAGAAAATAAACAGGAAAAATCAAAATTGGAGAAGGACCAATTCATCAAAGATATTCTTGAATATGGCACCTAAAATTCAGTTAAGGCTCTCTGTTACAATAAAAGCTAAGACTCTCTTCATCTCTATGAATAACTTTAGTGGTAACCGAGTCTACATGTCACTATTGAAGAAATGCTAAAGGCATTCAACTTACAGACCATTCTAAGAATTCACTTTTCCTAGCTCTTTGTTTAGGGAGAAAAATCTGTAATTTGCTAAATACATAAACATCAAATGCATTCACCGGTGAAGGCTGGTTCTTTGGAAGGAACACATGCTATGTTATACCCCATAAACGTATTCCACATGCTGACCCACACTGCCAAAGACTGACAATACCCTTCTAAAGGGGAGTCCAGCAATACTGACCAATGCGACCCTTCAGTGGGTCTAATTTGACCTAGCAATTCTACTTCTAGGAGTTTCTCCTGCTTACATAAACTGGCATGCACACAACATTTTTTTTTTCAAAGTGGCAAAAATTGCCAGGATCCTGAATGTCACTTCCTACCCTGTCACAAGGACTAGTTATCCAAAACTATAATCTTGCCACACAATGGAGTAATCATGTAGCTATTAAAAATAAGGATGTAACCAGGTTTGGTAGTGCACACCTGCAATCCCAGCTACTGAGGCAAGAAGATCTCACATTCAAGGCCAGCTTGGGCGACTTAGGAAGACCCTCCCTCAAAATTAAATTAAATTAATAAATAGATGTATTGCTGACAGTGTAGTCCAGTAAGCATTTGCCTGGATATGTAAGACCCTGGATTCCATCCCCAGTACTGGGGTGGGAGGGTAGATACAGATTCCTGTTTAACCATGTCAGAGTGAAAGAAATAAGTTAAAGGAAACTTAAAAAGTATGTTTCCACTAACTATATAAAAATCTCCCTGTGGGCAAGCAGGGCACATACCAAAATAAAAATCAAGGTTATCACTAAGGAGTTTTGTCTTTTTTAGGGGGTAGGCATGCTGGGGATTGAACCCAGGGGGCACTTAATCACTGAGCCACATCCCCAGCCCTATTTTTTTTTTTTTTTATTTTGAGGCAGAGTCTCACTAAGTTGCTGTGGCTATCTTTGAACTTGTGATCCTCCTGCCTCAGCCTCTTGAGCTGCTGGGATTACAGGTGTACACCATAGTGCGTGACCAAGGAATGAGATTTAAGGATCCTATCAATTAAGTTTTTATTTTTTCCTTCTCTTACTCATACCTACTTTGCAATTGTTCTCCTGCAGAACTCATGTATGTAAACTCTAAAAACATCTTGGTTGTGTGTCTGTGGCAAATAACCTGGATGATGATGATGATGATTTTACCTTTTCAGTCTTTAAAAATCCTGACAATGGAATCCCAGGGACTCCCTTCCTTTCACACGGGTTGGGGGCTGTTTTTTCATGGGGAAGGAAGAGAACAGTCCATGCTAGGGTTTCTGCCACACTATCCACCTCCTGTGTTCCCTAAACAACATCAAGGTCAACCCCATCATAGTCACCTGCTCGTTTATTTTAGAAACACAGAAACCATTACTGAATCACCATAGAAAGGTCACTGGAACAGTGAGGAAAGGTTAGTTAAGGTCAGCGAGCTCTGATCACATCATGTGATAATGGATCCAGGCTCCTGAAAATAAACAACCAAGCTTTAAAAGACAGTGAAGATCTGTCGCTCCTCTGGTTCTTCCTATCAAAGGTATGGCTTAATCTAAGTGATCATTTGTCCTAATCCAAACAACGTAGGTGCCTGTTCATGGGGACAGGTGGACAGCTTCAGGGAGCTCCTGCTTCAGGAGGAATTAGGTGATGCAAGGGCCGGGGAAGCTCATTTTCCCAAGAGTCTTCTGGGAAATCATGACCCAAAGACTCAACATCCAGTTCTTTCTGCAGAGGGAGCAAATGCCGGGACCAGCCACTAGATGTCATTCTCCTTCAAAGGGCTGTTGGTGTTGCTTTTCCTGGTCAAAAGGAAGTCAAGTGGTCTGGACAACCAATTCCTTAAATGGCATTAATTTAAAATAATCTGACCTCTGACTGGGGTACTGCACGGCAGTGGACAAAAATAAAAATGAAGGCCGAAGGCAAGTGGCTGACCCCAAACACAGCCCTTTTAATGACTGTACCGAAACGTAATGACTTTCAGACAACAGGAGGGCAGTTCCAGGGACCTACACAAAGTCCAGCACAGACCAACACGCAGGGCCTGGAAAAGTCACACGGGTAACCCTCAGTCGGGGGAAGACGTGGTCTTCTTTGACTTTAAGATACAAACTTCATGAAAGATCATTCCACTCTCTCTCATAAGGAATTCAAAGTTCCTGATCACCTGAAGAACCAGATAGTTTCTTTTTCCTATCTGTACTGCTTACTTCACGATCCACTGGCAGAAAAGGAACATCAAAAGGAATTGCTAATAAAACACAACCTGAAGATGACAGGCTGGTAGAGCATATGTGAAGCACTGAGTTCGATCCTCAGCACCCCATAAAAATAAATAAATAAAATAAAGGTATTGTGTCCACCTACAACTAAAAAGCATATTAAAAAAAAAAAAAAAAAGAAGATCACCGGTGGCAAATGAGACTCCACCATCCCATTCGGCCTGAGCCATTTTGGGATTGGTGTCGAGTGCACATTTCCAGCTTTAATTGAATCAGCTGCCAACATGTTTTCTAAATGGAGGTCTTACACGTAAAAGCATGGATTCTTATCTTCTCTTGAAAAAGCAGAAGACACTGTGTGGCTCTCAGCCTGGCTTCCCACACAGTCCCCGCAGGAGAGAGAACTGCCCCCTCCAGACCCGCACACAGGCTCCCTCCGTGGGCAACACTGCCACCCAACCCCCTTTCTCCCCACTAGTCTCCTGCTTGACCAAGAGCAACAGGAATCTGCACCCCTGCTATAAAAAGAGTAGGAGATAAAGAGTTGGAGGTACACGAATGAGACCTCGTGGAATAGAACGATCTTTAGAGCAGAGAAGCAAACGCTCAAGACACGCAGACCTTCTACAGAGACGCCTTCCACACCCGACAGCTCTCTCCTGAGTGACATGCAGAACCCTTCCCTACCCACATTCCCAGCATAGACTTCAGGGGGATTCTGCACAGGCACAAGGACTGCAAGAGGAGAAGGATGCTACTCCTACAACAGAAGCCAGGCACGCTGCCCGCCATCAGAGGCCAGCCGAGGCTCAGATCTATCCAAGGAATTGCCACTCATGCCGTTTAAGTGCAGGGCTGGCTGGACATTCACTTAAGTTAAAAGGTGTCTGTCTTAATCTAGCACCTCACTCCACTTTACACAAAGATAAATGTGTGGTTTGATTAACACTATTAATAGATTTTACAAAAGGGCAAGTACTATTGGACAAAGGAAAATGTCACTTTGCATTCTTTGTAGTACTTCCGAGAGCTGCTGGCCCTTTTGGAAAAATCACAACACAGGTAACATGCTTTCTGCATAACTAAGACTGGGTACCTGCAGCGTGCAGAAATAGACGCAGGGCCTGATTCCCTCCCATCTTCTAGAATCGTTGTCCTGAGCATTAGGTATCCAACTTTTTATGCAATTTATTATTTTCCTTTTACTTATCCTTTGTAACTGATTTTTTTAAAGTTTAGCATTATGAACTCTATCACAGATTCAGAAAGTTATCTATTTGCTATGGATAGGGAGCAATGGGTGTGTGGAAATTAAGTCCATGAACTACTATTACTGCTACAAGGAAGATGCTGCTCTTGAAGTGCACAGAGCAGTCTCCAGCCTCCTGGGCCTCACCCCCCATGTCTTCTTCTCCCCTCTCACTCCCACAGTCACCTCAGGCTCAGGTTCACGAGTCCCTTATCTGTCCCCCTAGGAAGCCCTCCCTGACCACTGAACCGTACCTCCTCATCCAGCAAAGCCAGACTGTGGTACCTTTCTGTGTGCTTCCCCTCCCTCGGGTGGTCTGCCCTGCAGTATGGCCTCTGTCACACTGTCATTACCTGTTTTCCCCGTTTTGGGGCTGGGGATGGGGCCAGGGGCCTGGTGCCTCCTCGGACGGTGCTCTACCACTGAGCTATACCCACAGCCCACCCCTTGACCCCTTCTCCTCTAAGGAGCTCCTAGAGGGCTGAGACTGTTCTGTCACCAGCACCCAGCACAGTGCTCACCCACTCAACAACTGTTTCCAAAGCTCTGACTACGCGCCAGGCAGGGTGATAGGAGCTGGGGAAGTGACCGTCCACAAGAGGGACAATGCCCAAGACCTTGTAAAGCTGGTGTTCTAATGAGTGACAGATAATTAAGAAATGACTAAAAATAACCACAGCCTATGATCAGCGCTGGGGATGGTATATACAGGGAGGAAAACAGGCAGGACAGATCTTAGACTGGTGGAGGTGGCTTGTCAAGATGAGAGGCACAGTGAGATAAGAAGGATGCAAGGTCCCCGCTCAAGAGAAGCCAGGAGATACTTTCTGCCAACAGGACACACCGTGGGTGCAAAGGTCAAGCGACTGGTACAATCTTGGGGTGCTCAAAAAAAAAAAAAAAAAAAAGAAATGAACTAAATCTCATCTGTAACTCAGCAAGGCCCTAAGCAACTTAGCAAGGCTGTGTCTCAAAACTTAAAAAAGTAAAAGGGGCTGGGGATGGGGCTCAGTGGTTCAGCATCCCTGGGTTCAAATCAATCAATCAAGTCTGGCTGGAGGGCAGTTCAGAAGCTTTGGAGGGTCAAGCAGGGTCTGGGCATGTGGTCTTGCAAATCACAAGAAGTTGCACTTTGGTGCAACGCATGTCCTCAGGAAGGGGCCTCAGCTCACTGAGCCTAGGAACCTGGGCTCTCACCCCTCCTGGATGAGCGCCTCGTGAGACAGCAGGTGCTGAATGAAGAGGACAAACCTCCACCCAGCCCCTACCTTAGCGAACGCCGCTGGCTAGGCCACTGTCCTATCAAGTCACAAACAGGGCAGGCGGACCTGGGGAACCTGGCAAGGTCCTTGGTGCTCACAGCTACTCTTGCGAGGTGCATCACCACTCTTCACTCACCTATTTGAAGGCCTACTATGCGCTACTATGCTGTAGGCACAAGGGACACACAGCAACAAGCAAAATGCCACATGCTGGTTACTTCCTGGGCAGGGATGGACCGGGGAGAGAACATGGGATGGACCACAGGGTCGTGGAGGAGAACATGATGGCAGATGACAAGCAGGAGCTGGGTGGCAATTTCAACTCCACAACGATGGATGTCCATTCGACCCGCCTTCTAAACTTCTAGAACTTCCACACAGATTACCCTCTGAGTGCAGGGTACTAAAGGAATTATGTCAAGAGAAACGGGTTCAGAGAGTTACAGAAACTTGCTGGAGTCACACAGCACATCAGCAGTGGCATGAGCACATTGCTTAGGTGACAAATTGGACAAATACAATCATAAAAGCCAAAGTTTAGTAAGCATCATTCATGTGCCTTTTATGTCACTTTTCATATAATCCTCAGGTCAACCTCCTGAGGCACACATTACCATCATCCCCAGTTTATAGGTAAGGAACAGAGTTGGAAGATAGCTGAGGGACTTGCTCAAGATCACATTCATAATCTTGTGCTGGTAGCCATTCTGCTGCCCAAAACTGCCCGTGAAAGGGGCAGAGGCCAGAGTGGCTCCCAGACATCTCAAGAGGGCTACAATGAGCCTCTTCTCGGGGTCCTCTCCCTCGTATTCCTTTAACAAAGGAGCATAAGAAAGCCAGCAGCTGGAGAGGAGGGTTGAGCCAGGCGCCAGCCCTCGTGCTCAGGCACCACCCAGGGACCAGTCACGGCCACCATGCCCACTGCCCACAGCCCACCGCGGCCATCCCGATACCTACGTGCAGTTTGTTCAGCAGCACCGCGTCGGTCGTGCTATTGGCCCCTGGCTTGGCGGCTTTCCAGAACTGCTTCTGGGCCGAGTAGCGATTCATAGGACACAGCTTGAAGAGGCAGTCTAGGATCAAAGTGACAAAGGGCAATGGTTACCATGGAGGCCCACAGGTGACCCAAGGACCCAGGCTTCCCACCTGCACTGACATACGGTATTCACCTATGCTGCACTTCAGGAATGCTGCAAAACCCTTCTACATAGCTCTCTTTTAAATTCTCCCCACCACCAGTGAGGTCACAGATAAGGAAACTGAGGTTCTCAGAGAGGGAGTCAATCGTCCCTTGTCACAGAGCCACTGGCACAGCTGGGCTCCATGTCCAAATCCAGTGCTCTTAATAACCACCCCCAATCTGCTTCACTTCTTAGTGGACAAACAGAAGGATAGCCAGTCCTCACTGTGGATGGCTATTCCCTTGCAGAAACCCAGTCTCTTTGGTGCCCCTAGATTTTAAAGGATGCAATGGTAACAGCTTCACTTGGCCTAAGTGGAGGCACCTCCTGGGGCAGAGTATCAGGTTAAGAAGACCCCTGGGGTGAAGAGCGAAAACACCTCCCTCGCCTTGAGACAGCATGTACCCTTGCTGACCCTCATTAACAATACCCCTATGTGCTTCTGCTCAGGGTGCCTGGGCTCATGTGACTTTGTACAATGTCTTAGGCAGCATATCCAACCCCTGCAACACAGACCAGTGGCTTCGTGAAGATTTACGTGAAGAAAGCGAAACATCAGGGCTGGGGTCGTGGCTCAGTGGTAAAGCACTTGCCTAGCATGTGTGAGGCCCTGGGTTCCATCCTCAGCACCACATACAAATTGATAAAATAAAGGTCCATTGACAACTACAAAAATATTAAAAAAAAAAAAAAAAAAAAAAAAAAAAACAGTAAAACATCAAAGATAGGAGGGGTACAAGCCCAAGAAATAAGAAAAAGGCAGAATGGAGCCCAGTTTTCTGCAGCCACTCAAAAGGTAAAAATGATGATAATCTAATCAGATCTGAGTAGAAGTCACTCAGAAATTAAAAATCACCATTTAAGACCCTGTTTTTTTTTTTTTTTTTGAGAGAGAGAGAGAGAGGGAATTTTTTAATATTTATTTTTTAGTTTTCAGTGAACACAACATCTTTATTTTTACGTGGTGCTAAGGATTGAACCCAGCGCCCCGCGCATGCCAGGCGAGCGTGTTACCACTTGAGTCACATCCCCAGCCCAAGACCCTGTCTTTAATGATGAACTCTATCCTTCTTAAAGCATCTGTGTGAAGTATCAATGGGCATGTGGTCTTGCAAATCACCATGGTGAACCCCACTCTGTCTCACTAGTTTTATAATGTGTACAATATACTAGTGCAGTAATATGGATATGTAGCTTTAAAAGTACATACACACACATACACACAAAGTTGAGGACTATGTTCACCCAAATTTGGGATAGAGATGTTATTAAAAAAAAAAAAAAATCAGTGGGTTGGGGGTTTAGCCCAGTGGACCAGCAATGCTCAGCATGCATGAGGCTCTGGCTCAATCCCTAGCACAGAATAAAACAAAGCACAACAAAAATACGTTCAGAAATAATTTCCCAAGGAAACTAATATTCAAAATTGACACTTGCCTCCTGAAGAGTGTACATTTTGACATCCTGGGTTTTTGAATGGTTAAGTATTTGTAGATTAAAATTAATAAATTTCAAGCAAATACTCAGATTTGGAAAAACTGCACCTTGAAAACACGTCAGAACTACCCACAAGACTTCTCTGCTATTTATGAAAGATTCCCCTTGAGGACCTTTCACAGCCTACCTAGCTATTGTTCCCGCCAAATAAATATCTCAGAATTAGAGAAATCCATTTGCTGTCAAGTTCGTAAACACTAAGACTTTCCTTCTACTCCAGATGGCTCCTCCTTCCAGTCAGGATCAATGAACTGTTAACCACATGCTCCACGACCAGATTCTCAACAGTATTCAGGAAAACAGTGAAACAGCACTTAATTGTAGCAGCAAAAGGTACTTTCTCTATTGCTATCATTTCCTTCAACAACTCAGGATTTCCACCTAGTCAGGGGCAGTCATAAAATATAGGAACCCTGATATTCATCTTTATCAGAAATCTGATCCATCTACTCCAAGTAATTTTCAATGCATATGAAAGAAAGATATTGGCTAGTTCTTGGGAAAACAAAAAATATGGAAGAAAACCAGTTTAAAAGATGGGCTGCTCCCTCTGTCTCTTCTGAAAACCACAGATCATGGTCATTTACTGTCTCAACTTGACACAGTTTTTCTACCAACCCGATGTATATGAACCTCCAGAATAACCACAAACCATGAGACCACTGGCCAGAATCGAATGCCCCATCTTTGACACGGGGCCCAGGGTGTCATCTGGACTAGACCAGGATAACTTCTTTAATAACTAGATAACTTTGTTTAAAAGATGTCGCCAGCCCTGTTATTTGACATATAGCTTACTTTGTGGACCAAATGGGGCTAACGATGTCAATTTTCATCAATAGTAAGTCATGGAGAATACAATGACCTATTTTTCCCCTTCTAACATATTCTCAGACTGATAGATAACTGCTTTGCATTCCAACAAGGAAAAAAAAATTGACTTAAGTGGATTTGGGGAAGAGGCAGGCTGGATCCACAAGGGTGAGGGGAACATGGTCCGGGAAGCACTACTTTCCAACTGTGCATGTCACTCCTAAGCTGGGCCCCCCGTTTAACAACGGGTGACAATACAGGTGAAGAACTTCAGGTAACTCCATGGTCGCTTAAGGTAAGCGAGTGGATTGAAAGCACCGTCAATCCAAACAAAGCCTCGCTATAGCTTCTGCACCAACTATTTTCCTTGAACAGAACAGAGACCTGCATTGGCTAAAGTGTATTTACAACCAACTGTCTATGTAAATATAAGAGATGCTAACATACTAGTAACAGAACCAAATTAGCCTTGCTGATTTTGCCCTGTCTTCCTGGTTGCTTAGCAACAGATTCAAAGTGAAAATTAAATTAAGCAATTCAAATGTAATGTTAAAGTAACCTTCCGAAATTCTGCAATTCAGCGGCTCCATGTTGTCCTTTGCTATTTGGATGGTACAGCGGGGCAAAATTAAAAGTTTGGCTGGGTCCTAATAGTGCACTAGATACAGAAACGCACAAAGAGAGGAAATCCAGAAGAATACATATACTATCTCTGTGGAAGAAGGTGAACACATACATGTATGTGTGTGAGCGTGCACACGGTGATTTGGTCTCATCCCAAAAAAATGCCACAAAGAAAATCTTATGTGACAGGTGTTATTTTGGGGCCTTTGAGGAATAAACTAAACTTAGCTTTCAAGAAACTACTTTGGAATGTTCTGAAGCTTTAGCGTATGCCGCATTCAGTGAGCAAATAGAATTCAGCTGAATAGAGGGGCCAGGCTGCATGTTCAAGGGGCCACAGGCAATCTGCCATGGTGAAAGTTGCATTCTAGAACTCTCTTAGCTGCTAAGAGAGGAGTTAACTATCAAATAGGGGCTGGTGTGCACAGTGAGAAGCAGATGAGAGCAAGAGGAGCCACAGGTGTGCCTCAAGCCCCTGGGATGGAACACAGGAGAGGCAAGAACACAGAACGTGAGCGGCCCTTGAGAGGCATCCAGGTGTGAGACTCTCAGAGAGTGAGGTTGCCCCGGGTGAACCCTGCAATTCCACGCCATCCTCTCTCTCTCTCTACCACTCTGCACTCCTGAGCCCAGGTTCCTGGGGCCAGGGTCTCAGGGGTTAGGCAGACAGCAGGAACCCAACCAAGGTGCTGAACTCATGATCCCTGGGGCCCCTGAAGCAATGGTAGACAGATCCTCTGGAGCCAGTTCTGGCTCTCAGCTTCCAGGATTCTCTTCACAGATTTGATTTCTACTTATCGAAATGCCTTGTGTGTGCAAGCACAGTCCTGAGTGCTCAAGGTAGAATGCTGAACCGTCGCACAAACTTCTTAACACAATCCTAGTGACAGACACAGGAGTCCAATAGACAGCTGAATTGGGGCAAGTTCAAAGTTCGACAGAGGCACGAGCTGTCTCTGGATGCAATATGCCTGGGGTGGAGGCAGCCCGCAGGGGCACTAGGGGAGGCATCTGGGACTGAATGCAGAGCTGAAGGACAGCAAGGAGGAGTCAGTCTGGAGGAAAATCAGGGGGCAAAGCCTTCCAGGTAGAGAGCACAGCAAATGCAAAGTCCCTGGGCTGGTGGTGGGGGTGGGATTCCTGCAATGGCAAAATAGAAATTAGAGGCTGGAGGATAATGAGGGAAAGCTGTGGCTGCAGAACCAGGTGGATAAAGCCTCATGCAGGGTGCGCAGGCCTGAAAAGCCATCTGAGTCATTCAAAGCAGAGGGATACCACTCAAGGGTTCTAAGCAAAGGACAGACTTGCTCTGGCTCATGTTTCCAAGGGAGCTTTCTCATCGCTGACGGCGCCCAGCAAGGAAGGGAAGGCTGGGGAGGAGCAGGGCTGGGGGAGAGCGACAGAAGCCAATCATTTCATTTTGGCTCTGCTCAGTTGGCGCTGCTCATGAAGCATTCATGCTGAGTGAGGACCAGGCCAACCATCCAGAGACAGGCCGAAAACACAGAACAGCCAGGTATCAAAAGGTGCCAGGGGGCCAGGCACGGTGGTGCACACCTGTGATCCCTGCGACTCAGGAGGCTGAAGCAAGGGGATCACAAGTTCAAAGCCAGCCTCAGCAATTAGCAAGGCCCTATCTCAAAATAAAAAATAAAAAGGACAGAGGGTTTGGCTCAGCAGTTGAGTATCCTGGGTACTCCCCGCCCCCTAAAAGGTCAGGAGACTGAGGCAGGAGGATCACAAGTTTGAGAGTAGAAATTTAAGAAAAATACAATAAAATTTCCTGGAACCAGAGGAGATGACTCTCCTAGGTAGGAAAAAACAAACAAACATACAAAAATAAATAAATAAATAAATAAAAATAACTAAATCTCCAGAACTGAATGAAGTTAATTCTCCACTTGGAATTCTGAGCTGTGTTCAAAGGGTGACCTCGTGTGGGAGAAGAATCAAGTCGA